TCGAGATGGATGCTCTGTGTCATGGAAAGCCAGAGTTTTTCGCCTCCTTCCCCATTGAACATGCAACCTCTTGGCGCAAACCCAGATGTTCACCTCAGTTGCTCCCTCGGACCGACGTCTCAATGGACAAAAGAGGGGGGAAAAAACACTGGGGAAAGGATGGATCTTGTTAGCTTCCGCATTTTCCACGTGCTTGCGGTGCCGCAATGATGAACTTTTTTGCCTCCCATCCCCGCTCCAGCACCCGCGGCAAAAAGGGTCAGCAAGGGTGTGGGCAAAAACGGCTGGAGGGAAAAGTTGGCCGAAGAGCCCAAAGGGGCAATCTCATTCCGCCGGTAGAACACGCCCCCCTCTTTTCCGTTCGGTGTAACCTAGAGCGAAACGGAGAGACGTGCTCCCAACTTCCCGAATCGTCAAAAGGTGAATCGCGAGTCGCGTAGTCAACCACCCCCTTCACCGTGAGCCCTGCCACGCGGTTGACAGCTTGGGGGTTGTCGCGGGGTTTCCGTGAGGCGCGCGATAGTGAGAAGCTTCGCGTTGAAGCCAAGATAGGAACCTAGACGGAAATGACCTGCGATTTCCCCGGAGACGGCCAAGCAAACGCCTCAGCTGGGGACATCAGAGATATGTCTTTTAATTTGGTGATCCCCCGCAAATAGGCAGACGGTGGAATGGCTTCCGGCCGATAACAGTTGCCGTTTTGTCTCTTGAAATCCGGGAGGCGTTGAGACATTCATGTCTTGATTGCGTTCAACAACAGCAACAGCTGAAGCCGTAATAGATCACAAATGACACTCGTACAGATCCTTAGATCAAAGACACGGTAATCAAAACAATCGCCGATGCAGTTCCCCGCGACTCATCGATTCCTGACTCTTCTCAAGAAAGCCACTATCGACAATCGGTTCTTGTTTAGAGCCACACGGCGATTCGGGTTGCCCTTCAAGGGAGGAAGCCGAAAGATGTCACTACGCCACACAACGTGGGAACGCCGCCTACGCCACGACCTACGACGCTTGATTGCCCGTTTTGACAATGTTGCGAACAGATCCGGGGGGGATCGCGATCAAGTTCCTTTTGAGGGTATCCGGTCAGCGATGACGTCGGCAGAGAGCATCTTCAAGATGTTGCCTAAAGCTCATCTCATCTTTGAATCCGGTTCGAGTAAAAAAGCCTGCGTCTTACTGACAAGGTACAAGTAGAAGAATGCATGCGAAAGCGAAGTGGCTGTCTACCGCTGGTTGCACCCGTAATACGGCGAGCCGCGAATACGGTGCAACTATTGCTCCCTTTCACTGGTCGTGTCGGGCGCCCAGAAATAGTATCAAGAATATTGATACGGTGTCAGCCTGTTAACATCCTCCTATCGCATCTCCCGCCTCCGTTTTCGCTGCGAGATTGGTTCGGTGCTGTCAGCTCCCGACGAGACGGCAACGTTTACTTTCCCCCCTCGTCACGAGACGTGCCTCGGGCGCGTAACGATAAATGGCTTGTCACCCTGAAATACTTCGTTACAGGGAGATTGACTGTCAGGCAGACGCGGAGGGCGTATGCTTTCTTTGCGTCCTCAGCCACCGGGGCAACAGTCACACTTCAACTGCGGTTTGCTTATTGGGGCTGATGAATCAATATTTCAAACGCAGCCTGGTTAGGTGGTGATGACGGTACATACACTCAGCCAGCAGCGCCTCGTCATCTTTGATTGCGGCTTGGTAGGTCACATGGTCGTTTTCGCCTGTTGCCAGCAACCACCACTGCGCTGGCTTTCAATATCTTGGGTTTTCTTGCTGTTTGTCTGCTTGATTGGTTTCCCGTGTTCCTCGGCCAGGTTTGCATCGCCGTCGTAGTCGATGATGGCATGTCGCCAGCAAACAGGGCGTCCTTTTGGAATCATGATACTTGTCAGAAGCAAAGCATGCGGTTCGGGGACATGCTCGGGGACATGACGGTTCCCGCCTCATATCATGGCCACGTCCATGATGCCGTCATCGGCGCCCACGCCCTTGGGTGAGACTGAGACGGCATCTAATGCTGCCGCTTCTCCCACCGCGGGTTCCGTTCAATATGGATGCCGTGCCTAATTCCATGAATGCAGGGCCGACGGTCCCTTTTGCCAATCCAATCTGCTGATGCCCGTGGCCCAATCTGAGTCTGCCCATCTGAAGCATACCACGTCTAGCAAACAAGGCGTGTGTGGGGGCATCCTGGGTATGGGCTTCGTGGGGTGGTTGCCTTTTCGTGGGGTTTCCTTGACGGGCAGTCCGAAGTCAGCGAGGAGGCTGTTCTGTTGTCTCTCCTTATCTGACGGCAAGAAGCAAAGAAAAGCAACCACCCGCTTTGAGGCTTGCCCGCCCCCAAGCCGTGTCTCGGTCAGTTTGTGTCTGCGTGTGTATGTGATGTATCTGGGGATTAGTTTCCTCAGTTGTTATCTCTCTTCTCAAACATCAAATGTGCAGCATCTCATTGGCGGCGCCCCCTTGATGCGTGGGATCAAACGCCATCCCGTTGATTGAAAGCAATCGAGTTATCATCCCTGCTTTGCCACTCCCGCGGATGAAGCATTAGGCTCGGATCAGGTGCTCGTGCCCCCTTTCCCGATCATCTCGCATCCCGTTTACGGGGACGCTTTCTCTCATCCCGCGACGGTTGATGAGGCTGGCTCCCCGGAAACCCTCTCTCTTGTCTCCCCCCACGCGCCGCATCACGGCCGAGCGTCCCTCAGCCAAGGGATTCACCCACGCGGAACCCGGGTCCGGGGGGGAACACGGCCGGGAGAGGAGGGGGACTTTCTTAGTGCCCGCGTCTGTTCGCAGGGATAAATGAGGCGGGAGTTTGCTGTCTGTTGAGTACGAGTAAGGGGGAGGAGGCATGGTGTTTGCTTCAAGTGCAGGGGGGGGGACGAGATCAATCACAGACGAGTTGCTCAGCTGGGTTGCCGCCTCGATATTCCCAAGTGTTTGTGAGCTATCAACTCCCAAACTCTCGATATCACTTCCAGAGGCGGTCAGTTGCGATCGCAAGAAAATCCTCTGGGCCGGGACTATACGAAACTGCCGGGTAAAATGGTTGCTGCTGCTGCACCATAACGACACGCCCTTCCCTTCCCGTCCGATGCGATGCGATGCAGTGCATGCAGCCTTGCCGGCTCTGCTGCAGCTTGCATAATGTATGCCCTCTCTCTTTTGCTTCACCGATCCAGCTCGTGCTTGTTTCGGCTTTTCACTGCAACCCACAGAGTTTTCACCGCATCGACTTGCGTGCGCCATACATATAAACAAAGACGCATACCGCCTTTTGAAACCGCCCCTTCTTCCCCCTACGGCCATACGTTTGGTCTCTATTTCTCAACACTCTGCAGGGGATATTAAACTCTGCTCTCAAACCTGTGCTGCCCTAACCCTAGCAACTTTTGCTGTGCTGTTTCTGCGTCGGGGGTTTTCATCTCGTCTCTGCGCTGGCTCGACTTACACGGCACCAACTGTCCCTTGCAGACCAGACGCAGCTACCCTTGTTTACCTGAATGACTCACAAGAGAAAAAGACTTTTGATAGATTGCATTCAAGATGTGATATGTCGTTCCCTTTCAGTGACCGCTAGGTTAAATCTGCCAGTTGTTTTGTTTGGGTTTCACTGTTGCGGTGAGGCCATCTACAGACCGCAGCCCAACTGTGTCGTGTCAACTACGTCATCTGTTCAGGTCTCACGACATGTTCAGCTCTTTCGTTTGGCATGAGAAATCAATTCCGACTGCATTGCCCCTGCATTATGAGGGTTTGTACCTACTTTTGCGCACGAACTTTCTGTAATGTTGAGATTGAGGCCAGCTCGGATCGGTCGCTAGCTATAGGGTAGATAAATGTGCACCCACTCATCCATATGCCAATTTGAGTCGCAGATCATATCAGTCGTTTGTTTACTATGTGTGATATGTAATTCATCAATAGCATCTTGTAGGCTTGGCAGTCCCGTTAATTCTGCCGAGTTGTTAAGGCTCGGTAGTGTGTAGTTGCTTGAATGGATATGTAGTTGTAAGTCATCAAACAATCACAGAAATATAAAAGTCATAACACATGGCAATAACACAACACATCTCAAATGCATGGAGTTCGATATAAGAACGCATACTTTATGTCACAGATCGACAGGGCTGTCCTATCATACCAATGCCATCTCTGTATACTCGCTGTGTCGTTTATCCTACAACCTGATATGCCTCCTCCCCTCTACGCCTTAGTGAGGAGAGGACGAGCACCTCTTATCCTGTCGATGAAGAGATGCAATTGATCTCGAAGAAGAGTTGTCAAGACTGGAATGGTTGACGTTTCTTTAGTGAGACTAATTGATATTTGTGCATGAAAGACTGGTGGTGAAGCGTTGCTGCGCTGATGACAGCCACTGCCATTCCTTCCAAGCCAGCTTGAATCATCAAACCGACTCCGACAGTAAGAAAGGCCACTGTATTAACATCAGGTCATGATGTCATGATGTGTTGACAATCTGTTCTTTATTATAGTTGTAGCCCGTCCCTCGATGGGTTAACTATGTCAGAAAATCGACTCCGACAGTAAGGGTCCATGGTTTTGCAAGTCATAGCCTGATACTCGGTTGCCCGTATGGGAAACTTATAGCTCCCGGAGTTGACATCTCTGGCGAGATACCGACATGTGTATATTGTCAGGGCCTTGGTCTAGCCGGTATACACAGCAAGTGGGCAAGCGGATGGCAACTCCCCGAGTGTTACACCACGAATAGGATTTGGCTCCTGCAACATAGATAACTCGTATACTGATTTCGAGAACAGCCCCGAGTATCGCCATGTATATGCGCGTAATCAAGTGTACACCAAAACGTGAGCAACAGTCTTGAGCTCTGACACGTAGAGCAGCCGTATAATCGAGTGTATACCAAAATATGAAACAGCGCCAGACACCCCGACTCCTCCCATGACAATAAACATCCAACGAGATGAAACTCAGATGACCGACCCTTCCTACTATACCTCAGCTCCGCAGAGCCTCTAATCGGTTGCGCATCTGGTCCATCATAGCCTCGGCGTCCTCCTCTTCCTCCTCCTCTTCCTGGGGCTTCTGCGGCTCTGGCACAGGCGCCACGGGCAGCTTGGGCTCGCGGTCCTTGAGGATCTCACCCAGCACCTTGTCCACTTCTCCCTCAGCCTCCTCGTCTTCCATCAGCATATCTCCATCGGCGGGCAGCGAGTCCTCCACCATCTCCTCGATAATTCCCGCCTTCATCAGCTCCACGCTCAGCTCCTGCATGGTGCCCGCCAGCTCCGGAAGTCGGATCAGCGTGTTGACGTCCTTCATGATGCCCACGCTTGCCCGGATAGAGCCCTCAATCTTGCGCACCGCAAACGCCTCGTTGACCTGCATCTGCACAGAGTTGAGCTGCGCCTTGGACGTGACGAGCCGCGCCGACGTCTTGCGCGCCCGGACGAGCTCGCGCGCAAAGTCCCGGACCTCCTGCTGGGCCTGCTTGGCGCGGGATGGATCGCGCTGGCCTCGACGGTCGGCCTGGATGATGAGGTTCCTGGTCTTGGCTTCGACTTGCTTGACTGTAGCAATGTCTCGATCGATCTTGCGGATGTTTTGGCGCATCAAGGCATTGCACTTGCGCATCTACCGAGGCAACGGTGGCAGGTTAGCATGGGGTCACGCCATGGCAGGACGTGTGTAATCCTGAGCGTACCTGGGCCTGAGGATCAGGCTTGGCAAAAAGAGACCTGAATGTCTCCATGGTGGCGGTCGGGAGGTAGTGAGGAGGAGTCGAGTAAATGATAAGCTATAATGGCCGCGCCAATGACGCAACTGGAGATGGCCAGCGAGCGGAGCAAATGGCTCAGGTGTGTTCAACTCGGCCGCAAACGGTAGAACAATGTTCTTGTCAGATAAAGTAGGATTCTCGCCTTGCACAAAACGACAAGGCGGCCCGATATCGTCTCGCTAGGCGTCGAGTCAGTCGCAGCTCGTCGTTGGATGATGTTGGGTCATGGTGGTGAGGCTCGACCACACCAGCCCAAGCCTCGAGGCTGACGAAAGGCGGGCGGTGGGACGGCGATTTGATTGGCCCGACGGGAGACGGACATACAGGGGACCACGGGCGGCTTATCCACTGGAGGAATCGCTGTGGTCTGGCCGGTGGTGCCTGGCACAGTTACCCCGCCATCCACATGCCGGGCGCGTGTAGGTCGGGTCGACCGCCAGGCAGGCTCTAAACTACCTAAGGCTGCCGTGGTCGGAGATGTTGAGAGAAGATAAACCAGGGATGCTAGGTCACATTGAATTGATTGCGATAATATCTAGAGTTGCTGGAAACATATGTTAAACCTAATTGTTTCCCATGCATCATGTCCGCTTCAGGTGACCAAGCAATGGATCCAAGCTCCCTCCAGCATCTTCTAGGAGCTCCAGCCCGGAAATAGTGGAGAAGGGCGGTACCTAGGAGTGACAACGTCAGAGCGGGCACCTCTCTCCAACGCGCTAGGACGGTACCTTGACTCCCGCGGTGACTCGGCAGCGAGAGCAGGTACACCAGCATCAAAAGCCCCTCAGCTGTGATGCCGTTCTGTCCCCTTCTCACACATTCTACGCCGCCTTCTCTTTCAGCAAACAACGGGGACCGTCCAAGCCTCACAGCGGGCGGAGTGCCTCCCTGCTACCTAGACCAACCGCCGCGTACAGCTAATACAGAAGGGGGCCGCCTGAGCTAAACCTGCATCTCTCCTCCGCCCACCAAAAACTCATCCACTCTTCTTCACTCTGCTACTGCATCATCGACAACCGCCCTTTCTCCTTCTCTCTGTTTTTTTCCTTCTTGACTTGAAACTTTGAGATACCCTTTGACGACTTATTCCCACACTCTTCATCACAATGGCTGACACTGTCTTCCCCGAAGGTATGTCACCTGCAGCCCTGTCTTGTGTTATCGCCAGCCTCCCCCCTCCCGGGTCCGGTCCTGCTCTCTGTCGCCGCGCCCACCGACAATTAGCAGGACCTACCTTGGGATTGCTTCATCCTGATCGCATCTCCTCACGCTCCGTGTCAATGTTTCGAAGCACTCGCTAACCCCTCTCCCCGCAGTCCTCTGGGCCCAGCGATCCTCCGTCGCCGACCCCGCCAAGAACTTCATCTACCTGACCCTCACGGTCCCCGATGTGCCCAAGGATGGCCTCACCCTCGACCTCAAGCCCACCAGCCTCAGCTTTACCGGCACCTCATCCACTCTCAAGAGGAAGTACCACGTCGAGCTCGAGTTCTGGGGCGAGATCGACCCCGCCGAGAGCAAGATCAACCACACTGCCAAGAACATTGAGATCAAGCTTCACAAGAAGGAGCTCAAGGAGGAGTACTGGCCTCGGTTGCTCAAGGAGTCTAAGCGTGTTCACTTCCTCAAGACCGACTTTGACAAGTGGGTCGACGAGGATGAGCAGAACGAGGCTCCTGAGGATGACTTCTCTCAGTTTGGCGGCATGAGTGAGTAAACCTGAGATAACCGATGCGCAGCAAAGCTAACTGGATACTACAGACGGCATGCCTGGTATGGGCGACATGGGTGGTGACTTTGGTGGCATCGACTTCTCCAAGCTCGGAGGCGGTGCTGGTTTCCCCGGCGCCGAGGGAGCAGGTGACGACGATGAGGGTGACGATGATGACGACGAGGACCTGCCCGCTCTTGAGGGTGACGACAAGAAGGAGGCTGACAAGCCCGCTGCTGCCGCCGCTGCCCCTGCGGCCACCGAGAAGAAGGACTAAATGGAAGCACGAATGTTTGTTGCTGCGATCGAGAGGAGCATCTCTTAACAACTGGATGGATCAGGCGGTGGCTTAGGCGTTGTGCTACTTGGTTCTTATGGATCCATCGTTGAAAATGCACTGCCCGTTTCGATATGGAGAAAAAATGGAAAAAGTATAAAGTAATAATGTCTCCTTGATGACTCCGTGTAATCTTGTGTGTGTGCTGTGAAACTCTTGTCGTCTTGGTGAAATGCTGTGTTGCGCCAGAGCCTCTTGTTCAATGTCTTGGGTTCTCGTTTCAGGGCTGGCTGAATCTGCACTCTACGAGACATGGCTTTTGTTGTAGATGACTTTTCTACAGTTGGCTTCTTTGATTCACAACTGGCAACTGGTTGACAACTCGCAACATAAGCTGATCCATTATAACGTTTAAACTTTACATATATCAAGTTGGCAAACCAAGTGCGTGGAACCTTGTCTTATTCCATCTATTATACATTTCACCTGCTCAGCCCGGCTCAGCACCAAGTCAGGTCTGGTGCCCATTAGGAAAAGCCTTGGACCGGGCTTTCGTCGACAAGTAGCAGGACGAGGGAGTAGAATGAGATCAAAAGCAATAACAAATGCAAAACCAGCTGCCCCGTTATCCGACCTCAGAGTGTCCCTCTTCCTCTCCTCAAAAACAATCTGTTGTGACAGTAACCATGGGGAACCCAGCGTGTCCTTGCTCCTCAGCATGTGCCAAATAGCAACTTGTTTTTGATGTTTATTAATTATTTCTCGCAATACCCTTCATTCTCGCGTAAATTGCTCACTATCGTTGTGGTTAGCTTCGTTTGTCGATGAGTATAGCATCAAGTACATACAGCAATACCATCCATGTCAGCATCACCGCTAGCGGCAGCTGGTGCCGGGGCTGGAGCAGCCGCGTTGTTGGCCTCAGGGTTGGCCGCAGAGTCGAAGTAGTCGTTCATCTCTGAGTCGAGTTCCTCGCGAGTCTTCTTCGCGGGACGGTTGTTGCGACCACGGCGCTTCTTGTTGGCAGCAGCTCCCTTGGCAACACCACCCTTGGCAGCGCCGGCGTTGTGCTTGTCAGCAGCGGCCGACTTGGGCTGAGCCTTGGGCTGACTATTGCTTGTTAGCGCACTTCTTGTTCTCCTGTGAATCAACTTACGTGGTGCGCTCAGCGAGAGTCTTGACAGCAGGGATGACCTTGTCGGCCTGGGCGGCTCCGACAACGATCTCGATCTGTTCAAGTTAGAAATTGTGGACAGGATCGGTGTTAACCAGAGCGTACCTTGATAGGTCGGTTGTCAACCAAGAGGCCGTTCAACTTCTGGAAGGCCTTGCTGGCGCCGTCCGACTTGTGGAAGGTCACGTTGGCGATACCACGGCTTTGCGAGTTGGGGCCGTAAGAGATCTCGACTCGCTTGATGGGACCAACGGACTGGACGAAATACTCCTATCGGGGGGAAACAGTGTTAGTCTTCCGAAGTGTAGTTGTACGATAACCGCCATTCCATTCCGTCTTCGAGCCTCGATCGTTCCAGTTCCGGGAGAGTTTTACGTCGCCAGGGTTTGGCAGTCATTGCGGGCGAGTTGCCAGCGAGCAGAGCAGTAAGCCGATGCTAGAATCCTCGTTGCCCACCCGGGGCTTTGATGATCAGTTGGAGCATGAGACCACCCACACGGTCCTCGTTTCCAAAGCACAGCCCACATCTCGGGATCCCAGCCCAAGTTCTATACCGGTGTAGTAACTCGACAGATCAACTGCCAGAAAGACGAACAACATGTTTCTAAAAGCCCAAGTTCGCATACGGCCGAGGGATGATCGAATACTCCGGATCCTCGAGGATTCTGTGCATGTGCTCACTGCTTGCTCGCTGAAGTCGGCGCGGGATTTCAGAGACGGTTTCATCCGAAGGAAATCGCTGGCCGTGGCTGGTGGAATGCGCATATCGTTTCGACAAGCCTCCATCCGTTGGAGTCGGCGCTATACAAGCAAGGAAAGCTGACCAGGCATTTCCTGCGAAATCATCGCGCGACAAGGATGTTCTCAACTTCCGACAGTTACCATGTTCCAGGCACTTTTCGTCGAGGAAGGAGAATGAGCGTCCGATAGCTCCGGGCCAGCAGGCTGAGTCGATAGACTAGCCGATAAGACGCGACGTCGAAAGGCAAAAAGGAGAGCGGCGATGAAGAACAGGTCGAACAAAGTCCGGGGCATCAAGAGCCACAGCGGAGACATACCTTAATCTGCTGCTCCGAGACGTCCTTAGGCTGTGACGCGTTAGTGAGGGGCCATGCCAAGATCGGTTGGGAATCTTACCAGATTGCTGACGATAATCTTGCTGTCACTGTTGGTGGGGGTCGCCTTTGCCGGAACGGGCTTTGCGCCAGCACCGCGAGCGGGCTTCGAGTTCTTCTGGATACCTCCGACAGGCGCGGCTGCGGCGGGGCGTCCGGTGGAACGACGCGGGTTGTTGCGACGGCGAGCGCTACGGCGCTGGGCCTGAGTGATGTCCTCAAGAGCTTGGTCGAGCTTGCCAGACATTGTGTTTGTTGGTGTGAAAATGTTGGTAAAGTTGGGTCAATGAAAAAAGATGAGAGGCAATGGAATGCCTTTCGGGTCGAGAATCGATGCTGTTCTGGCTGATATAGCGGTCAGATCAGCAGGTAGATCGAATGACACGTCTTGTCTGGTGTCAAAAGCGCGATGCGGAAATGAGGCGATGACAAAGGCTTGATGTCAACGACGGCGCGTAGTCGCAGCGTGTGAGAAGAAGCGAAAGGTGGTCGCAAGGTGCGTTCTGGTGATTGAAAGGGATGAAAGAAACGGCGCGCAGGGATTAAGGCGGGCCGGTGAAAGAAGAAGAAGTTTTGAGATGTGGGTGTGCTTTGTTTGGAGTTGGGTTGGGTTGAAAGATGGAGGAGAAGAGGGAGTTGGAGAGAGGGACAGATGCTAGAAAAACACGGGGTGGGCGTTGCTTCTTGGTCCTTCCGACGCCTGCCTAAGGAGCTGAGCGCGCAGGCGCGGGTCGCTTAAGGCGTCGCCGGTGCGCTAATCTACTTTGGGTTGTGCTTAGCCACAAATCGCCACAACGACAACATGCAGTGCCAATCAGTGGATGAGATGGAGGCCTGATGCATTGAAAGGACAACACCAACGATGGCCAGCTCCCAGAGACCTCTGTGTTTCATGCAAGGTCATTGGAATTAACAACAAGGAGGAAAAGGTTGATGAATGCGAGGTTGAACGAAAATAGCTTGTTTGGGTTGCTATGGAATCGGTCCGAGGTATGACAATGTGAGATCGCTTTCAAGAGACTTTGAGGTTATGCTCTGGCGCACTCCGAGTCCCAAGCCAGGCAGTCTTTGAAGCTCATACTTTGTAGATGCAATCGTCGAAAACGCGTCGTATGCAATACGGATGTGTCGAAAACCGAAACGCTCGCTGCCACGCAACCCTCTGAGTGATTCTTCCCCTATTGCATCGATCTTTTGTCTAGGTCCAGAATGGACTCGAATCTTTCAACAAGTTCCTTTAACGCCGAGCAGCCCTCTTCTGCAGAATAAATGTCCCAATGGTGAAATTGTACAATGCGCTATCATCCATGGCGAAATGCCATCATAGCGCAGCTTGCTTGGAGCTTCCCTTCTTCGGAGTCTCGACCTCTTTCACGGCGTTGATCTCAAGGAAATGATAGACGACAATGAGAATCATTGATGTGGTGCCGAGAAAGATGGCTAGTCGGTACAGATCGCCGTCGGAAATCATCGTTGCGGTTGAATCGAAGGATCGAGAGAGGATGGTTGGTACTGGGAGCTTCGTGAGGTCAGCGACTGCTTTGCGCGATACGGGCACTGGAACTCGTTGTTTACCAGTAATATCTGTAATTAACAGGATAGCCTGCGCACGTAAATGCGATGTCTGCAAATTCAAGGAAGACGGCGAAACTCGAGTGCACGCGAATCTGTAGATGGTGATGGGAGCTATCCAACTGGCCAGATGGAGCTTTGGTCGCTTCAACCACTGAGGTAAGCGTCACGCCAGGGGCTTCGAGAGGTACGTACTCGTGTCAAGCGGCGCCGGACTGTCCGCCAGAATCTGACCCCCGACTCGCGGCCTGGGGACGAATCCACCAAAAAAAAAGTCTTGGGCAGAACTGCCTCGCACGTGACTCATTGTGACTTCATCCTCCACCCAATACAGCCCAGCCCACCAACTATCAGCAATCTTTAACACTCATCTTTTTTCCCATCTGGCGGCATTGGTGTCGGCTTTGCACAACTGGGAAACCTGGGAAATACGGCACCGGAAACGATTTTCGATCGAATAAACTGTTGAGCGCCTCCCGCTTGTCTTTACTTCGAACGATTACCCCGCCACCGACCGCCCATCATGCCTCCCAAGAAGGGCAAGGAGCCCGTCGCCAAGAAGGCGACCAAGTCGGTCGAGGACCGGACTTTTGGTATGAAGAATAAAAAGGGTGGTGCTGCCAAGAAGGAAATTGCCCGTATGTCGGCGAACCTCAAGAACAGTGGCAGTGCAGAGGAGAAGCGTAAGCAGGCTGAGAAGGAAGCCCGAGAACGCGAGAAGAAGGCCGCCGAGGAGGCCCGTAGGGAGACAGAGGCATTGTTGAACAAGCCTGCTCAGGTTCAAAAGGTGCCTTTCGGTGTCGACCCCAAGACAGTTGTATGCATCTTTTACAAAAAAGGCAACTGTGAGAAGGGAAGGAAGTGCAAGTTTGCACACGACCTGTCCATCGAGCGCAAGACGGAGAAGAAGAACCTGTACAGCGACACCCGAAAAGAAGAGGAGGAAACTAAGAAGGCCGAGACTTCTGCAGACTGGGATGAAGAGAAGCTTCGAAAGGTTGTTCTGTCCAAGAAGGGTAACCAACGGACAACCACCGACAAGGTGTGCAAGTACTTTATCGAGGCCATTGAGGATGGTAAATACGGCTGGTTCTGGATTTGCCCCAATGGCGGCGACAAGTGCATGTACAAGCATGCTCTCCCCCCTGGGTACGTATACCTTGTCTTGATATGTGATAGCATGCTAATTGGATGCAGATTCATTCTGAAGACCAAGGAACAGAGAGCGGCCGAGAAGGCACTCCTGGACAAGTCGCCACTGAAGACCCTTACGCTGGAAGACTTCCTGGAGTCGGAGCGACACAAGTTGACTGGCAATTTGACGCCAGTGACGCCCGAGACTTTTGCCAAATGGAAGAAGGAGCGTCTGGACAAGAAGGCCGCCGAGGAACAGGCGCGCAAGGCCAAGGAAAACACTGGACGTGCCCTCTTCGAGAGTGGCAAGTGGAGAGACGAGGACGATTCAGAGGCCACAGACGACGAGGACGACGACGTGTGGAACCTGGAGAAGCTCAGGAAGGAGACAGAAGCTATCCGATCAGAGAAGGAAGAGGCTCGTTTGGCTGCACAATACGATACGCCGAATTTTGGCACTCCAGGCGCCGATACACCAGCAGAAGACACACCGGCCGAGACTCTAGCCGAGGAGGCATCAGCAGAGGAGACTCTAGCCGAGGAGACCCCAGCAGAGGAAAAGTCTGGATCTTGAGCTCTTGGGAATACTGGCGCATGGAGCATGTAGAGTCTAGAAGATCGAGTATCTGGGATTTCGCCGAGTACTCACTTGTTGAGCTCGCCGGGGAACAGACCATCCAGAGGCAAGCCGAGCCCTGCTGCCGACCTCACGCCAGTGACACCACAAGCGAGAGGCGCGAGCCGGTTCTCCATGGCGATCCGTTGCCTTGCCAATCCTCCACAGGAGGAGGGATGACGTCTTTTCCCCGAGTAGAATATATCATGGTGGCATACGAGCTGACAAGAGAATGGCTTAACCCCTGTGTGACTAGGCAAACATGGCGGCATTCGTGCAGAACATGGCAGACTTGGGCTTATGCCGTGTGGGCTCGGGCAGCATGTAGATGTGAGGCGTGGTGATGTGAAGCAGAGTAAGCCGCGGTTTACCTTGGGTGGAGTTTTGATGGATGGCGGGGGATGCATGAGTGCCGGGGTCAAAGGGGGTCGGATGCACAGATCTGGTGCAGATCATGAGAGTTCCGGGAGTGTAAGGGTTGTTTCCGACCGTGATGAGCGGCACTGGAGCGGGCTGGACTCTTTGACATGTCATCATGGGCGTCGGGGGGTTAACGCGGCTGTCCAACCCGAGCCAGAGTGTTGCTGTGACTGCGGGGAGAGGATTTGCGCCCGCGGCTATTGGATGATCAAGTATCCGGACTTGAAAGTCCGCCTGATTCCACAGAGCTTCGGTTGAGAAACGGCAAAGGCTTTGGGATGATTCGAGTTCGGAGCATTCCGGGGCACATGATGTCTGAAGGGTCGTCTCATCTCATGATGGGGGGGGATGCTTGATGTTGAGTCTTGGAGTTGAACAAGCTGAAAGAGAACAACCACACAAGAAGCTCAGAAATGCAGCTGAAGGTGATCCATCATTGAAAAAGAAACGAGAAATGCAACCCAGAAAGTAGAGGGACTATTGAAAGCATGTGATGAAGCACTCGGCAGTTAGTGCCTGTACCAACGAACAAGGTCTAGTCGCCGGACACCAACAACCGATCTTGATGGCCTTACAGGGCTCCAACGAACCTGTCTTTCAGTGAACGTAGGCCCTGAAGACACGCTGCCTCTAGGGACGACATGCCTTGAGATGGAGGGGGGCGACCCCGCAGACAGTGGCTTCCATTTCCCGTCGTCTCTCCCGCACGATAAGCGAGGTCAGCCTCTGAGGTGCGCTCCATTTTCCATATCCGAGGATTTGTACATTGGCACTTTGAAGTTCGCAAGAGAGACATGACCCGTTCTTTCTCCCCCGCGCCTTAAGTTCTTCTGGCAGGCCAATTGATAGGTACTTGAATACATATCTCCACCCTCGCTGCCGCAGACCTCAACCCTCCAACCTTCATCTTTCATTCCCCTCCTCCCCTAATTTGACTGTTTGTCCAGAAGCTACAAACTTGGCATCCAACTGCCCGCTGCCGTTCGCCGCCGCCGTCTGCCGCGGGCACCCGGACGCCCGAGCGTCCGAGCAGAGAGAAAGAGCCGCCCACCGCCCGATAACCCGCCGCCGCTCCGACCCCCGACCTCCGAAACTGGGCCCCTCGAACCCCTCCGTCGATTTTCCCGCCCATCGTCTCTTACACTCGGCTCTCTGGTGTCTCGCGTCTGAATGGACCCTGCGGCTGTCCGCGACAGGCCGTGTTTCGACCGCGCCTCCGAATAACAGCTGCTGCCAAGCAAAAACACCGGCTTCGCAACTCGATCTTCGCTCAGGCCTCCCGTCGTCTCTTGGCCTGGCCTTACCCCCCTCGGCGCCCTCTGGTCTGAGGCCCAATTGCTCTCTCCCCCCGAGAGCGGGAGGTAGCAATGACTGCTGAAGCTCGACTGGCCCACCAAGATGTTACAGGCCATCAATCGTCATCGTCGTCATTCCCATCCCCGGCTGCAGCTGCAAGCTCTGCAATCATCATGCCCGACGGCGCTGGACGGCGACGCGATGGCGAGACGACGGCCATGACCGCGACGGGCGCCGCCGTCACCGCAACACCAAAGAACCATTCCTACCACCGATTCATCAAGCGATATCGAACAGAGATCTCGGCCAGCTCATCCAGTGTCTTCTCTACCCTCGCCGCGTTTCCTCTCGATAGTGTCAAGACGCGCATGCAGACATACCATTACAAGGGATTTCTTGATTGCGTGCGGCATACCTACGCAAATGAAAAGCTCGGCGGTTTTTTTCGAGGTATAATCTAGCCGATTGAGATCACCTGTTATTCCTTCCTCTAACCTGAGTATTGTAGGCGTCACGGCCCCGATGGCCAGCATCACCCTCGTCCGTACCGTCTCCTTCTCGATCTACCAACGCGCCAAATACTCCTATTCCAGCTGGGTGAAGCGAAATTTCGGATTCGACATCATCGACCACGTCAACCAACGCGGTACATACCCAAATCTCTACTCAGTCGCATGCTTTGGGGCCGCTGGCGCGACTGCTGGTTCCGCCATAACATTCCTCGCCTGTCCCTTTGAGCTCACAAAACTCAGCGCCCAGGTCTCTGTCCTGCTGGCCGAACGGGGTGTTAGCAATGGAGGTAGTCACGCGGTGGCTGCTAGCTATCAGAACAAGGGCACGCTGCGGACAATGGCCAACATAATTAAGCATCGCGGCGTGCTGGGACTTTACACTGGCTTTACACTTCATCTATGTACGTGATTTATACGAATCATGGGGCAGCCGATGCTAACGGACTTCCTAGTACGCGATACCTTGGGAACGGCAATCTATTTTATGGTGTATGAAAGCGGGAAGCAGGTCGGAAACACATTGGCTGGCGATCATCCTAACAGTAATAAGGCGGCCGTTGTAGCCGCCGGGGGTATGTGTGGGCTGGTCTCTTGGGCTATGATATGTGAGTAGTTTTCAAGTTGTTGCTCGTTTTGCATACTGACAATATGTGTAGATCCCATCGACTCGGCCAAGAGCATCTACCAGCGCAACTCCCTCCTCTATTCCAAAGGCCAGACGGTCGAGCCAGCACCCAAGATCGAGTTCTTTAAGCGGCACATGTATCGCGGCCTCGGGGTTTCCATGACTCGCTCTTGCGTGGTGAACGCCATCTTCTTTTCATCGTTTGAATTTATCAAGAAACACATCGACTCTCTCGAAGATGAGGGCAGGATCTGATAAGTCCTGACCGAAAGATGTATGAAAAAACAGATATCCCGGTTGGTGGGGGCTTTGGGACTTTTTTAACTTGGGTAACTCTGGATGATTACCCCTGGGCAAATACGGGCACAGATGCATGCATTATGAAAGGGCGTTTTTTTGGAATCGTGTGTTGACTTTGTCTGTTTATCTATTGTATCCCCTTCACACCCGCTGTGTCAGATTAGCCATGAGTGGAGAGATGGCGAAAGGCTTAAGATGGTCAACACAATGGCGGCTGTGAAAGGAGGGCCACACGGCGAATGAGCGGAGATGGGTGATCCCCTTGGACTAGGGAGAATGTAGCGACAATAAACAGCCCCTTGAAAGACCATACTACTTGCGTATGCATAAAGACTTACTCTGTATGCCTAGTCACTGTCACTAGAGCATTTGAAGCGGTTTACTGTGGTACTTGTATGAGAGGATGAGATGTTGCTTTGAGTCTGACTACCTAGTTCCCTGATGGGACATATAGGCCCCTGTCCTAGCCTCCCACATCCTCAATCATTGTATTCCTCCACCCATAGCCTTTCCATCCTTCACATCACCCATGTCATGTCGTGCCTTCACTTCTTCTCACCCTCCTTGCCCTGCTTATCAGCCTGAGTCTTGGCGTGCTCGGCCTTGTCAGCCCCGGACTGGGCCTTCTTGGCAAACTCAGGATCGTTGCCAGACTTGGCCTATAGCATAGTGTTAGGCATCTTGGAGGTGTTTGGTTTTGCGAGAGGGAAGTGATAGGTAACTCACATTGGCCGCCATGACGCGGGACTTGGCCTCCTGGGTGTAGTCGACCTTCTTGTTGTTGTTGTCGTTGCCAGACATGATTGTGAAGAGTGAGGTTAAGTAGAAAGTGAAAGCTGTTGGCTGAGATGTGGCGGGTTGAGTGGTCCTGAGTTTAGTAGTTGTGAGTTGAGTTGAGTTGTAGTGTGTGTTGATGAGCAGGAGAAGTTGGTGAAAGGTGGGAGAGGTCAGGGGTATTTATACTTTTCCTGGATGGGGGAGCCCTTGGTTGAGTCTGGTTGGTAAACAGAAGTGATCTCTTCCTCTGTATTGTGTGCTGGTGTCGGCACTCGCTGTTGTGGCTGTTCTGCTTGCAAGTAGACTTGTTGTATCGGCAAGCAACATCCGTTGGGAGGACAAAACATCCACAACTAACAATCAATAGCTAGGAACTACCCAATAGTTTGTGTTTATACACAGGATGCTAGCATTTCTTCCCTAGGGTTTGCTTCGGGACAGTTTTCTCTCTTTGTTGGTTGGGAACATACCTTTGTTGGCGGCAATAATCAACAGGTTGAAACGATGGCGATTGCAAGGGAGGCTTGTATTTGGAAACAATCCTGGCGCTCTTTCCAGGAAACATGAATGTTTAGCAACAATGACAGTTTGATGAGCATATCTGGGACCATCAAACTGATTCAACTAGAAGACTTTGCCAGTTTGACGATATCCCTTTGACCTAAAACATTTCTGTGACCAAACCGACAAGTTCGATGTGGTCTGGCTTCTGTTGGGTGAGAAGTGCCGGGAAGGCTATCCTTCAAGCTGGAAGGGCGCTTGCATTTCAAGGAAGTTGTCAAATAGGTTTGTCAGTGTGACAGCTTAGAGCCTAGGGAGTATGGAAGCTGTCCAAGATGCGAAATGCAATGAACTGTATGACTCCATACCGTGTGTTACAAAGTTGACCCAGACACCTCCAAAAGCTTCAGGAAACTACATGTCATGATCGTGAATTATTTTGGGTATTCTAGATGTACTCGTTTCTCGTCCAAACCTCTATTTCTCTCAGACAAGTCCCACCCTTGGTAATGAGTAGCCTGTTGATCGCATATCCTAGCAATACAACCAATTCGATGCCCATGTCTATGGGCCAAAGTTGGCGTGTACACCAAACCGAGCCATGTTCTGGGGTACAGGTGTTTACTGTAGTTTCCAAACAATCTCATTTGCGCAAACATTTCAGCAGAGGTGCAATCCTAGACCTCTTGCTCAGACCAACTCGGTAGACAGGTTTGTTGAGGATTGCCGATAGTCCTCGAGAGGGAGTCGTGGTCTTGCTCGAGACTGCTGGCTTCTCCTCTTTCTCTTCCTTTCTTGGCGTTGCCGTATCTTCTGGGGGCTTGGAAGGCTCGTCTTCGCTGGGACCGGTCTTGTTAATAACATTTGGTTTGGATTCTTGCAACACAGCCTTGTCATCTCGGCTATCCATGGCTTCTTTGCTCTCCTCTTCCTGCTCATCGTCGATCTTGACCTCCTCGACTTGATGCTGTGTTTCAAGCTTTGCCTTAGATCGCTTAGTGACCTTGGCGGAAGGAACCGCATTGCCAACAGACAGCTGCTCGACTTGTGGACTCGCTTCCTTCGTTTCTGTTGCAGGTTGACCCGCCTTCCTTGGCCTGCCTCTCTTCTTCTTTGGCTTCGTGACTGGTGTCGCTTCTGGTTGATCCACCGGTTGAGCTTCTTCTGCTGCTGCCTTTTTCTTTGGTCGCCCTCTCGGCTTCTTTGCTTTGGCGGGGGGTTTCGGGTCTGGTTCCGTGGGAAGCTCCGCCGGAGGTTCTACCAGGGGCTCTACCGGAGGCTCTGCTGGAGGTTCCAGGTGCTGCGGCTCGTTGTCGACTGCCCTTGTCTCCTCCACAGCTGGTAATTTTGGTTGGTCGACTCTGGTCGGTTCTGGCACCTCATCAACCACTGGCTCAGCCGGACTCTCACGTCTCTGACGCTCTCGCTGTCTCGGCTGCTTCTCCCTTGGTGGTGACTCGCCCCCAGCAATGACGTCGGGTGATGAATCCCACCTCAGTCCAACAGACTGCCCAGTCGCCATCCTCAGCGGGTCCATCATACTCGACGGCACCGGGGCCGTGCTCGGCATTGGAGCGGTGCTCATCAGACAAGTCCCGATGCTCCGAGGGGTGTTAACGTTGGTTGCCTCGTCGCTTGAACCGATGTTCTGGATGTTGAACTGATAAATCGGGGGTAATGGTTGGTTTAGACTGTCGCTAGATGGCATATGCACACTCTCGTACTCCATCTTTTGAGTTTCAGTCAAGGGCTTTGGGGCGATGTAGAAAGAAACATCGTCCATGACTGGTAGCGTGGGCGGGAGCATGCTGGGTGTTGGCGCTGGCTGTGATTCTCGTCCTTCATTGTCATTGCTGAAGGGAATGGTGACCAGGTCAACTTCATTGGATCCTTGAAGGGATGTTTCTGGATAGTCCACCTTCCTTCGTTTTCTCCTCCCCGATGGCGAGATCTCTAGCCCGTCATGAACTGGATCTGGATTCCTTCCAGACTTCGTGTTTAGTAGGTCCCATGTGGTTTTTGAAGTTGACCCCAAAGTCTGCTGTGGCTCTCGGCGTTTAATGCGAATCTTCGTTTTCGGGCGTCTCTGCCCAACTTCAGGAGAGCTCGGTACATCCCAGGGATCATCCATAACGGCCGTGGGTGCCTTCTTCCTCCCTGGTGTTGACGCCTGCGTGAATTCATCCGGGGTGTTTCCATACTGGGCCTTTTGCCCTTTTGCGCCTGTGCGGTCTGTGACAGAGGCGAGTGACGATGGCTCAACCAGTCCTGTTACGGTACGCTTGAATGGTGCTGGTGCTGTCATTTCGGAGCTTGAGAGTTGATCCTGGTTGTAAGATCGGGTCGTCCCTTCTGGAACATAAGTTCGAGCTGCGTCATTCTGCTCGTCGTAGATATTCCGGAAGAAGGACGGATCTGTTGATGTTGTCGCGCGGCTTACACGCCCTGAAGAATTACTTGTCGCAGCCTCAGCTCCAGCAGGCGAGATTGGCCCCCTTGGAGGCGGGGAGTAACTATGGTCCTCGTCATCATCAGAGTCTAGGATGATGATGGGAGGCATCCTGGCGGGCGACACACCAAGGTGCTGATTGCATGTGTCAATTGTATTCTTCACCTGAGAGACAAGGCGAGCGTGTTGTGACGTGGGGCCTTCTGACACGCGTGAGCACGTGACCTCGCATGTTTGGCACGATGGTCAGCAACACCACAACTCAAGTCCACAACCTCAAGATGCACATGAGACAATTTACTTGGTAAAACACTCAAATCACACTAAGGCAGGTTGGAAAAGGGTTTCATAATTATGAAAAATAGGTCAATTTGTTGATTTTAGACCTCCATCTGCTCCCAATTGGGAGGGTATATGCAAATGTTGAATGCTCGCCAAACCATCCGTCCCATTCCCAATATCATTCCGTATCCGTAGGTTAACTTTTGGGATTCCACAAACACTACTGGTCTTTTTTGACCAGCCCCAAACGCCGATGTTGAAATCGTAGCTGATCCGCAGATTCAGCCTCCACATAAAAGCACACTCCTTATTAACACAGTCATCATCATCATCACCATACGCCACCTTCCCCTTCAACCCTCAAGCACACAGCATGGGTTGATATTTACTGGGCGTACTTGGTGCGGAAGTACTTAGCGGCGTTAACCATGTTGCTAAGAGCCTCCTTGGTCTCCTTCCACTGGCGGGTCTTGAGACCGCAGTCAGGGTCGATCCAGAGCTGCTCAGGCTTGAGGAACTGAAGCATCTCCTCGATGCGGTCCTTGATCTCCTGCTCGCTGGGGACACGAGGGGAGTGGATGTCGTAGACACCAGGGCCGATGTGGCGGGGGTAGGCAGAGTCGACGAAGACACGGAGGAGCTTGGCGTCAGACTTGCTGTTCTCGATGGACAGAACATCGGCATCGAGGGCAGCGATGGCGTGGAAGAAGTCCTGGAACTCAGAGTAGCAGAAGTGGGAGTGGATCTGAGTGGAGTCCTCGACACCAGTGGTGGACAGGCGGAAAGCCTTGACAGCCCACTTGAGGTAGGCGTCACGCTCCTCACCGGAGCGGAGAGGGAGACCCTCACGGAGAGCGGGCTCATCGACCTGGATGACGTCGACACCGGCCTTCTCAAGGTCGACGACCTCGTCACGGAGGGCGAGAGCAAGCTGCTCAGCCTGGACGGACTGGTGGACGTCGTCACGGGGGAAAGACCATCGGAGGCAGGTGACGGGACCAGTGAGCATACCCTTCATGGGCTTGCTGGAGACGGTAACGGCGTACTTGGACTCCTTGACAGTCATGGGGGCAGGGCGGGAGATGTCACCGACAATGATAGGAGGTCGGACGCATCGGGAGCCGTAAGACTGAACCCAGGCGTGGGTGGTGAAGGTGTAACCATCCAGGCGCTCACCGAAGAACTGAACCATGTCGTTTCGCTCGGGCTCACCGTGGACGAAGACATCAAGGCCAAGCTCCTCCTGGATCTTGATGTTCTCATCAATCTCCTTCTCGATGAAGCGGTCGTACTCCTCAAGGGTGATCTCGCCCTTGGTGAACTTGTTTCGCTGGACACGGATCTCCTTGGTCTGGGGGAAGGAGCCGATGGTGGTGGTGGGGAAGAGAGGGAGGTTCAGCTTCTTCTGCTGCTGGCTGATACGGGCAGGGAACTCGCTCTTGCGGTTGTAGTCTTGCTCGGTGATCTTGGACTGGCGGTCCTTGACCTGGGGGTTGTTGGTTCGGGGGGAGGTGGCACGAGCCTGGATGGACTTGGCGTTGGCCTCAAGCTGCTCACGGACAGCAGCAGGGCCCTCAGTAACAGCCTTGGCAATGAGGGCAATCTCGGAAGCCTTCTCAGTGGCGAAAGAGAACCAGTCGGCAACCTCGGGGTCCAGCTTCTTCTCGCTGGCAAGAGTGTGAGGGGTGTGGAGGAGGGAAGAGGAGGTGGCGGCAATGACACGGTCCTTGCCGAGCTTCTGGATGGCAGTCTCGACAATCTCAATAGCGCGCTTCAGGTTGGTCTTCCAGATGTTGCGGCCGTCGACGACACCAGCAGAGAGGACAGTCTTGGGGCCGAGGGCACCGAGGACCTTCTCGAGCTGCTCAGGGTTGCGGACAAGGTCGATGTGGACACCATAGACCTCCTTGGGGAGGAGGTCAAGGTTGTGGACGATGTCACCGAAGTAGGTGGTGAAGACGAGCTTGGGGATCTTGTCACCCAGGCTGGCGAACTTCTCATAGGCGGGCTTGAAGGCAGCCTTGGTCTTGGCAGGGAGATCGAAGACGAGGACGGGCTCATCGATCTGGACAGTCTCGGCACCAGCCTCCTTGAGCTGGGTAAGGAGCTGCTCGTAGACGGGCAGAAGCTTCTCGAGGAGGTCGATGGGGTCGACGGACTGACCACGGTCGGCCTTGCCGAGGTGGAGGAAGGAGACGGGACCAACGAGGACGGGGCGGGTGGGGATGCCAGCCTCCTTGGCCTCCTTGAACTCATTGACAGCCTTGGGGCTGGAAGTGAGAGTGAAGGTCTGGTTGTCCTGGAGGGTAGGCTTCACGTAGTGGTAGTTGGAGTCGAACCACTTGACCATCTCCAGAGAGGGGACATCGACGCCCTCCTTCTGGTGACCACGGCCCATGGCGAAGTACTGGTCAATGGGGTCGAGACCATCCTTGGTGTATCGCTCGGGAACGGCCTGAGAGGTGGGGTCAGCACATGCTTATGACATAAGATTGTATGAGGTGAACATACACCAAAGTCCTGGATCTGGTGAAGGACCTGGTCGTAGAGGGCGAAGTCGTTGCTGGGGATGACATCGACACCGGCATCCTGCTGGATCTTCCAGTGGGCAAGACGGAGACGCTTGGCCTCAGCGAGGAGGTCAGCCTGGGAGATCTTTCCACCCCAGTCTAAGCTTTGTTAGCGGTGAGGCCCAGATAGATATTTTTCAGTGAGACTGACAAGCTTCGGTGGCCTTCTTCAGGTCACGGTTGACACCCATACGGGGGAAACCGAGGATCGCGGACTGAACCATCTTGGCGGTTTATCCGTATCTGGATGATTCTTTTGTTTTGAAAGATGCTATTGTAGATGTTAGAAGCAGAGTTTTCGTCAGAGAGCGTGGGGAGCACGGAGCAGGCGGGGAGAAGGGCGGGGTGAGGGGCAGTCGGCTCGCAAGAGCTGGAGGGGAGCTTGAAGAGGGAGCTTCACGTACAGATTGGTTCAGAGCCCTTGCCTGTACCAAATTGGATCAATTGAGAGATCCTTTTCGAGAGAGAACAGAGGGCAAAGAGAGGATGAAGAGGAAAAGAAGAAGAAGAGAAGAAGGGAAGGAGCGGAGGTAGAAAAATGTTTTTGAGACGAAAATCTCAGGCAGGGAGACCAGGCCGAAAGCGGGGGAGGGGTAAAAATGTGATGAATTGGCTGCTCATTGGCACCACCTCAGACACAAACACACAGGGGAGCTTCAAAGTTCTGATCTTCATGCTCATGGCAGTACGTACCTCCATCCTACGACAGCAACACCTCAATCTGCGCAATCTCACGTATTCGCACAACAGGCGTGCCGTGGTTGGTTGGCCGGGGATGGCGGTTGCCGGAGTGGATGTCCAGGGCCTCTCAGGCGGCTTGCGGGCTGTCGGCGACGCTAATGGAGGGGCAGTTTGCAGCAGCTTTGCAGCTTTTTGCAAGGGTTTGCACCGTTTTCGCAGGGCGAACGGGGCGGGGCCAGCAGGCGTCCGCGAAGGCGTGCTTGGTCTCGGCTCCCGAGGGTCAATCACCTCATTAACCCAAGCCCTTTTCTCTCCATTGAGACGCCGTAGAGCAAGCTAAGGATCTGAGGCCAAATTTTACGCCGCCGTAGATCGGCCTTTGCACCCACTCTTTGCCACTTTGTTGTCTGATCGACCGTTCTTTGCTCCCCACCAAGAGTCCATCTCATCGTCTCCTGCCATCGCGTGCCGCTGAAGATGCCACGTGCCCCATCATTGTCTCTCTGCGCTTGGTGTTACGAGTGTTTGAACCTACGGTCTATGTAACTGTAGCTACCGGGCAATATCGGGGTCAATCGGCCATTCTATCGGGCTTCTCTCGATGTTCGGTTGAGAGGCTTAGTCCTTACGTGAGACATCATGACTCCATGGATCCATGTCTGAGTTTACCAACCCCTCCCGCCACGAATTGTTGGGAAGGGGAGGCTGTGGACGCGAATCATGTAGCCCGATAACCATAATCGGAATTCACCTTGATTTTGAGGCCCTTTACCTTGATTCGTGGCACTTTTGACCTAGACATCTATTGGGCAAGGTTCCGTCTAGGATTATGAGCTATGTTTCTTCAAGGTGAAACCTTCGCGTACGAGCATGATTGGATTGCGATTGCTACTTTACTACGTAGTAAACTGCCGCCATTTTTCAATTGCCAATTCGATGATGATCATAAACTCCAAACTGCTTCCGTGATGACTGCAATGCCTCCCAGTAGCTGCTCCAATCAAGCATCAAGGAGCCATGGGCGGAAACCAAACTCTGCATCAAATACCTAAGGTCCCGTGAATGGGTGTTACAAAATGGAAACGAACTGGGGAGATGACGACCCATTGGCATCGATCCAATACAATTGGATCAAGGGGAACAAATGATACCAAAATGCAAGATATGAGTTTGTGCTTTCCTTCCTTACCTCTTATCATGCTTTCGGTAGAGCAAGGCAAGAGGCAACTCCACTGTGCACGAGGCATGGCGCGAATGCCCTCATAGGTAGGGAAAGAACAACCTGAGAGAAGCCGCAGACATAACTACCTACCTCGACAAAGACTTCCCTGCCATCTATTCTACTTCCACTGACCCTTGGATTCCTCGTCCTTCAACCTTTGGACGTCTTTCTTGGTCTTCTTCATCTCCATTCTGGTCGTCCTCGTTCTTGGCCCTTCACGGGCACATGAAACCAATGCTTTCTTGGAACACCATCATTCATCCTCGACCTTCTTTTGTGGCTTTCTCCAGACAAATCCAATGACGCTGTTTTGCTGTTGCAGGCCTCATCGCATGACCCCAGGAACATCATCACCCCCCCTTCAAGATGTAGCCCTTCAGCCAATTCCCTCTTCAACCTCACCTACTGGGCAGGGACAAGCAGACTCGGAGCTAAAGCACCAACCTTCACTGATTGGGCTATCTGATGCTCCATGGGCGATGCCAAATCATCAAGGCTCCTATGACAATGGTTCCATTATCCATCACCCCCTCGACGACGATTCCGACAGCGATCAGGATCAACCCCACGCAGCCAAGAAGGGAGGCTGCGCTTTTGACGCCGTGCGGAACAAGCTCATTCGAACCATGTCTCACGATTCGAGTACCAAGAACCCATCACTTACTTCTCTTGGCAATAGTGACGAGGAGATCGCACGACGAGCCGAGTTGAGGCGTCTGATGCGTCAAAGAATCCAGGATGAGCTGCAAACAGAACAACCAGACGACGACATGGAAAACAAGCCTGTGCATGGCATTCGCTGCATAGCATCCATAGTCAACCTCGGCTTGCCAAGTGCTGGACCTCGAGACGCCATTGAATTCGGTGTCAACAAATCTCCCTCCCTCGACGTCCGAGTATCGCGGTCTGGTAAGGAGCAATCTCACGAAAGAGATATACCAGAGCCGCAAAACACCACGGATGACCAGAAAAAAGTGGTATTGGATCCAAAAAGTCCTACGGAAGGAGACAACAAGGCTGAGAAAGATGGTGATAAAGGCGATGGAGCCGGTCTTGCTATCAGCCTCCCATCACAAACACCACGGTCCGGACAAATAGAGCAAGCCCATTCTCAGAAGTCTTTCCAGTTGTCTAATAGTTCCACTCGCCTTGATCGCATTTTGGGCCCTGACAATAGCTTCAATAGCCGCCATGCTTCTTCTTCCGCCGATGGTCACTCGGCTCTTGGAGTGTGGCTGATTGCTCAGGGTCTTCGTTCACGAGACAATTCGACCCTTCACTTTAACGATGACGAAGAGGAAGAAGAAGACGGGGGCGTGATCAGTAACTCTCAGGGCGAAAGCCAACCTGTAGCTGCGGAAGCAGCTAAGAAAGAGCCGATTTCAGACTCCCAGAACATTGTATCGAAGGATGACAAGTTACCAGCCAACGAAGTGCCTGTGGCCCCGGGTACACTTGACAGGGCAGAGCCAAGTGGTGGATTCAATTCAGAACGATGCAAGATGGATCCTCATCCCAAGATAGGCTCTCGACGCATTGGGCACAGTTCCTCACCTCTTTCTCAAGAACGAACTGGAGCACCAACGGTGGCAACAACTCGCAACTCCCTTGTCGACAACTCATCGTCATGCTATCCATCCAAGTTCCAACCAAGCCCTGCTCGCTCTCGACAGAATTTGTATAGTCTAGATCTCAAAGAACTCGAAGGCATGGAAATGTCCCCTTTCAAGTGTGAGTTCTTGATCACCCATCACACAGCGTCAATTAACACGACGTCCAGGGCAGGCGAAATCCACCCAGGACCAAGACAGTTCCGAGAAACAACAACAGAACTCAAGCAATGATAGTGAACCTCGAAGCAAAGATATTGACCTTGGTCAGGGCTGCCAAGGCCAAACCCCCACCCAGGCCGCTCCCAATACAGCATCTCGGTCACAATCAGAGTGTGCAAGTTTTCTTCAACGTGAGGCCGAACTTGGGACGATTGAGAGGCGATTTGGTGACCTACTCACTCGAAAAAAGCCCAAGAGTCAGCATGCAAGCCGGTTCCGCGAAGAATTCAACGAGCCCTCTTTGGGGCAGCCTGTTAGCATGTCCTTCATGAGCAAGATTCACCTCACCGTCCCAATCCGGTTCAAGATAAGTTCTCGAAGCCTCGGTGATCACGACGAAGGAAATACGCCTGGGCTCTCACGAGAGCCAAGTCCTACGCCTAGTTTTCCAGAGACCACGGTCGGCAACAAAAAAGGAGCAAGTGATAGACGAAAGAGGCTGTCAAATCTGAGCATCCGGTCCCATATGAGCCCGCTATCATCAGAAATCTTCCAAAAGCCGCATGTAGAACGTCAGGAAAGCGCTACAGACCTGTGGCAACGTGCCATCAGGCTCGAGGCAGAAGAACGGCACAGCGGCAGCAATCGCTTAAGCACTCCCCTTCCGGACCAGCAACGAAGCACCTCATCGAACCGATCATTGAAAGTGACCAGCACACCACAAAAGAGGGCTAGCAAGGGATCTCTTTCAACAGAGAACACTCAGAGAGAAACCTCCCAGCTCACTCCAACAACTGATGAGATGTCTGGTGAGCACAATTCCAAATGGCTCATCCAAAGATGGGCTGCTCAAATGCGACCCGGGACTCCTCACACGACTGAGGGTGCTATGAGCTTGGCGTCTCTAAATCTGGAGAGTCCTCCGAGATCGTGGGCGAGGTTTCCATCATACAATAGAGAAGAGAGAAACAAGAATGCCTCAGCCAAGGATAATGTTCATCCGCGGGATTTTGCGATCAAGCTTGTCTCATCAGAGGGCCAGGTTTATTAGGCCACCGATTTGGTCCCTGGCGAAGAGAAGCAACGTGCTCAGACACTGCCGCGCTCATTTTCCGCGAGACTTGGGCAGGTGGTGAAGTCGAAGATCGTTAAACTAATGCCCTCAAGACATTTTCAACCAGAAAAGGGGCAGGTGCCTGCGAAAGGGCGAGTTAGCTCACAAACGGCTCGCCTGGAGTACCCGGAACTCGAAATCCAACCCACAGAGTCAGGGTACGAAGAACTTCGGGTACTAGAGAGGGAAATCAACAGCATGAAAGGCGAGAATAGGTTGTCAACACCCGAGGGTGAAGCGTCAAGACCACGATCCACCAAGAGTTTGGGTGACCGGATATCTGCTTTGATGCACGAGGCAGTCATGGAGGAGCACCATGGTCATGGCGATGAACCAGCCCTGGGCGAAACCGTCGCTACACCTGCCACGCCCAGTCTACTTCAAGAGAGTATTGTGGCAACAGACGTGTTTCTTACGCCGGAAAGCCGCCTCTCTTACGCCAATAGCAGTCACCAGGGAAAGTCAGGTTCAGATACAGGATCGGCAGAAATCAGAGGGCACGAAGCACTCAAGGCATTCATCGAGGCTGATCCACGTGCGAATCGTTCAAGATCGATAACCTGGGCAGGAAGGCCCCTAGCCGAACTCGCACGAAAGCAACGACGCTCTGACGACGCAACTGGCAACTTATATCAGAACGAAACGAAGAGTATCAGTATGCGGCCTCATAGCAGATGAGAAACCGTGTGAGTCAAAGGTGGATAGGCATGGTGTTATGGAGTTGAGAAAGGAAGTTGGTAAAAGACATTAATTCTGTAGGTATTCAAGGCGATGCTTGTAACTAAGTAACTACTTACGCATTTTATATCCAAACATCGAATGATATACCTGGCTTCGCACACTCTATGAAGACCTTGCTTTTGTTTCGTGACATTGTGTCGTAATGAAATGGGTGTTGAGCAACACGCATATCCCGCCATGGACACCTCAGACCTGACGATCAACGAGAACCCTGACCAGATGGGGAATCCTACAAGCCGTGGTGTAGGCATCAAGGGACAGTGAGCTAGAGTCAGTGGTCAGTATGGGCACCAAGAGGCTGGGAGGAAAGGGTGCGGTCTGGGAACCACCAGGCGACTCTAAACAAGGCCAAGACCACTTTAGACGTATTCCTTCTCCTTCTCTTCCTCCTTGTCCCTCAACTCAATACGCTCCAGCCGAGCCCTCGCCTCGTCCTCTTTGCGCTGCATTTCCTCCTTTCGTTCACGCAACGCAATACAGAAGCGAGAGCGGGCGCGAATGCTAGGACCCTTCCAGATGAAGACAAATGGAATGATACACATTAGGGCACTGAGACCTCCAAGAAGGGAACATGCACCGGGAATTTCAAGGCGACGGAACATGGGGGTTGTGGCCAGGGGTAGGACGACTGCGAATAGGGAGCGGCAGGTAGAGGCAGCGGCATTGGCGGAAGCGGCGAAGATCTCGTAGGCGTCTGTGAGATAGTTGAGCATGGCCATAAAGATGAGCATGAAACCCATGCCAAAGGGGATGCCGGCCAGCATGGGTGCGATGAAGGAGACACCTTCACGAGCGGACCAGCCGAGCCAGAACAAGGAGATGACGAAGAGGGGGCCACCGAGGCAGGCCAGAGGAAGACGACGATATTCTTCACGTTGAACCCAGGGGGCACCGCGAGCTGTAGCACGGGCTAGGGCGTTGTCCCAGGCCCAGAAGATGGGCAGAGTGATGGCTGCGCCAAAAAAGATGGGGAGATAGGCGAGGCCTGTGACACCGGGTGAGAGGCCATACACGTCTTGAAAGATGATAGGAAATGCCTGGAACGACATGTAGAAGATGGTGTAGACGAGAGAAAGGTAGGCACATGTAGTGCTGACGATGGGTTCAAAGATGAGCATGCGAAGGGGTCGGGTGAGAACCACAGTGAGGAGTTGTCTAAGGTCTGTCGACTCAAGATCGCGAGGGGCAATAGCTCGAGAAGCTGGGTCTTCCTTGCGGAGCTTGCGGGCACGGCGAGACAGGAGGATTGGTCCGTACGTCTCGGGGAGAAAAGCAATGAGAGCGAGGGTCACGCCGGCGACGATGAGGGCAATCCAGAAGACCCAACGCCAGCCAATGCTAGGACCAGCGAATCCAGAGATGATGGGAGAAAGAATAGGGCCTCCAGTTGTACACTATTACCTCGAATTAGTTTGGGTTCTTTGATCAAGTATTGGCAAGTCATGATGACGTTGGGTAACTCACCACCATGAAGATGGCAAACGCTCTCCCTCTTGTTCGGGGGTCATTATACACATCGGCCAAGATACCAGCAACAATAGCAATAGGCGAGCTTGCAAAGGCACCGCAGAAGAAGCGAAAGATGAGCAGGGCAGGCCAATTGGGGGCGAGAGCGCAAGCCATGGTGAAGACAGTAAACAGGCCAAACGTGGCGAAGCTGAGATCTCTCCGGCCGAAATGCTCGCTCAAAGGGCCCCAGATAATGGGGCCAAAGACGTAACCGATGAGGTAGACCGATATAGGCAAGACTTTCCCGGCTTGAGAGGTGATGCCAAAGTCCTCGACGATGTTAGGGATGGCCAAGCTAGGCAGGGCAGAGCCCATGGTGGAGTTGATAACTAGCACGGCCGTGTAGAAGAGAACCAGGTTCTTCTTCGACTACAGACACAGAACCATCGTCAGCAGAGTAACTACTAGACTAGATCCAAAGTTACATACCTTTGACCAGTTGTATGGGTTCTCGGGGTCGTCCAACTCCCAATTGACGAGAACCTCGTTTGTACGGCTTCGAGTTCGCGAGCGAATGTTGTGAAGGGCACCGATGCCTCGATCAGCCGCCTCTTCTTCATAGCGGGACTGAGCTTCGATCTCTTCCAGACGGTTGATCCTATCTGATAAAGTACTGCTTCTTCTCCGACCCCCTGGTTGTGTAAGCTCACGATCCAAGAAGACACAAGGGATTGCTAATCAAGGGCACAGAAAATGGTACAGCGGTGGCTTTTACTCACGGTATGGGGACGGATCCCGCATGGTCTCGCCGGATTCACTCGAAGGCATGTTGGTTTGTATGAGCTCAAGATACAGTTCAAGTTCACTGAGGTTATTCACACAAGACACGGGTCAATTGGGAGAAACAGAGTGGCAACAGGTAGTTATCCGAGGATGCAAAAAAAAGGAAGCATGTTGGCCCAGCACGCAAAGCGGAGCAATTGTCCTCTGACTCTTTTGAGTGTTCCCATGACGGTCAGTTCATCAACACAAGGGCGTTCAACCCCGCCCAAAAGCCGGGGATAAGACGGCTCCGGTCCACGATTGGCTATCTCAGAGTCCGGAGCCGGGCCTCAAAATATGGGGGGCGGTTCGGATGGGCGTGGGATGGCGCCGCCTTCGGGGGGGCAAAGTGTGTGTGTGGGAGAGCATTGCTCTGCGGGAGACCATCGTGGAGGAGGGAGGATGCTACCCGAGGTGAGTTGCCTATCCCGGACCGATCAATCGGATATCGATCGCAGCCCAGTTCGCGTTAGCGCGGAGAACATCGAGATTGCATGACGAATCGCGGCAAAGGTGATGGATAGACCGCTTTATCAACGAGGAGATTCGCCTTTGGCTCGTTTTTTTTTTTTTTCGGTCGACAGGGTTTTTGCTTTGCGGACCGGCAGTGAGAGCCGGAAAAAGTGACAAGAACACTAGGCCCGGGCAGTTGCTCTGCCATACCGACCCTGGCAGAGGCGTCCATCGGAAATAGAGACCGACTTTGAGGCCCGTTTTGGGGGCGTCACGAGATCTGCTGTCAAAGGTTGTCCAGGCTGCTGCATTTTCAAACGAACTAAGGATAAGAGTTCACCCGGTGTTGGCTTGGCATTGGCTTTTGCCTTGTCTCGTTTCGAAGGGGGGGGTATCAGGAGCTTCAAGTTTCTTGTTCAGGTCTCTAGGTTGATTTGCTTTCCGAATCTGGCATACAGCTCGACCTTGAGCTTGGTCATGTCCTCGCGGATGGACGAAAGCTTCTCCTCCAGCTCTGTCGACTCCTCCTCGAGCTTCTCTGTGGCTTCCTCGAGCATCTCCTGAGCCTGCTCTAGGGAGACGTGGAAGAAGGCATCGCCGATCTTGTACCTGTGGCGGTGGTTAGCCGTTGTTTATAGACAGAGACGGTAAGAGGGTCTGTACTGGATCTTTTCGTCCTCGTCGGCAAGTTCGAGTTCTGTGGACAAGTCGTCGAGTTCCTCCTTTTCCTTCTTCAGAGGGATCAGTATTTGTCCAACAAAGTTGTATAATTCGTTGGGCGGGTAACCCCAGCAGACGTACGTTCTTTGCGCCCAGCTCCTCCTCCAAGACAATCTCACGCTGGTGTAGCCGGCTGAATCGGTTGATCTTGTCCTGATCCTCTCGTCGCACCTCGACTTCGTCGGTCGTCTCCTCGTCCGCTTTAGACAGCTGCAGAGCCGTTAGACATGTTCGTTATCAAGGCGATATACAGGAGAGTACTTACCATGCGGCGCTGCATTATTGAGGCCATGTTGGGCAACTGAGGCGTGTCTGTTGTACGGATATCAAGCTTGTGATCTTGCGCCCACAGCTCAAAGACCACCAGAGTCCAAGGTGGGTTACAGTGCGGGGATAAGGCGTCTGGGCTGACACTGTACGCCCGAGCCCCTCCTCAGGTTCCTTCCGCACTGAAATTGCCCTGAGCGGGTCAGGCTGAGGGTGTGAAGCTCCAAGGTACGTACCTCAAGCTCGGGCGCTGCCGATTGGTCAGCTCCGCACTCAAGACACCAGGTGAGGTCAGAGAGCCGCCAGGCTGAAAACACGCCTTGTCAACTTCCAATTGCGGGGACAGCTCAAGCGTGTAAACAAGTCGACCAGCTTCATCATCATCATCGTCACCATGGCTCTCGGAAAGAAGGCATACCCCAAGGCGACTGTCAAGAAGATCATCAAGGCGCATTCTAACCACAACATCAAAAAGAATGCCGACGTCACGGTGCGTGTGGATAGACTCGCGGTCGCAACATGTCATGCTAATGTTTACATGCTATAGATCTTCCTCGACTATGTCCTATTCATGGAAACGTACGACTCCGAGACCCTACATCGATCGAAAGAATACTAATAGTCACCATTACAGCCTAGTAAAGGAAGCGGCGATCCAATCGAAGCAATCAGGCGAGCGAGGACTGTCTGCCCGAAGCGTCAAGAAGGTGACGAGAGTATGTACCACGCGATACTTCTCTTCCAACACAGACTAACAGTTCCATCCAGGACACCTTGACAAAGTTCAAGGGCTGAAAAGAGACAACTCACTTTGAACCACGACATACGATCAAGATCGGGTGACAACGGGGCCGATGATGTTAACTGGGCCGAAGAGCCATGTCGCGACGAGCCTGCACCACCACGAAAGCATACTCATAGTAGAGTCTATGGCGCAACACAATACGTCTGAGGAAGGCCAGGACATTGACTCCACGCTGCACCCTCTAAAAAGGGGCTCGTCGCAAAGAGGAGGCAGATGGAGTGCATTGGCTGGGCACGAGACCAGCTGAATCCAATGCGACTTGGTGGGTTAGTGGGGCAGTTTGCCATGACGATGGATGGATGGCAACTGGAACAATGGAGCCCCTTGAATCAAAGAGACGGAAGGATACGTAGCTGTCGCAAAGGTGAAGAATGGGGATGAATGCTTTGGCCGAGCACACGGCGACAGAAATGAATCAATACAAAGCATGCCAATTGAACCATTGTTGGATTGTGTCTCCATGACTCCATCCATTCTTCTTGCTGCTTCTAGAAGAGTGGCCAGTGTCGCTCAGAGGCCATGCAGGGGGTTGCCGGGCACTTGGGGTTAGTGCCACTGGCGCCCGGGCTGCCACTGGCGCTCACTGCCCTGGGCTGCCTGGGCGGGCTGGCTCCATGCTGGCTGGCCTCGTTTGACCTGTACCACCACCACCACAACTTGGCCTTCTTCTTCCTCTCCAACTCCTCTTTTTCGTCTTCTCCCACAACTCACCCGCATTCTCCACCTCTCCACCTCTCTGCTTCGGCATTCATCTTACCTGTACTCCCTCTCGATCCTCTCTACGACGTTTACGTCCCTAAACCAAGCTCTCTCCACCTCTGCAAGCCTGTCGCACGTCACCGACGACAGCGTCTCCAACCCTCGCGCAAACAGTCTCTGACTCGATCCTCCACCCTCGACCTCACACCACCCTCTCTCCCGCGATGGCTGCCCAGGCTGCTCAGCCCGCTTCCAAGTCGGCCAAGAAGAAGGCTTCCAAGGCCATCGAGCGAACTGAATCTCCCGCGCCCAGCGTTACCTCCGCCGCCGCCGATAAGACCGGCGACGACACCTTCGAGTCACCCTACATCAAGGAGCTCCAAAAGTGAGTATCGCCGCTCTGCTGCGGCAGTTTTACAGGAGCTCGACGCTGACGGCCGCAAAAGGAACATTCGCAATGTCAACAAGAAGATTGTGAGTCTTGCGCATCTCTTTTCGCGCCCAAACGCTTGACGTTTCGTCATACTGACCCCTCGCGACTAGACCAACGCTTCCAAGACCGACGCCCTTCTAGCCCAACACGCTGACAAGTCGCTCGATGAGCTGGTTGCCACCAAGATCATCAACCCCGATCAGAAGGCCCAGATCCTCAAGAAGCCCGCTCTGCAGGCCCAGCTCGCTCAGTTCGAGGAGCAGCTGACGCAATACCAGAAGGTCGACGAGCAGTACCGGACACGCGCCACCGCTGACAAGGCCGAGTGGGAGAAGGGTCTCGAGAAGGCCAAGGCCGATGCTGTTGCTGAGGCTAAGGAGGAAGCTAGCAAGTCTCTGAACGACAACCTGCTGGTCCTGTCGCAGTTCCTGCGACTTGCTGCCTACCGGCGTGAGGAGGCTCAGGACCCTGAGTCTGACGAAAGCCAGGCTATCGAGGGTGTCCTCCTCGCCATCTACTCTGGCGACCAGAATGCTGTTCAGTCCATGCTGAAGCTTGTCAACGGCACTGAGGACCAGATCTTCAGCGTTCCCGGAGAGCAGCTGCAGACCACTTGTAAGTTGGCCGACCGTTCCGTCATGTCTTTTCTAACAAGGTGCAGTCTCCAAGGTCAAGTCTTTGGCTCAAGAGTATAAGACTCCCTACGACGAAGCCCCGGCTGCCGAGGGTGAGGCTGCGCCCGCCGAGGTTGCCACGGACCCTACGGTTGCACACGCCTCCGCCACCGAGATCGAGGCTGGCGATGTTGCCGCTCCCATCGAGGCTGCTGCCCAGCCTTCTTCCAACGGTCTGGCTAATGCCAGCGTGGCCGACGACGCCGCTAACGCCGTCGCCGAGAGCCATTGGGATACCCCTAACCAGGAGCTGTCCGCTTCTCAGGAGTGGGTTGACGTGAAGGCCGCTGAGGCTACTGAGCCCGAGGCTGCTGTCCCGGCCCCTGCTACCAACACTCAGTCTTGGGCTGATGACCACCCTGAGCACCCCGCTGAGGTATGTTGATGTTGTATACTTGTAAGGGCAAAGAGACTAATGCGCCGATTCAGACCGCCACTCCCGCCGACCCCAACGACGGATTTCATCAGGTCCAGCGAAACCGACCCGGCAGCCACCGCGGACGTGGTCGTGGTGACTGGCGCGGCCGAGGTGGCCACCGTGGTGATGGCCGTGGACGAGGCCGTGGTCACCGCGGTGCCCCCCGAGGCGGCCGCCGCAACGAGGAGTCGTAAGCGCTCCATAACATGACATGGCATGGGTTAGAATCACAACCTACGAATCTCCTTGCATTTCCCGGAGGCAATGTACACCATGAGATGACGGCGTTTGCAAGTCAAGATTTCTTTGGCATTTGGCCAGGGGACGGTGGGCTTGGGGGCTTTGCATTTTGGGGTTTTGCTGATTTTGGGACTCGGAAATACATCTGGCCACGGTGTCGGTCGGAGTCTTTAATACCTTTGTAACACTGTAGGCCTTCCGGAAGGATACATGGGGTAGTAGGTAAACAATGTGAATGGATGCCCGCCAGTGTGCTGTCTTGGATGTGAAGTCGGCTGAGTCGCGTGATGTCATTTATGTGAGACGATGAGACTTGGAAGCAAGATGTGATTGTTTAGTACTGATGCTAATGACTACTGATCCAGCACCATTCATTTGACAAGGCATTGGTCAACGCGGACACTTGTTGAGCTCTGAGCATCGTGATGTGGCTCGTTGACGTAGGGCTGATTTTGAGCTTCGACCTGTGCCGTCATAGGGTTCGCAGGGGTCTTGAAAAGTGTGGGGAGCTTTGGAGGGGTTTCAATTGGCCAGGGGTCGGGTCCTTTTCAACCCCTACCGACTTATAGCAACGTGGTCCTAGGAGTGTTGAAATGTTGCTGTGAAAGGTAGCGTGCCTATTGAAACCGGAATAATACGATATTTCTGCCGTTATTGACGTTGAAAGATTGCAGGCAGTCGGCTGCAGGAATGCATCATGCAAGCTGTACCGACTACAGGTTCAAGCTTGGTGGACATGGTGCGAGAACGGCACCATGACAAGGGCCTTGCGGCCCGACTAAGCGTAGCTTGCCTCTTCCAAAGAGAACACCTTGGCCAATTCACGGATACAAGCAGCGGCAGTCACGCACTTATCCACGAGTTTCTGCCTGTGACCAAAGATCATGAACTTTAGACAACAACTGAGCCACTTGCCACGGCTCGGGACTTGGTTGGGGAATCCTTGGGCTTTGATGTGTCAAGCGAATTGACCGCCAAGACGAGGCCGAAACCAGGGGTTTCATCTAAGGAGCTTATCGGACCAATAGGTGACCTCTGTCAGCTTATCGCGATTGTCAGCCTCGCATTACAAGGCACGTCAGCGCCAATCTGTACCTATTGTTAGCTGTCCTCTTTCCTTTGAGTGGCTGGAAACTTGCACAAGCTTTAACAGCCATCGTGGCTTCTTGCTACTAACCCGTGAAAGTTGTCCCCATTGGAGAGTCAACCTACCCATCCATTGAGGCCACATCAACCTCTCTCACCTACTAACCTTTTTTTAACGAAACTTTCCGGCTCTTCTTTTTTTTCTGCCATAGACGTTAATCGTCTTCCCCTTTTTTTTCTCTTTATTGCTTTACAGAGGCGGCGTTCCTCGTTGATAAGACTTGTTCCCCAAAGAATCTGGTGCGCGCGCACCCCCACCAAAACACCACCCATGATGGCGTCCTCAAGAGTATCGCCTCTGAAGGCGCTCCTGGCGGCCGTCTTCCTCTTTGCCACAAACGTTTTTGCCGTCGCCGCTGTTCTGGGCGTTGATCTCGGTACAGAGTTCATCAAGGCCGCCCTCGTCAAGCCAGGCATCCCCCTCGAGATCGTCCTGACAAAGGACTCCCGCCGAAAAGAGACGTCGGCCGTCGTCTTCAAGCCCTCGCGAAATGGTCCTCAGAAGGGTCAGTACCCCGAGAGGGCGTACGGCGCCGACGCCATAGCTCTTGCTCCTCGATTCCCCAGCGACGTCTACCCGAACCTCAAGACCATCCTTGGTCTTACTACACAAGACTCTGTTGTTCAAGAATACGCTGCCCGACACCCCGCCCTCCAATTGGAGGCCCATGCCACCCGAGGCACCGCTGCTTTCAAGAGCAAGGCCTTTACATCTGAGGTGGAGGCATGGATGGTCGAGGAGCTGCTCGCTATGGAGCTGCAGAGCATCCAGAAGAACGCCGAGGTGGCTGCTGGTGACGGAACCAGCGTCCGCTCCATCGTCCTCACCGTTCCTCCCTTCTACACCGTCGACGAGAAGCGGGCCGTCCAGACCGCCGCCGAGCTTGCCGGCCTAAAGGTCCTCAGCCTGATCAGTGATGGTCTGGCTGTCGGTCTGAACTACGCCACCAGCCGAGAGTTTCCCAACGTCAGCAACGGATCTAAGGCTGAGTACAACCTAGTGTTCGACATGGGCGCCGGCTCTACCAAGGCTACTATCATGAAGTTCCAGAGCCGATCCGTCAAGGACATTGGCAAGTACAACAAGACCGTCCAGGAGGTCCTGGTTCTGGGCGCTGGCTGGGATCGCACCCTTGGTGGAGATGCCCTGAACTACCTCATCCTCGACGACATGGTCTCGCAGTTTGTTGAGTCCAAGGGTGCCCAGAAGATCTCTGTCGCCGCCGAGGACGTCCTGGCCCACGGCCGCGCCGTCGCCAAGCTCAACAACCAAGTTGAGAAACTTCGCCACGTCCTCAGCGCCAACCAGAACACCGGAGCCAGCTTCGAGGGTCTGTACGAAGACATTGACTTCAAGTACAAGATCACCCGCGCTCGGTTCGAGGAGATGGCTGAGGAGCACGCCGAGAGGATCACTGTTGTCGTCAATGATGCCCTTAAGACGGCCAACCTTGACATTATCGACATTGATTCCATCATTCTTAACGGAGGCGCTACCCGAACTCCCTTTGTCCAGAAGGTTCTTGAGAAGCTTGCCGGTTCCGCAGAGAAGATCCGAACCAACGTCAACTCTGACGAGGCCGCCGTCTTCGGTGCCGGTTTCAGGGCCGCTGAGCTCAGCCCCAGCTTCCGTGTCAAGGAGATCCGAATTGCGGAGGGTGCTTCGTACCCGGCCGGTCTGAAGTGGACTGCTGGTGAGGAGGCTCAGCACCAGCGTCTCTGGTCTGCTGTGTCCCACCAAGGTGCCCCTAAGGAGGTCACCTTCACCAACAACGAAGACTTTACTGCTACATTCTACCAGCAGGTTGGTTCCGAGGAGAAGGACGTCAAGACCCTGACCACCAAGAACCTGACTGCCACTTTCGCGGCCATCAAGGAGAAGTACCCTTCATGCATCGAGTCGGACATTCAGTTCAAGCTCGCCGTTAGACTGAGCAGCGAGAACGGCGAGGTCGAGGTTGTCAAGGCCGCTGTCGAGTGCGAGGCCGAGGTGAAGGACGGCTTCGTTGATGGAGTCAAGAACCTCTTTGGATTCGGAAAGAAGGACCAGAAGCCTCTCAAGGAAAAGGAGAAGGTCGAAGGCTCTGAGGAGGAGATGAAGGAGAAGGCTTCTGAGGAGGCCTCTTCCTCTACCGAGTCCACCGGATCCGAGGCTGAGGCTACGGCCTCTGGCAGTACTGAAGAAGTCAAGCCTGACGTCAAGAAGAGAGAGACCGTTGGCATTCCCGTGGATGTGGCCTTGAAGAATGTCGGCATTCCCGATCTTACCAAGGCTGAGATCACCAAGTCAAAGGACCGCCTCAAGGCGTTTGCCGCTTCCGACAAGGCCCGACTACAGCGAGAGGAAGCCCTTAACCAGCTTGAGGGATACACCTACAAGATTAGAGATCTCCTTGAGAACGACGCTTTTGTCGCCGCCGCCACTGAGGAGGAGAAGACCAAGCTGGCTGAGCTCTCTAGCGAAACCAGCGAGTGGCTCTATGACGACGGAGCTGATGCTTCCAAGGATGTGCTCAAGGCCAAGCTCAAGGTTCTCCAGGACCGCGTTGCCCCTATTCAGAAGAGGGCTGATGAGGCTGAGAAGCGCCCTGAGCAGATCGCTGCTCTAAAGGAGATTTTGGAAAAGACTTCAGAGTTTGTTGAGCAGATCAAGGGACAGATCAAGGAGCACGAGAGCTGGCATTCGTCCGCTTCTGCCTCTGCTTCTGCCTCTGAGTCGATCAAGTCCAGCACCACTGAGGCTCCCGCTGAGAAGGAGTCTGGCGAGTTTGACGGTCTCGAGGACGAGGACAGCGCGTCGACAACGACGACTCGCAAGATGGAGGATGTCATCAAGGAGAAGGGACCCATTCCTCCTCTGTATGTGATCGAGGACCTTACCGAGGTTATTACTCTTCACAAGTCAACCAAGGAGTGGTTGAGCGAGATGGAGGTCAAGCAGGCAGCCCTAAGCGCGGTTGAGAACCCCGTGCTCCTTCTCAAGGATCTCATTGCCAAGCGCGAGAAGCTCGAGAAGGCCGGTATGGAGGTAGCCCTGAAGGGTGCCAGGAAGGTGGAGGAGAAGTCGCGACAGGCCAAGAAGAACGCCAAGGCGGCCAAGAAGAGCAAGAAGAGCAAGTCTTCATCGACGACTAGTGGTGACGCGTCTCAGGAGACGGTCAAGATCAACGCCGAGGACTTTATGAAGGATGGCGAGCTCGACCAGGAGCAGCTAGAGAAGCTGATCAAGCAGCTCAAGTTGGAGAACGAGCAGAGGGAGAAGAAGGGTGAGGAGGAGGGAGAGAAGAAGCCCACGCATGACGAGCTATAGATGGCGGCGCCCAGTTGATTTTTTTGATTGTTTTTTTGTAGCCCAAAAGGGAAAGCTACTTACCATTTGGTGTTGATACTGTATGGATTGATTGATACCGGTACAGATGTGGATAGAGCATCTGGCCATGAGCAAGTAGACACTTGAATGAGGACATAGTCACGATAACCCATGCTACCTGCGTAGCTATCTATTGTAGGTGAGATATATCTTGTCTTGGTCACTTGACACACTGTTCCATGGAAGCCAACGCATCCATTCCCGAGATGTTCCTCCGTCCGACATGTCGTCAACAAAGGTCCTCGGCAACGGCTCGCACGGGGAGAAGAAAACTCGTCATCAACTCCCCAGCCCCGTTTCCCGTGACCGATCCCGTCCAAGTTTGCCTCGTGGGTTCTCATGTATCGTATCAATGCCATGCTGTTCTGTTACCAATTGTACTTGAATTGTACTTGCACATGGAGAAACCATACATCTCCCACGAGGCCTCCTCTCCCCCCCTTTTATCAACATGGTACCTCCAATCGTACATATGCGTGTCTAGGTTATACTTGTGTAGCACGGTTGCTACCAGAGACGCGGATAGGAGAAAAAAACGCAGGTTCCCGTGTTTGCTACAAACAAAAACCAAGGAGATACAAGAAACGCGTGCTGTGTAATGGGGTAAAGAGTGTCGTCTAGATGAGGCGACTGTCATACAAGCGGGAAGAGAGCCTGTTTATATTTGATTGCCTCTCTTTTTTCCTCGTCGAAATGAAACCCTTTTTTGATCTCGTGATGTTAGGTGAAGGAAACACTCTTGGCGAGTTGTTAAAGCGGATCGTGGTACTTGGGTAATTGGCGATGGTGTTTCCAAGTGATTCACTGGTCTTGCACTGCCAACCGTTGTTTTTTCTTGCCATATAATTCCCTCCTCTTTCTTCCTCCCACCTTCCTTCCCTCAGGTAAACAAAAAGAACCCCTCCTTTACCATCCGTCGCTCCTTCCTCCTCCTCAACCCTCTCGCTTCACCTTCTTCACCCGCACACACGCCAGCCTATCTATACAACCCTTCTCCAACCATGAGAAGCCCTGTTTTGCTCGTCACGCTCCTTGCGACAAGCTTCGCTACTGCCCTTGTCGTGCCTGCTGGCAAGGCTCCTGTGGGCAAGGTTCCTGTTGGCTTCTCTCTTGAGGCGAGCACGCGCAGTGGCTCCAAACCTAGCTTTGTCAGGGCGCTCGTCGCTGCAAAGGAGAAATGGGGTGATGGTGTTCCGCGACAGATCCTGGAGGACTTTTCTCTTCTTGATGATGGTGAGTTTATGCGATTCATTGATGTGAATAGGTGCTGATGGTGTGCAGATGGCCAGGTGAACGTGGAGCCCATGGAGAACGACGCCATCTACATCGCCGACGTCAAGATTGGTAACCCTCCCCAGACGGTCAAGATTGCCATCGACACTGGATCCGCCGACTTGTATGAAGCCCACTCCCATGTCTGTTATGCTGTGCTGACTGTTTAGCTGGGTTCAATCCTCCGACACCATCTATCGATTCAACCCCGAAGGTCCCTGGGCTCCTCAGTACAAGCCCAACATGTCCAGGACCTCTCGTCGTCTTCGCGATGCGATGTGGGATGTTTCCTACGGTGAGTTGACATACTCACCAATGTCTGGTCAAACCTCTAACTCGTGGTTTTAGTCGACGGCACCCACGCTCATGGCAGCGTCTATCTCGACACGGTCCGCATAGGCGACTTCGAGCTCAAGGACGCAGCCATCCAGTCAGCGCACATTGTTGCCATGCGATTTGAGACTCACACCGAGATCACGGGTATCATGGGCCTTGCCAAGAACCTCTCCAGCAATGTCAGCCCTCAGACTCCCTCTCTGCTCGATACGCTTCGTCCCCATCTCGAAAGCCCAGTCTTCACCGCTGATCTGCGTCGCAATGCCACTGGCCGCTTCGATTTCGGTCGTATTGACGAGAGCCGGATCAAGGACAACATCACGTGGGTCAACACGCGCGAGGATAGTCCTCACTGGGATGTCGCCTTTGATATGACAGCCTGGAACGGTCAGCGCCGTGTTTGGTTCGCCCACACATTCGAGGCCACCGTCGACACGGGGACCTCGTTGCTGTTCATGCCCCCTTCTCTTGCTGCTCTGTACTGGTACGACGTGCCAGGCATGCGCATCGACCCTCGTCTCGACAACTCCTTCACATTTCCCTGCCAATTTGCTGAAGGTCTGCCAGACCTCATGTTCAAGATACCCGGCACAGAGCACATACTGACCATCCCCGGGTCGTACCTCAACTATGGACCCGTCAAGGACGATCCAGAGTACTGCTGGGGAGGCATGCAGAGCGCCGACGCTATTGGCGGTGTCACCATCTTTGGTGACGTGGTGCTCAAGGCGCTATACGTTGCTTTCGACCTGGAGAACAACAAGGTTGGGTTTGCCAACAAGCATCTCGACGATGTCGATGAGTGACATTTGATGGCACATATTCTTGAGGGCATGCGAGGAACCTAATTCTGCTAATTATGACCAAGTGTGGTACAAGTCAGCTATTGTAATGGTACATTTCGATATGACGCAGCAAGCTAGGGTTAGCAACTGAATTCAGACCGAGACACTTAATCTTGACAAGGACGTGAACAGTGTGAGGAATCAAGCATGTATTACCCGCCTATGTGGAATAAACCTGGTGATGCCTCGATTGACATATAAACTCCAACATGGTGATGCACTTGCCATCACTCCAAGTGTCGATCAACAAGACACTCACATGATACCGCCTATCCAGATGCACCCTCGTCCAAACGATGGAATCCCTCCCCTCCCGTATCCTCCCATGCAGCAAACCCTAGCGGAAATAAATGTCCTAACCTCGTCGAGTGAGCAACAGCCAGATGCGGTGCGTGCGACCGAGAGCGAGAGGATGAATGATGTAGTAGTAGTCAAAAATGTTGCGATGCTGCCTCTATAAAACGCCGGGAATCTTTCGTAGCGAACGACATAAAAGGGGGCCCGAGGGAGGGCGCGCCTGGGATCATTTGATTTGATTCCCCTTCCCCTCAGTCCCCAGAAACTCCAACAACCAGTATACATGACAAGCAGCCGTGGGCATGAACGTTTGGTGATGCGCCCAGGCCTGATTCGTGAACATCCAAAATAACAATGCGAAAGCTAACCCCGGTCGCCGAGGTGCCATGGAGCCGGTCTTGAGACAAGTGAGCGGTTTCGATGGCCTTCTCCGCACATGATGCTCGTGTGAGATGAGATCCACCGCGGCAGGGGTTTGCTTTGGTCTCCTGAGACTCGACTGGGCCTTGTGAGAAGATAGATTAAAATGGCCTATAGTCGTATGTCGTCCTTGTACTCTCTATTCATGGTCTCCGTCTTGAAAGTCAATCTTTTCGTCAGCGGGGCCCGTCTCGCAAGTCAGCGTGGGTGACGACATAGTATTCACCTTCACTGGCGCCCGGGGTTGGGGGCATGTTGCCCGAGGACGGGGCCTGCTGGGTGGCGCGGGCGGTGCCTGGTCGTGAACGAGCCTTGGCGTCATCCTTGGAAGCGTCTTCGGCCTGAAGGTTCTGGTTGCGCTGCTGGTCGTCGTCGGCGGCGCCCTGGTTGGCGACCTGGGCCAGAGAGGGTCGCGATCCGCCCGGAGCGGAGCGGCGGAGGCGGTCCTCCATCTCACGGATACGAGCCTCAAGCGAGGCAAGCTCCTCCGCGTTCTTGTCGACAGTCTGCTTCCTGTAGATACGAGGTTAGGCATCGTCGCCGTGGTCAACGAGTTGAAAGTGGTGGACCAACTTGTCGTGGACCTGCTGGTCCAGATCGCTCAGTGAGTTTTCGATGCGGAAAATGTCCATCAGCTCTGCCGAGAAGGAACGGGCGATGGTTCTGTCGAGGATGTAACGGTTAGCTCTGCGCGCGCGCCACTGACGAGTGCATCGACGGCATCGTTTCAACCATCAATGGGGAGGCATAAAGGGGAGACGGACGATTGGGGGCGACGGCCGTTGGGCTGCCAGTCGCGGTCGAGCTCCTCATCGGTGAGAGTCATGGCGGGCGATTAGAATATAATGCGATCGAAGAGATATGAGGGTATCACGGAAGGAGTTAACAAGATGTTGGATGATGAAGAAGAGTTGAGAGATGGAGGGCGAGAGGAGGGAGGTTTGAAAGAAAGTAGAGGTGAGAGAAAGGTTCCCCCCGAAACAACCAACTTTGTACCTTCCCAAGGCCGTACTGCATCCCCAAGGGACGGGTAGTACCTTGGAGCTAGCGACTGGCGCATCTCCCTCGGCAGGCTTCCCCCCACCTACCGCCCAGGGGACAGCTCCTGGACCCCTCCACTCCCTAGCGGTTAATGGTTAATGGTTCAGAGGGGACTGCCCAGCGGGGCTTAGGGCAGCAGGTCCCCTGGAATTAGCGACCTGCCTTCAGGGGGCGTGTGCGGTCAATGCAGGGTGTGAATGTTTTGTTTGGCAGATGGGAAAAGGAGACGAGTGATCACCAGTGAGGACATCGATCGAGTAGACACTAGAAGGTTGAGTTACATGGTTGTTAGATGAAGACGATAGACTTGTGTCCAAGTGACAGGTCCTCGGGGATCCAAGTGTCAGCAGGAGTAAAAAAGGGCCCAAGACATGGCGTCTCCTTTGTCTGGGTAACCATAACCCATCCATCTAATTAATGGACAAAGGATAATGAGGAGGGCGCATCATGCACGCACCTCACCTGCAGTCAGTCTCGTCATGTCGTCCTCATCCAACAGCCGCACGCTATCGCAGATGACAAGTCGACCGTCTCTATGTCCCAATTGGCTCTCGGACACGAGATTGGCTGGTTATTTGAACTGTGCCCCTTGCCTTGGGTCTATTGAGAAAGTGGTATTAAAATGAGAGCCGAGATAGCATTTAAAGAGGGAGTGTTGTTGACACGCCCCCATCATCATCATCATCATCATCAGATTTCCTCATCTGCGAGAGATGAAAGTTGAATGACGGATGCGGAGAAGCCGATGGCTGTTGTAGCTGTTACCGCTCCTGCATGCATGACAGGCCCAGGACCGCATGAGACGTAATAATTAACCGTCTATTTTTACAGTATCCGTGTTTCGTTTTACTCCTGACGCATGCAGCAGAAGCAACAGTCATCGGCGACCATCCAACCCATGGATCTCACATACATCACCAATCACGACTGCAGACCTCAAACTCATGTAGCTTTCCTTTCAGAGCACGATAATTTCCACTTCAGCTAACCTCGAGGCAAATGAAGCTCGGCTCGGCAGTGCCCATCACCATTCAATACATGCCCAATTCCAGGGGGGGCCAGTGGGCGTATGACATCAATCTTAATTTGCCCTTTCTATTAAGATTGGAGCTTTTTTGCCCCAAACCACCCCCCTTTGGCTTTATCCGAGACCTGTTGACACAATGAAAATCAATCTCATTCCTTCTCTTGTTTACCCGTCCCGTCGCGTGAAACTGTTCCCATTCCAGTCCAAAAAGTCATTAATGAATGCGTCCACCAGGGGGGCAAGGGTCTCATGAGGGCTCATGCCCATGACACTAAACTTGCATGCGCCTTTTTGCTCATTTGCACCCGCAAGTAGATGGCCCATCTCCGCTTTTGTCTGGGGGAAGTGTAGTGTGGTGTGCCATGTATGCATGAAATACGCTTGTGAGGTCATCACATCACGGTTGTCGTGCATCAGAACGTGGCCGTTGGGACCTGACCTGACTTATCTATGTCCATCATCACGAGCCACTCACATCACGGGATCTAACCAACCCAACTTTGGCTGCCCTGACCATAGAGTCTCTACCAAATCTCTCACGGGGCCAGGATGGTTATCTTGATCGGGGTTTAAGCACTTGCGCAACCATTCGAACCCGAGGTTCAGGGTAGGATATTTGAACGAGGATGATATTCGCGAAACCTCGTGTCCGGCTCGTGTAAAGTTTCTTCTTGGCAGCAGAGCCTCCTTGTCGAACCCTGTGCGACGACGTCTTGCTGCCTACGTTTATTGCTTGCTCCAATGCGAGTGCGCCCTGTTTGGGTTCGTATTCTGAGATATCGCTTCGTCCTGCTTCATCTCAGTTTCAACCAAGCCAGCCTCACTTCAAGCCCTTTCGGTCTCCCAATATCATCCTCTCTCTGTCCTACCAGGGTCAACCCCCACGGCCCGAGCATTTGTTCCTGTCAGATTCTAGAAGCACCTGATCGATTTTCCCATGAGGCATCCTTTCCATCCCCAGAAAGCCACCACGTGAGCTCGCCAGAAGGGGAACGCTTCAAAAGATAAGAGCCAAGACATCACAACCCATCCATCATCGACGGTCAATGATACGCTGTTCTAGACACGACTCATTCGTTTACTTGGCCAAAAAAAATAAAAGAGAAGGTCAAAAAACACAATTTCACATGCCCCGTACTGGAATCGAACCAGTGATCTTATCATTACTAGTGATACGCTTTACCACTAAGCCAACGGGGCTCCTCAGTGAGCTTGCTGACGAAGAGAGAGATAATTCGCATTGTGTGTGTCGGTGTGACTGCTTCGACGACGACGACGCTTGGGAGATGCTTCAACATCCTTTCTGCCAGGTTCACTGTGCTGTACAGGTAAACATTGACCAAATCGGCTAGGAGCTGTTAATGAATGATACAGCCAGGACTATTTTTACATCTGTATGCTTCTCGTATCGACCCCGAGATTTTATGCCCAGATGCGGAAATGCACCTCGTGAGCCAGAGCATTTCATTGGACAGCTTCAACCACTCCCAGAAATCAGATTTCACTCAATATCTCACTGCTTTAGGCGAGTTGAGACGCACATCAACTGAGGCTCGTAATGTACCTGAAGGGACGGCGGCAGATTATCTCCTAAAATGGTTCACGGGTAACGATGAAAGCCCCTCAGCTTGGCATGAGGTTTGACCTTCACACTGTCAGAGTGGATTGGGTGATTTTGGGAGTCAGTGCTAGGCACACAAATAGAGGTCCATCTGAGGATTCCTAAAAGGGTAGAAGAAGCGCTGCATAAGGCAAATGAAGATGAAGTGAGATATTTCTGATCAATGCTAGTTCTGCCGTAGCCTATCGCAACGCCATTGTCAGTGGCCACCAGATGCCGAATCTGAGCATCAATTCAACACAATGCAAGGCATACACATCTGGATCTATTCGAATTATCGCCAAAAGAAGTTCTATTGTTACCATCGACATATAAAATCTCAACCCCATTCCGTGAAGCCATCTCCTTTCTCTCCTCTCCTTCACCACGATATCGAAAACTCTTTGACAACACAGATATCAACTCAACCCACCACTCAAACCCTCACTCAAAACACCCGCCAACAACACTCGACATAAATCAGCAACAATGGCTGACTTGTGCGATTGCGCCTATGACCCCCTGCTAGAGCCAGCCCCCGAGAACCCAGGTGTCGGAACTAGCTTCTACATCACCGTCCTTTTGCTCTGCCTGTCCGTGATCGTCCAGGCCCACGGGTGCTGGCGAATCTATCGCAACAACCAGAACCGGGGCCCTATCACGGTTTTTACCTTTGAGGACGGTAACGTCCATGTTACCTTCCCCTTCGAGGATGAGCCCCCTGCTACCATCCCCCTCGAGGACGATAACCTCCAGGTTGCCACCCCCCTCGATGAATAAAGCATCACCCACACACCAATGATACAACCTGGAGCTTGACACAACAAGATTCGTCAGGTATGTATACTACTCTGAAATCCAACCTAGAACATCTGACTGACATCAGAGGCAGACCACTCTACATCACCTCGACGCTTTGAAGGGTGACCCAACATCGAGCGGCCATCGAATGCCAACCCACAACAACTCCAGATCATATCATCAACAGCTTTTTGGAATGGAACATGTCGCCGCTGAGGGAAATGGTGGATTTGGGGGATGAGCTTGTCCAGCCTGTTGACTGTGGTTCGTGGGTCCAGGCATGATATTTACACATGTTCTTTCACCTCTACTTTTTAATCTCGGAGATGGCACAACTAAAACAACCTTGACAACTCATTTGTGTCCCTGATGTGAAACTGTCTATCATAATCGTAGATATTTGATTGCTTGTCAAGTGACGAGTTGCCTGTGATGTCCATGAGAGTACCCTACAAGAGTTGCTTAGGTGCACAAGTCCAACGAGGAAAGGAGCTTGAAAGCACGGGGCAATGATGGCAGTGTTCGTGCTTTCAAGGGTATCACCAAGTGTACGTGGGATGTTATCAATGGAAAGAGTCGGTGAAGGATACACCATAGATTGATTCGCCTGTCTATCCTTTATACCATCCCCCCTTCTTCTGAAGGACATTAACTCCCGGCAGCCAAATACGCCGGCAAACCAAACAAAAACTCCATAACTACAAATAGGTGTGTACATAAATCATTCCTTCATATCTCACGTTTTTCTTCTTTTCTTCTTTCGTCTCGTATCTGTGTTCATCGAATGCGATCGTTGATCTGTCCATTGTCCCATTCCTTCAATGTCTTTATACATTCACTCACTCAAATCGTTCATCTTATCGTATGTCTTGCAGTAATTTCTGTCATGCTTCATAAAGCCCGTTTAGCTGCGGATCGAAGGCGACTTGCCCAGGCCAAACTGGATAGAGGGCGGCTTGGACGCCTGGATCTCGGCTCGCTTCTCGGGGTTCTTGGTAGGGTCGTTGGCATCATCACCATCAGCGCCAGGGTTGGCCATCTAAAGTCCATTAGTAACCTGCATTAATGCTGTAGAACAAAAGACTCACCTCGTATTCCAGAGTCTTGATAAACCAGTAAAACGCCACAGCGATGAGAGATCCAATAAAGGGACCAACCCCTGTTACTCGTTAGTATTCGATAACCAATCAAGGATTCCAAGCCTTACAGTAAATCCAATGCTCAGTGTCAAAGGTACCAGTTACTACACAAGGACCAAAGCTTCGGGCCGGGTTCAGAGAACCTCCAGTGAACTGAACACCCACCATCTCGGCGATGAACAGAGCCAGACCAATACCAACGGGGGCGATAAAAGTGGCACGGTGCTTCTCCTTGGCAAGCATAAAGATGGTAAACACCAGCTCAGCCGTTAGAATAGCCTCGATGAACACTCCCTGAACCAGTGATGCTCCACCTCCCAGTGTAGTCCTGACATTGAACGCCTCGGGGAAAAGGTAAAGTACCACAACCGAGGCAAGCATTGCGCCGAGGATCTGGGAGATGAAAAGGCAGATAGCTCGTGTCAGGCTAATAGCCTTGACCATCAGCATGGCAATGGTAACAGCAGGGTTAAACAGACCACCGCTGATGCGGAAGAAAACCCAGACGTTGACCATAAGAGAGAAACCAAAGATGATGGAGATGTACAGAAGGGTAGAGACGGAGAAACCAGTCGATTCTCCCGTGGTAGTCTTGGCGCTGGTGTTGGACTGAATGTTGGCTACCTCTGTGCCAGCAAAAGCAAAGAAGAGAAACATGGTGGTGCCGATAAACTCTCCCAGACTAGCCACAAAGTGGTTCTTGAACTCAGAGTTCATCCACTGCGTCAAGGGGAGACGCATCACCTGTGCCTTTTCATGGGCGGTCAGGTTGTTCCACTCGAGGCGGCCCGAGGCAAGGTTGACACCATGGCTTGAAGAGGGACGGCGTTGATGGTTGATACGACCTGGATGGTAACCCATCTCTTCGTCCGTCAGCCGTCGTCCTCGGGTAATCTCGAAGGGATCCTTGGCGTAGCGGAGATCATCATTGTAGAGATCTTCATCAGAGTCATGGGCCGCAGTTCGCCGTCGGTTCATGAACGCCGGGGAAGGACAGTTGCTTCTCCGGGAGGTATATCGCTCTGGACGACCCTCATTGCGCCAGTATCGCTCGTAGTCGCTGAGCGTAGGGTGATCACGGGGCTCTTGATCAAAGTCCCAGTCTTCGCGAAAGCGACGCCGTTGAGACTTCATGGAACCTCCCGAGTGCTGAAGAGGATCTACATCATGAGAGAATCGAGCTGCGCCTTTGGGAGTGGCATATGCACCAGTACGAGAACCGGGTCTTGATCGAATGGGTTCATGGCTGGGAGCGGGCTGAAGGGGTACAATGGTGTCGGCTTCTGAGGTTCGTGAAGGTTGCTGATCTAAAGGGGAAGTAGGAGGTGCAAAGGGTACGCTCTCGTTGTTTGGGGAGCTGATGGCCTCTCCTGGAGGGCTGTAGGCCGACACATTGGCTGCAGGTGTACTGCGAGCTGAGCGTGTGACGCTGGGTGTGTGTAGGGAGGACATGTCGAAATCAGGGGTAGGGGATCTCAAAGATGTTTCAATAGAAGGCAAAGAATCAAGAGACATCAACCGAAATGCGAACTCGAGAGAAGTCCTCGATTCTTGTGCTACTGTTGCTGCTGCTTTGCTAGCTGTTGGTTCATGATTGCCACCATCGAGATGCCCTCGATATTTATGCCTTTGAGCTCTCGACAAAGAGGCTGTACTCAGGGTTCCCCCAAGATCCGCATCACCCCGACTCGGCCCTGATTCTCTCAATTAACCCTTGCAAATGACATCGTTGGAGGTTCCAGTGTGGGGATGGAGGCATTCGAAGGAGCCTCGGTGCCAGATTGCATCGGCCGCACAGAATAGGCTGAGATGGCTGCGAGCGAGTCCTGACTTGCATGCGTGGAAGGAAAAAAGGTGGGCTCAAGCTTGGATCTTGAAAAAAGTCTGAAGGGTCTCGTCCATGGGAGGTCCCTGAAGGACTGTAAGCCGACGTGGCGAGCGGGGAGGTTTGGTAGATAAGTTATGGTGAGAATGACGTAGCCGGTAGCGGCCAAAGGATCTCGACGATGCCGGTAGCTTGCGAACAAGACTCAGATCGTTGCCAATGATACGAGGCAGACGAGGCGAGCTAGCTACGGGTGGAGGAGCTGGGATCAAGGCTGTAAGTGAGGCTGGCTGAGAGGCCCACAAGCGGTGCTTCAAGTTGAACGACATACGTAGGTCGTGCAGCAAAGGAACTCGCTAAGCCAACTTGGAAGGGGGGAAAAACTTCTTTCTCTATCGAAGATCACAGAGAAGCTGTCGTTTCATGTCACTGAGCGCTAATGCGGCTTTGACGCGCAACCACGCGATCACTTGCATGCCTCACTCAGATACTTGGTGTTGTTTTGTAGGTTAAGGTTGAGACATGCTGTACCCAGGACCAAGGTATGGAGATGCTTGCTGGGTGTTTGACATGGTCAGGGCGCCTTTGCGGGGGAGGTTGGATGGGAACCGGCCTCGTTGATTTCACTGTAGGAAGACTCTGAATCGAATGTAACGGCATCGAAGATCATCAAGACGTGATGATATCTGGGGCTAGTTAGTGGAAACCTTCCTTGGGCTTCAACGTCGTGGGATGCCGGGTGGCGGCGAAAAACAAAGTCCGAAGCCTCCGAGACGTATTCGGCTCCGAAAGAGGGCTCTCGACCCACAGCAGGACAACCTCAAAGTTGGCAATGCGTCTCGCGTAAGTAGCGGTCGGTGGCAGGGACGATTGAATCCTGAGAAAAAGGTCGAATTGAGCATTTTTCAAAGGGACCAACGGCCAAGAGGCTAGGCAGTTGAATGCGGGGATGGCTTCATCGGCGAGACAGAAAAGAGGTTGGTTTGGCGGGGTATCAAGGACCCTTACTCCTGGGGTTCAGGATGAAAACGCACGCACAGCTCGCTTGAGTGAGCTTCAATCAGGTCATGAGGGGTAAATTGTCTCATTGAGGGGAAGTGGAACTGATCACGCAAGAGGAGCAAGGGACGGTGATGCCCAAGAGTTGTGACGTGCAGTTTGGATGATTGAGATGGTGTTGAGGCTGGTACTAACACAGGGAGAGACGAAGCAGCAGATGATGATGGGTGAAGATGACACGTGACCACGCGTCAACGCTTCAACGACAAACCATCCACTCACGTCACTTTTCTCCCCTACCCGCGCGTGTAAATCGTATTGCCCATGCAAGTCCTGCCAGTCGCCATTGACATTGACTGCCGCCTTGCAGTGACAGGACAGGATAGGAACAGCCAGTCTGCAGTGCAGGTTCCCTTTGCCACAAACCGCTGCACGTGTTTGCCGTTCATCGGGTAGGCGCCTGCTGTTGCTGCCATGGATATCACGCGGGGTTCAAGGCGTGCCCGCCATGTAGCTGCTGCCCATACCACTCCCAACGCCGCCGCCGCATCAAGCCCTCAAGGACCTGGAGGTACCATACCGAACACTTCTTCACCCGCTGGGACTCCCAGCGGTCCTGCTAGACTTCCTCCAGCCCAGGGGGCATCACCTGCGGCGGCGCTGGTAACCCCTGATGCCCCTGGTGCGCTGCATCGGACGCCCGATCAACCTCCCGATCAAAGGCGTCGTCGAGCACCTCCTCCGAACCCGTTTCGTCTTTATAGAAGTGAGTAGGTCTAATTCTTCTTCTTTTTCGTCCCATCTCTTTTTGGAAGTATTTTTTGCCCCACCGCTTCTTGCATTGCTCTGCCAGTTGCAGTGTCGTTCATGCAGCTTTTGCCAGTGCCAAAACCCCTGTTAGTGCAAATACAAAGTGACGCCTCTGGATGCAGCGCATCTACCAGTTGAAATGCGCCTGAAGCTCTTGACGATGATTAACTGTCACTGGCATCAAGGATATGACCTCATTTGGGCTTTGGAATCTTCCCTTTTCGGATGATTGCAAAAATCACCAGAAAGGTCCTCACTCTTCTCCAACCTCTTGCTCTTCTCCTCGACCACTGCACTCACTCAACACTTCCCACCACTCAATTCATCTTCTTCAACTTCATACATCTTCAATCGCTCTTCACGCAAGATCATCTCTTTCGATTGCTCGTTTTTCTACATCAATCACTTGAAGAATACGCAATCAATCCGCAATCATGCCCGCTCTCCGCAGCCGTTCCACCAACGTTCGGCACGCTCCCCTCAAGAACAAGAAGCCCCTCAAGCGAGCTCCCCTTCAAGAACTTCCCATCAAGTGCAACAGTCGTCTCAACCGCCAAGGCGGGTGCACAAACATCCCTCTCTACTCGACAGGCCAGGAGAATCTTTCAGCCATCGCTCAAGAGGCCGAGTTTCTCGCCTCCTTCAACCCGCTGAACCCTCCCATCTACGTTGACGAGGAAGCCGCCGCTGTCGAGGAAGTTGTTGAGAACTTGTCTGCCTTCTCGGAGAACGTGCAACGTGCAATCATTCCGGGCACCGGCTTGATTGATCTTGACTTGATCGACACTGACGGTGTCGAGTTGGACGGTGCTCTCATCGATCTCGTCAACTCAGTCATTGAAGAAGAACTCGGACAGGCAATGGATCAAATGGAAATGGAAATTAACGACATGCTAGCTGCTCAGCCCGCTGATCACCCACGCTTGAGCATGCCTCTCCTTGACTCTGACGATTCGGGCTCCGAGCCCGACCTCAGCGTCCTGGGCATGGCCCGTCCCGGCACCACCGCCGCCCCTCAGATTCCAAGCCCTTACAATAACCGAGGCGCCGAGCAAGTCGAAGATGAGGAGGAAGAGATTGACGACGACGAGGCCATGTCTCCCGAGCAGTATGAGGCCGAAACCACAAGCATTGAGGAGGAAGATGAGCCCGCCGAGGACGAAGACGTTGAGGAAGTTGCCCATCTCATCGACCCAGCCACCGCTGGCCTCAAGGAAATCTCCAACCTTGCTCGCTTCACCGTCAGCAGCCACAAGCCCGGCAACGGCGTTGAAGAACTCAAGAGCGATGACCTCAAGATGTACTGGCAGTAAGTCTCCCCCTCATCACCCTCTCGTATGCACCAGCAACTGACACACCCAGGTCCGACGGCCCTCAGCCACACAAGCTCACAATGTACTTTACCCGCCGCGTCGACATCCGCGACATTCGCTTCTACGTGGACTACAACGAAGACGAGTCATACACCCCAACCAAGGTGGTCTTCAAGGCCGGCACCGGCGAGAACAACCTCATCGAGTTCGCCACAATGGCCCTCGACAACCCCGTCGGCTGGCAGCAGGTCCCTGTCGCTGGTGCTGGCGGCGACCCTGACGGAAACACCCTCGTCGCCTGGGTCCTGCAGATGCAGATCCTCGAGAACCACCAGAACGGAAAGGACACGCACCTCCGCGGCATCAAGATTTACTCCTTCGACAACGAATCCGCCCTCGCTCCCGGCCGCGATGGAAACCCCGTCAGCGACGCCGTCGGCCTCGTTGATGGCGCCATTCGCCGTGCTGAAGGAGACGCTGGACGGGTCAGAGTCAGCAGTGTGCAGAGAGATCCAGCTCAGTATGAGCCCGGCGCCGGAGGACTGTCTATCCCTGACTTCATGCGCGATCCCGAGATTCGTTGAGGTGCAAGGCTTTGCTTAGGGATGGATTATCTGGCAGGGGAGTCTGGAGCAGGAGATGTGTTTGAATCATCTGCCCCGTATGGGGGCTTCAAAAACCGGTGCTTTAGTAGATGACAAAGTAGGGCATGATGAGATATGATACCAAAACTTTACAAACTTCAAAACTCAACCCCTCAAAGACACGTAGAATCATAGTGTTCGTGGTAATGAATTTAAATGACTAGAAAGTTCTTTGTTCGTGAAAAAACGGTTCCTTACAAAAACAATGTCGTTGACGCGTCTCCTTGTCTCCCATCAGAAGAGCAGAGCAACCCTGAGAGACCTCTAATTACACGCTTAGCTCTCTGCCAACATCCCTCGCTGTGGCTACTCATACATGCATGCTATGATAGTCCCCATCTGCATCCGGTCCAAAAAATCCGAGCACTTCTCGAGCCTCAAAGTAGGCACTCGAATCTCCTCTGTCCTCTTCACCATCATCCATCATTCATTAGGCAGCGATACGAGCAGGAAGGTCCTCCATATCATCCATCACGCTGTCTGAATCGTTGGGGTCAACCTCTTCGACGGCATTGATAGAGCGGAACCTGGAGAGGACCCTTCTCTTACGCAGCCGCGGCTGTTCAACCTCTTGTGTCTCGGCAGCTTGCGCCTCAGTAGTCTCAGTGGGGTCCTGGTAGGCAGCTGTGTGACGTCGGGAGCTTCGCTTGGCGGGAGTAGGCTTGGAAGGGGTGGACTTGACTGTCGACTTGCGAGTGGCCTTGGGGGCCTTTGGTGCCTTTGCCCTGCCCATTCCTGTCCTCTTCGCGGTGCGAGTTGCCTTGGGAGGAGCGGGCTCGACATAATCGACGGTCTCAGTGGGCTCCTCGGGTTGGACAGTCTCCTCAGGCTGGGGTGTCTCTTCAGGCTGAGCAGCCTCTGTAATCTCCACGGGTTGAGCAGTCTCAACCGTTTCCATCTGCTCCATGGCAAGAGCTGGATCGACCATGTCAATGTCGGGAGATTCGATGGGCGCAACAGGGGCAACAGGAGCTGCCGGCTCCATCATGGCCATGGGCACAGAAGATTCGACATGATCCATTGGCTCGATCGGCAGGTCGGGCTGAATATTCTCCTCGGGGATGGGGTATTCGCCCAACTGGGCCTCAACGTCTCCCTCCTCGCGAATGAAAGCGTCACTAACGGGGTCGTGATTGTGCTTCGCGTGTTGTGAGCCGGGGACGGTGGCCTTAGGAATAGTGTCCAAAAACACCATCTCATCACCGTCGTCAAAATGGTCATCATCGACGTTGGGAAGTTGGCCGGTCTGGTTGTAGAGATCTGTGAGAAACTGGGCGCAGTCTCGCACGCTCTTCTCTTGCCAGTTGGGCACAGTCTGCTTGAGGCGTCGCCACAGAAGCATCTGGGTAGGACGATGCCAGCTGTTGCGGAATCGCTTGTCGACCAACCGCTGCCAGGGAATCTTTGCTTCCTCCATGGCGGGTGAGCTTTGGATCGCCATGATCATGCGGTAACGTTCCTCCTCGGGCATCGATTGGATCTGTCGGCGGGCCTTCTCCAGACGGAACGTGATGGGAGCATCAGGCTGGGTGGATACCAGTTTGTCCTTACCATGGGTCTTGATGTTCATGGCCTTCCACTTGGTGATGCATTGGAGTCGGCTTCGTGTTCTCATCATACGCTCACTGATGTTTTGCCAATCGATGAGCTCCTCGTAAGGCTTCTTAAGCAGCTCACGGGATGGTTGAATGCGTCGCAACTCGTCAATGGCGCCCATAGCTTCCATCACATACTGTGTGAGGTTACCCTCCTCCCTCTCGTCCCAGGCGTCCTTTCGCTGGGCGTCTCCACAAACAATGTAGTTGCGGTAGCGATCTCGAAGATCTTCGGGGTGACGGTTGATGATGGCAGCAATCTTGGACCACTTTGTGCCATGGATCTCAATCAGGTCGCGAAGTTCAGTGTCCTGCTCAACAGTCCAGGTACCACGAGCAACAAAGTTGTGGAATTTCTTGCGAGTAATGTTGATGATCTTCTGTCGGTGTCGGTCTGGGCAAGTCTCAAAGATGCGCACCCAGAGGGCAGCATGCTCATCACCGGCAGTTGTGCCTCCAGGGGCGTGGATCATCTCGTTGAGCTGGTACTGCTGCATGTCGTGTTCTACCCGGTAGCTCTCAACTGCTTGTGCGATACGGCCGAGCTCTTGGTCGCTGAAACGACCCTGGGTGAAGCCGTTCATTCGGTTACGACGCGCTTGACTGCTCTCTTCACCCTCCTCATCCTCATCTGGCATGGGCTGGGATGACTGGGGCTCGACCTTTCTACGTCTCGTGGCCTTCTTGGCTCGACCTCGAGGCTTGGGTGTCATGGCAGAAGGTGATGGCAGGGGGGCAATTCCATCTTGCTGTACTTCTGGAGATGGGGACTTTTCAAAGTATGTGGGCTTAGCCTTCTTCGCGGAACCCTTGGCCGCAGACCGCGTTCTCTTGGGGGCGGTGCTGGGCGGATGGGGGGTCTGGATGGGACTGCCAGGAACGTCGTAGACATCGTGAGCCTGGGGGCGTTGAGCTGAAGTTGGGATCTCCATATCTGGCTGGGTATAGGGGTCTTGGCTTTCAGAGTGGGTTTGTCCGTTGACATGCTCATTCCATGCTTCTCTGGCCAGGTTCTCGACATCATTATCAGCAGCGTTGGCGGAGCCGTTGAGTGCAAACGAATCGGTGCCTAGATCTCGATCGGTGGCATCGCCAGGGTTTTGCTGAGAGATGGGAGCATCGACATCCATCTCGTCCTGTGCGTTGACGGGGGCACTACCCTCTCTTGAACGAGCTTCACGGAGCTGTAGGCGAGCATTGCTGGGCGAATTGGGAGCATCGTCTGCAATATCATCATAGATTGCATCCGCGCGAGTCGCGTTTCTGGTGTGTAGAAATGAGGCGGCCCCAGTGTCGCGGCCGTTGAGTTGTTCAGCTGGCACAGGATCCTCACCTTCCTGTGTTCCCTGTACGACGTCTTGGGACTCGGCCTCGTCATCATGGGGCTTCCGCTTCTTGCGTTGCTTTCCATCGGTGGAATCAGAGGCCTTGCGTTTGCGCTTTGGCTGTGTAGCAGGGACGGCGTTTTCTTCGTTTAGATCAACAGCTGCGGCTTCCTGGAGCTGGGCCTGGTCGGCAGCTGATGCATTGTTTTCGCCGAGGCTGTCGGGGATCTCGACTGGTGAGGCAGCCTTTCTCTTGGACTTTCGGGGCTTGCGTGAAGATTCTTCCTCGGTCGTGATCTGGGGAGATGCACTGTCGGTGGTGATTCCCTTCTTCTTGCGATCCTTCTTGTCGCGTTTGGATTTTCGGTTCTGGGATGAAGGTGCGTCATCATCCATGATCGCCTCGGGGGCCCGGTTGTCAAAAGACGCGTCGTTCACTTGCGAGGAGTAGGGAGCTTGTGCAGCGTTGCTGTCGAACATCTCGAGCGCGCCAAAGTCGTCTTCTTGCGCGCCTTCCTCTGTGTCGACCTGGGGGTCGTGCTCGAAGCCATCGAAGCCACCCAGGCCGTCAATTGCCTGCCCTCCGGAATCCATCATCGCTTGGGCGGGGGTATATGACTGTTGCAGCTCGCCGTCGCGGTCGACGTCTGGGTTCTTCTCTTGGTGCTGCTCGCCGTCGTGGTCGTGATTCTCGGCACGGTCGGTGGGAGTTTGCTTATCTGGCCCGTTGGATGGTGAGCCCATAAGGGACCAGAGGGTCGAAGCAAGCCGGAAATCAGGCCACTTGCTATTGCCAGCGCCGTTGGACGACATCGATGAGCTTCTCGGCGTCGATGTCTTTTCTCTTGTTCAGAGCACGCGCGAAGAGGACATGTGTAGGGTAAGGAGATTTGAAAAAAGGGTGTGGGGCTACAGGAAAAAACTGGCAGCGCGTTACCCTGAGGCGAGCTGCAGTGTTGGGTGTTTTCGTGACAACCAGGGGTTGGTGCCTTGTGGGTCAGGCATCAAGTCATCTCGATCCGTTGCCAGAGCTCCCAAGGTAAATGATACGATCCAAGGTGCACTAATCCGTACAAAATAACATACAAAATAACTTCTTGTTAAACATTACGAGTACTCTAGGGAAATTAACAGTTGTGTCGACATGAGCCAAGGAAATCTATGCTGTCAGCTGTTGTACAGGTCGCTTCACCAGAGACCAAAGTCATCCATCCACAAGCGCCTTTTCACCTCTTCTCTCACAGCCGTTTCCAGAGAGACCCGGCTTTTCCCAAACCATCCATCCAAATACAAAGGAACAACGTCATTAGTCTTGACTTCTCTCCAAAGGAACGTGACCAGGGTAATCATGAAGGCGTTTAATCGTCTTCCTTCTCCGCCTCCTTGAGCTTCACCGTGATGCCCCTTCGGTTCTGCTCGATCTTATACTGGCCACCAAGCACCAGGTCCTTGGCCACCAGCTCGCGAGTTCGGCCCAAACTCTCAATGTCGGCAATTCTCTGGATTGTACCCTCCAGATGCTTCTCGAAGTTGGGTTCGGCACAAATCTCCTTGAAAGCTCGGTGCATCGGAACGCTGCTCGCACGCACATCTGCCTGGCTGGTGATGCTGAACAGGTTCAAGCTGTCAAGCTCTCGGATAAAGTCGCATCTCGTCATGATCTGCTGAGCAATATGGAAGGGATATGTAGGAAGGATGTGACCGACATCGGGGTCGTAAGTTTGTGCCATCTCCTCTTCCTTGTCGACCAGAGCTTTAGCCAGGCACATAGCAGCAGCCTATACAATTGTCAATGCCAAATCCAGGTCAACCAGTATAGCCTTAACTTACCGCCCACTTTTGCTGATCCATAACATCGTCATCCATCTCAGGACCGAGGATCCAGCATTGATTGAGGAACCATCTCTTCTCAATGTCCTTGATCTTCTCGCATGTCCCGAGCATATCTCTGCTCTTGGCCACCCGGTTCAAGAAGCTCAGGCGACCACCAACCCTGTCATAGATCTCCTCAAGTAACGCACTGTCAAGATTCTCCCTGAAATATCTTTGACGATACCTCTGGAGGGCCGAGATAGCTTGCTTCTTGGGCAGGTCAGTGACAGGCAGGACCTCCATCCTGGTGGCCAGCTGCTTCAGACGCTCGTAGATCCAGTAGTCGTCAGAGTTAAAGACCATCGTGACCAGGTTAGCAGCAGCCCATTGCTCAGCCCGCTGTTGCAGGAGTTCAATAAGGTCTCGTCCATCTTCATCGTTGCGAAGGAGGTGCATCTGGTTAACAATGACGACTAGTGGCTTGCCCCTTTCTCGTCGCTTATGCATGGCAACCTTTTCCAACTTGTTGAGGGCGCGTTCAATGTCAAGCAAGGCCGTGGATTCACGTGGACCCCTCTCGCTGAAATAACCTCCGATATAGTCCTCATGGTATTCATAGTCGAGAGCCTTACCGAGACGGATCCTGAAAATTTCGAGGTCGGCATGTGCTTCAAACATGGCCACACCGTCGCCATCATTTTTGCGCATTGCGTCAATCAACATGCTGCTTTTGCCAGAGCCCTTATCACCAATCAAAAGATGATAGTGTCCAACGTTGCGTCCCATGACAATATCGTCAATACGCTCCTGCTCTGGACGGGGTATCCAGTGCTCACTGTTACCACCAGGCTTATGAGGGACATCCTTGCCAATGGCGGCCAGTTCGAGGACGGGATCACCAGGCTCAAAAGCATTGTTCATCTTGGAGAGCACAATCATCTTGTAGCTCTTGTGATAGATGTAACCGGCAGCCGCAAAGCCAAGGCCCAGCACTAGTATGGATGCAAAAGTCGTGGCAGCCGACTCTCCCATCTTGGCCAGCAGGGTGGGCTCTGCAGAGAAGTTGGGGCCTTGTTGGCCCTGTGCATCGTCGGGAATTTCTTCTACTCGCCCATGTCAGTTATCACTCGGCATTGCATGTTGATCATTGCCATATGGTAAAGCAAGGAAGTGGCATGGATGGGAACCAATGCATCCATTGCTTGTGAAGGACCATGGGTCTCAAGAATGAACCAGCCATCGACAAACATATAGACAAAGATCCAAATATTGCAAATCAGAAACAGGGCTCGTGGATTACATGGGAGGCGCATCTGAGCACCGCGATGTAAGCCATAAGCCGATCTCAGTGACGGCTGGGCAGAAGCCAGATGCCGGCTGGACCCCTGAACACGGCGGCAGATGCAGAACGAATATGCAATCACGGCCCCAGAAAATACGAAAACAAAACAAAAATAGAATGTGCAGAAACAGACAAATCAGCATCCGTACGTACCTCTCCTTTTGCTGCTCTGTGTTGAAAAGCGCAGCCTGCTTGTAGCACTGCTTGGCCCCCAATGACGGGCCCGCGGGCCAGTCCAAGGTGCCAAGCGACCAAAGCTGACCTGCCCGTTAAGGCGTCGCACCAGGCGACCTGGATACCGCAAAATCATGGCCGTTGGCTGTACAAGCTCACTGGGAGCATCGGCGAGGAATTCTGAATTCAATTGACGTACCGCGCCGTCAAGAAGTTCGTGATGAGACCCAGACAAAGGAGGGAAAAAGGGAGCAGAGACTCGCGGGCGTCGTGGCACGAAACAGACGGGCCCGTCTAATTGTACTAAGAAAAAGGGTAAAGGGTACGTACCTCGGGCAGTGACAGACTGCTGCGCTCAGTCTGGCCTTGACTGGTCTTGGCGCACGACATGATCCAGGCACTCGGCGACCACTACTGCACCTCTAACTTAACTGATGTCCATGCCCGCCATGATTTTGCCCTCCAGGGACCCGTCAGGACCCGTCAGGACCGCGCTACGGAGGCAGGGCGCTGGAAAGGCCACTGTCATGGCGCCGTTGAGCGGGGAAGCCAACTTGATCCAGCAGGCGGAGGCCTCGTCAATCGAAATTCAGCAGGACAGGGGGTCAGGTTGGTTCATGGGGTGAATGTCACCGACAATGCCGAGATGACCTCAGCTGAGCCAGAGAGAATTTGATGAGTTGTCAACGCCTTGCATTGTCGTGCTACCTACTACCTAGCTACTAAGGTAGGTAGGTAGAGAGGAGCTTGTCAACCTCGGACACTGCCTTGCGGAGAGGTACATCAACATCGAACCACTCTCAAGCTGAGTTTCTGAACCTTTTGCTTGCGCGTCCCCGAATCCGCCATATCCAAGAATGGCCTTAACATTCAAACCTTGAATGCATAGCAAGCGATATCTCGCTACCTGTTCGTAGGATCCCCCCACAGCAATAATGCCCAACTCCGATTTCAACTGGTGGCCCCTTTTTAGCCGTCGCAACAATGTGGTGGCAATGAGACCCCACGTGACCTCCCGCATGCAACTTCAAAGGCCCTTCACCTCCAAGCACAACAAACAAACGACCTCGCCATGAGTCCAAACGTGCTGCAAAACCGTCATCGAATCAATGACCGTGCAGAGGCTAAGCTTTGCTACACACAGTGACATTACTTGCTTACTTTCTCCAGTGAATCTCTGATACCTGAGCCCAAAGGTGAGAAACTGCCGGAGCAGGAGCGCTCTACTTCTTCCCTCACCTGCAACCTCACCCGCGATTCTACCCCACCCACTCATTTCGGCGACCATTTCTCTACCTAGTTCATCCTGTTCCTTGAGCCTCACTACCTTGTTGCACCCTTTTCTACTACCATCCACTCGAATGTCCGGCCCCAGCATCGCGGCGTAACCAGCAAAGAAGGAATGCCGCCTTTCGCTGCCGAACTCGAAGAGTGGTGGCTGGGCAGTGGGTATGAAGCTCTCACTCGCCTGACAAACAACGAGGATGATCAACTCAGCCCTCGCCAATGCGGATTTGCCCGGGATTTGCAGCGCCGACTCCTATCATTCGACAACGACCGAACTCTTCAGGCTGGAATCCAGGAAGCATGGCCTGCCATTCGTGCTGCCAGGGGCATTGACCACTGCACAAACCTTCGAGACAAGGTCAAGGACATAGTCCGCAACGTCTTCCGACGCCCCGAGGATGGAGGAATCGATTCTGCCCGCGCCATGGATGCACTGGGGTACCTGGATGCGATGGAAATTGATCGTCTGCGTCGTGTCGAAACTGCGAAGGCCGCAGTAGAGGCTCAGCGCGCCCGCGTGATTGAAGCAAGAAAGTCCGGACTAGAAGTTCCTCCTGTCAATGATATTCATCCTCATATTCTTGAAGAGCTTGATCGAACAACCTCTGCCAAGTACAGGCGATTTCACGCCGGTTTCCGAAGTTGGGTAAGGCAATCTGGATGGACACGAAAGAGTGAGCATTTCACTGACTGGACTCGCAGATACTCATCAAAGAATTGACCCAGGATGCCGACCTGCGAAAGGAGATACCCCAGATCATGGCACTACTCAACGCCCTCTTTCCGTCAGCTGTATTCCTCGCGGATCAAGATGATCGAGACCCGACTCCGTATTCGCCAGGCTTTCGCGATAGCATTCGCTTCGCCGTCTTCGAGCATTTGATGTCCCAGGACCCCTTTTCCGAGCAACGCCAAAAGGCCGTTCAAACGAAACTGCTCTGCTGGTGCGACATTCTGCAATACCCCCAGGCCAGAGAGGCTCTCATCCGATACCACGAAGAGACCAAGAAACTGGGAGAAATCTGCTCATTGATCCTGAGTGCCGCTGGAGAGAGCATCCCAAAACAGAGACCGCCCAGTGATGTACCGACTGAAGCAACATCTGCCGATTCTTCTTTGAAATCGCGCGCAAGCACCGCGCACAACTCTTGGCAATTCCTCAGCAGTTCTCCTCGCACACAGAGCTTTGAAGAAACCTTCAGCGCCAGTTCTTCATTCGACGCTAGACGATCTGGTTTGGCATCACCATTAGCATCACCCGTTCCATCCTCAGCACCTCCGGTCCCCAATCCTCTCCTCAAAGGAATGCCTGGTCGAGAGTTTTCACCCGCCAAGACAGACGGTGCTAGATTTGCTGGAGATTCGCATGCGCCTCCCATTCTCTGCTATCCCGACGACATCTCGAAAACAGAATTCCTTCAGCACCCCCTCGCACGCGACTTTGACATGACGTCGCTCGAAAAGTCCATGCTGGGCCTTCTCATACCCAAAGAACTCAAAAGCCGAGAATGGTAGTACAGTCTCGACAGCGAGGATGACGAAGATGATGAGAATGAGTCTGATCACAAAAAGAATCCCCCGCCTATCAACAAGACCCCGGCCAAGAAAGGAAAGCGTTCCAAGACGAAAGAACCCCCATCTCCTGCTCCTCCTATCCCCCCGATTCCGGATTTTGTTCTAAGCACAACCGCGAAACCCAGGGTCCTGCAAAAGTTTCTCAAGCACATTATTTCTCGGTCAGAACTGAAACAAGGGATGGTTATCGACCCTGCTTCACTTCAGGCAATTGCTGAGCATGCGAGTGTCGCTCTTCCGAGTGGATCGACCGCCACGAAGAGCCGACGAGTATTCAAAACCGAGATCTTGCGTCTCAGTACGAGTTCGGGCGCGGATGATGTGGGTTCAAACTCAGGTCACGAGTTGGAGGTTATACACCCGCTTCTAAAAACTGTATCAACAACACAATCTTGCTTTGATGGGAAATCTTTGGTAGAAGTTGAGCCGCTCACGGAAGCGATCGAGGATGTCCCAGAGGATCAACTTCTACCTGATATTGTCTCGCCGACAGTACAGGCACAGCAAGACGACGCTGATGTGAACTATGAGCTGGGAAAGCCCCGCCTTTCGCCAATGGAATACACGCGACTCTATTTGATCGAAAAGGCGAACTCTGAGAGAGAAAACCGGCCCTGCGAGCTCCCTCGACCTGGTAAACGATGTTACTGGTCGGTTCGCGGGGAGACATTCCTCGTCATTCCCCAGATACCTGGCTGTATTCGGCGAGATTTGGCGCCTGGGGGCGATGCCAATCGTGAGGGATCTGGAGGCGGAACTGAACCTGGGTCTGATACAGAGTCAGTGGCAACGGTCAGGCCAGAGCCCCCAAGTGTTAACTTTCCGCGCCTGTCGCTCCATCTTGGCGATATGCGGGGTCTTCTTTTGGATATTCCATTCGCCAACATTGGAAACGAGACGAACTTGTCCGAGACAAACGCCCTTCAAGAGGCGAGCCTTGAGGCCAGTGTCGATGTACAGGAAGGGCTGGACCCAACCTCTATCCAACAACATGGTGAGACATCCTCACACTTTCTATTATATCTATTTGGGAGACTGACTGTAGTAGTTACCGATTCGAAGATTGATAGACTGTCATGTTATGAAACGAAGTTGGAAGATGGGAGCAAGTTCATACTCTCAATGACACCTGATCAAGCTCCTGAGAGCAGTATTAGCGATGATGATGACAACGACATGATAACGAGAGAGACGCCTCCTGAACAACCTTTGGTAGACCCAGCAGATTTCAATGTTGGTTCGAGTCGAGAACTCCAAGATCAATCGGAGTCTTTGTTCCAAACGCCCAAGATCTGTATCGAAACGTCACATCTTGCAGACGAACCAGGAGAACAGCCCGAGCGACTTCCAAAAGGCTTTCAAAATCGTCCCCTTTCACCGGAAACCTCGAGATTGCACGCTGGAGGTTTACTTACTTCGGACTATGCGACACCAAAAGCCAAAGGCAGAGCTGTCGAATACAGCGCCTACGCAATTACGTCGACCGTCACACAAAGCCCTCTTGCACGCTTCCCAATTGCTGTTCAACCAGGCCATCGTTTGACACCTGGCACCCTCACACGACGGGTCATTGGAGCTGCTGGTGGGCAGATCTGTGTAGAGGACTCTCGTCAGGCCCAGCTAGTTCAAAGTCTCGACGACGAGCTTCCTCAGGGGCTCTCGGCGGATTTATGGGATGATGATGCTGAATCAATGATATCAGCTCTTCAGCCAGAGCCTTTGAAGATCAACCGGCCCAAGCCCCAGAACAAGGAAGAAGGTGATCGTCGATGGTCAGGACTCTTTGATGCCTTAACTGGGGATGTGTCTCCAGAGATTGGCATCCTTGGAGTGGGTGCTTTGCACGAACGTGAGCGCGAATCTGATGAAATGGCAGAGGAAAGCCGCATGATGGCGGAAAAAGACCAGACAGTCCGAAGACTACAACGTCAGCTACGCAGCCATCTAGACCCGAACCCATCGCCGGAACGGAGTCTTCAGCGCTCATCATCCACTCTCATAACGCCGACGCAGCCCCGGAGAAACGTGGATCGCAAGGCCTCGTTCAACATGGAGCCACAAGTCGGGCACTCGGGCTTTACTCCAGAGCACAATGAAGAGGAGCCGACAGGAGGAACATTCCCTCGGTCGAGAATGATGCTCAACCTCAGAGACACTCAGGCGCGCCTCCGATACCCCTTACGAGAGCTAAACGAGGCCCAGCTCAGCAGAAGCCATGATAACGCACCCCCGGCGATGAGGCGTCTCCCTGACGTGCCGAGCCGTCATCAACAACGGCCAGTCCTTAGGGATATGGAGAGGGCTGTCACTGACACACCACGAAGGGCCTTGAAGTTCTCCCGCGAGAGCATCGACGGGCGTGAGGTTTCTAACGATGTTTCTAGATGGTCAGACTCGACTGAAAGTTCGGGCTGGACACAGGTCACGGCGAAGAAGGACGATGACGAGTTTTGTCCTTCAACTACGACACAGGACTTCACTCAGTCAACCAAACTCAAGAAGCAGCGGCCAAACCAGAAGTCTGTACCCGTCGACACCCCCCGCCCCTCGATTCGGCAGGGTGATGCCTCAGCTGGAGCTTCGTCCTCGGCGTCCGTCGACGAAGAAGCAGCCGCTGTCATCCGTAAGACCCCGAGTCCGGACGAGCCAAGCAGCACCCCTATGCCGCGAACACCATCCTCCGCCATCAGCAGCCTCTTCCGCAAACGTGTCCGGTCTGAACATAGTAATCCTGCAACTCCTCGAACACCAGCGACCCCACGCACGCACTGGCGTCCATTTGAGGACCCGGACCCCCAGCTTCCTTGCTCCTCACCGTGGCTATCAGGGCAACGCGAGGACAAGCGAGAGAAGGAGGAGAGGGCGACGTATTTCCGGGAAAAGGCAGAGCGGGATCTTGGGGTAAACCCATCAATGAAGAAGTCAAGCCGCAAGAGTTCTTTTGGGAGCATGAGGAGCAGGGAGGGCATCAAACGGAAGAGCCCTGGCTTTGACCGCCGACAGAGCATGGAGAGTCTTGTTGGCTGGAAGAGCTTCATCGACGACGCCCCCGAGCCGCTCTTCTCGTCCCCCCTACCCCCAGTACCGCCTCTCCCAACGCCATCCGAGCTCAACCTCACCCTCAACCGCCTGGATCAAGCACAGGCACCGCTCCGGGCCGCCTCCGCGGTCGAAGCCTCTGCCGCTGCTGCTGCCTCTGCGTATCGCTCCAAGAAGCCGCAGGGCCTCAAGGTGGAGACACGAAAGCTCCGCAAGGCAAGCCGGGATGAGCTGCGAGGAACACGGACACCGAGCAGCACGATGACGGCGACGGCGGCCAGCGGGAGCAGTGGAGGAGGTCTCAGGACGGCCTTGCGCCTTGATGGGAGAAAGTCGAGCTCTGGACGAGCGGCAGTGGACGAAGGGGAGAGGCTGGTGGATAGGAGAGAAGATGAGGTTGTATCAAGACGCAGGTGAGGTTTTGGATTGACGTTGGAGGGTCATGGTCATGGTCATGGTCAAATGTCTATAACTTCTTGACTGATTGCTATCTCGTATATGGACGAATGGTTGAGGGCATATCGATATTGTCGTTACATCAAGTTTTGGACGGAACGTATGTAGCTTCATATCATAGACAGTGCTCGAGCATGTAATGCTGGTTTCTCAGGGGCTCGCCGCGGTACAGGTTGCACGAGTGTTTGGCCTGATTCAACAGGGACCCTTCCTTTGTCCTCTACTGCGTACCGTACTCTACCTCTGACCCGGATGCCCCTTTCTCGTGCCTCAAGATGGCATGATGCGACGCTGTACCAAGGGGATTTTGCCTGATCGAGACCCGGTGAGCAACAACCAGACGAATTACTCACCTTGGTTCACCATGGATGGATGACAAAGTCTTCATCATCTGCAACTCGCAATTGCGCTGCGGCAGCGACTGATCCTTGCGAAGCGAACATGATCCTGGTGAACATCCTCTCGCCTCGCCCGGGGAGCCTGTCGACATCTGACTCGTGTCCCGCATGAATCACAACACGGCCCCAGAAGCCATACATACCTGGAGGGGCCGCATCCATGCCATGCCACCCCTCGCCCACAGCGCCTCCAAGCCTCCGGGATTAAGCAGAAAGAGCTGAGACAAGGTCAATCGCGCTTCACCACGGCATTAGCTGACGCTGGATGTATGTAAGTACTGTAAACATGGAAACACGGGGAATAGGTACTGGGCCGTATGGCTACCCTCCATCTACTCCCCGTGACGATGCACGAGACCAAGTGCCCCGTACTCCACCAGACGTCGAATCACCTGCAGACCACCGCGCATCCCGAGTATGCCACGGGGGCCCGCCCTCAATGACGCGCCTGTTTACCGGCGTGGGTCGGCTTCGCTCGTCATTGGATCTTGTGTGCCTGGTGACAAGTGCCGGGCGAATAATGAGACTGAATACGGCGGATTTGCAGCAGTAATGTATAGTACCGCAGAACAAGACGTCTGGATGAAAAGCCACCGAGCAGATCCTGGATGTAATTTGGCTTCATGTATGCGTCTGCATCTGCGCATGTGTCGGGTGTTGCTACTGCTGCTGTGTCGTCAAGACAAACGGTGTTGTTGCTATGATGTAAGTGAGCGGGATAGCGCTTCCTCTTGGTTCATCTGGTGTGGTTCCTTAGGCCGTATTCAGGTCCACGTCGTCTCTGTCTTCACTCACGGCATGAAGCCATCCACACATATCTCACGGCGCACACACCGCTCCCCACGGCCCCCCACTCATTGCAGGCCTCCTTCTTCAACACCACTGTCGATTCTGTGAATAATCGGCCCCGCCTCCGATGGGCATTTGTCGATCATCCCCAGTCTGGGAGTCTGGGGTAGGTATCGGCCAGTATCAACCGCGAGCAGCCATTCATCAAGGTCTCGGCCTTCGGCCAACGCCCGAGCCACATCTCGTCTTCTGCTTCCATCTGGATGGCACATCCTTCCTCAAGAGGCTATTGGATACCCAGACCAGAACCAAACTGCGCCAATCATGTCCTATTCCTTCGGGCCATCGGTGCTGCTACTTCATAATCGCACTAAAGTTATCGACTATGGTATTCGGAATTATCATTTGAACGAGGTAGTGGATCATCATGCCAGATCGGCCTTTGGGCCCCGTCTTGACAAAAGTCCAGAACCGCGCTGGGAGAGAGGGTCCCAAGGGCGTGTAAAAGCTGCAGATCTTGGTTTGTTGACAGTAAGCGCTCGCGCGCCACTAACGAAACCACCAGTAAGTGGTTCATGGTAGATACTTCGCGCATAGAGCCAATCCTTGCCTGTATATAGCAATTGATCCCGACTTTGTTGCGTAGTTGGTTGGTCTGGATGGGATGGCCGTGGATCACCAGCTCAACAAAACAGACGACATTGGCCCTGCTCAAGACCGTCACCTCCTCCAGTTTGCAGACTGTCTCGACATTGGGTCCATTGCTCGATGGATGATCCAGGTTCCGGGCTCCTGAATAGTAGCTGGGCCTCCGGAGTGCCCTCCAATAAACGACGGTTGCTGGTGGCTGGCGCATTGAAAACTAAAGACCGTGCAGTCCCTGCTTCGACGGTTGCTTAATCCCGAACAGCGGTTGACCTGGTCTGGAGAAATCGGCCTGGGCCCGTTTCTTGGTCGGCGGAGTCGACGATCTCCAGCAAGGCCTGGCCTGTTGGAGGCTTGCACCATGTTTCCAAGCATGGCTAACCATCTCCAAATTCCCAGGACGCTGGTGAGACATCAACATTGTTTGGCCACGACTCGCCGACCTGTTTCCGAGCTCGTCACTGTTTGCATCACATGCGTCTCTGTCACTCAGTGGGGGTCATTATATCGTTCCACTCAAACCCAAGAGAAATGTGTGCCTCGCGATGCTCCTCGTACATATTGTACTGCGTAGTTACTGTATGTTGCAACTTAAAGGCTCTGCTATCCTTGGTCATGCCAAGGCCAGTCGAGTCGGTTCACCGCATGTTTCTAGATTGCCGGCCCGGTCGGTTCGTCTTGGGACGATCGTCCCCGGCCCGGTGACGGGAGATCTGCCAAACCTGACAAGAGCATGCTTCTAGGAGACTTTTTATTCGTGTGTTGGCGGAAAATTGACGTCGGACTAACTTAGTCACCAATCAATCGATTTCTGTTGCCATGCTGCCAGCTTCATCCTCGTTGACCTTCTTGGGCTTAAACGCCCGTATTGGCACCCAACAACGTGACAAGAAACGTGCTAAGATGTGACGCTAGTTTGGTGGGCGCGGTGTGTGCGGCCTGTGTGGTATCAAGCGCCTACCAAAGATGTCAGTTGACGAGGGCTGCGTGTGGTGGTGGTGGTCGAGGTGGAGTTGGAGATGGGCATAATCTTGCACTTACAGCGACCCGCCTCCATGCGCTCTGAACCACTTAGGCGTATTTGTGCTGGCTGACGAGCTGAGCTCCATGTCTCTCCCCCAAGCAGGTTGATACGAGCTGGCCTGCGACCTGCCGATGGCGTACAGGCTATACAGATCCTTCTGCAACAGGATCGAGACCAACAACGCGGTAGTGTACAGTAGGCAGGCCGACGAGGTTGAGGGATCGCCAGGGTCCTCTGGTGGCAAAATCGTACACGGACTGTCCTTAGCACGGCATCAGGCAGCTTGATGCTTGTCAATGCTGCAGGTCCGCGTCCGCCCTCAGACTGGGTACGGGTAAAACATAGCATCTTCATTCCCGAGAAGTGATCCCGTGAGCTCTTCAGCCGTTACAGTATCGGGTTAGCGAGGGATACGTAGGGCCGTCAGCAAGGAGCCTAATTACCACAGCCGAGTGGCATTGCATCGTTCTGCGAATTGTGTGTCGAAGCCATCGTTCGGTTGGGCTTGATAGGCTGGGTTGCTGGAACCAACAGCTTGGCCATCACGTTGGTTATGACGTCTATCATCTGCCAGATGCGCACGTTTCCTCGGGAGGGTCTGGACGCCGTCGATTTGGTTGGATCCATTCACCCGCCCAGTCTCCAGACTAGGGAAAAGACGGGAGTCAGTCGACGGACCGCACCTTGACCGGCGCGCCGTCGAAGTCAGTTCCCGGGGTTTATTGAACGCCAGACCGACCACTCGGACCACACCGTCCAGCGGTGTAAGAGCAGCTGAGGACGGCTCAGGGTGATCGATGGTAATGTTTGGTAATGAGTACTGGTTGCCGTTGCCAAAGAGAGTAGGTAGAGAGAGCCTCCTTGGCTCTAAACTAATGAGTAGCTTTAGCACCACAAATCAAGCACGACTTTGAAACACGAAACACCTCGCAAACTTTCAGGAGACTCAGCCTCGTGTGCCATCTCGATCAGCTCGTATGGCGTACTCTGCAATCAGCCATAACGCCCGTTACACGACCTTGCTCTGATTCAGAATCCATGTTCGCTCTCGATACAACAGGGAAGAAAGGCGCAGGTGAGAATGCGGCTGGCTGGTGAAAGACAATTCTTTGGCGAGACCGAACGCGCGAGCATCGTCCAGGTACCTCGAGGTACCGCTGCGTGTCAGCAATCCACACAGATTGTCGTGGGTCTTTAGCCGCAGGCCTGCTAAGCCTAGAGAGGAATAGAGATGGCATTGCGCTATTTGGGTTCCCATAGGCCACGGGGCCAAAAGCCATCAAGATCAGGGTCGCTCCTAGGCCTCTGCGCGCATCAGTTTGTCGAATGATCCGCAGTATTAGCCCTCGGAGCGTTTGGGAGCTCTCTCGGGCTCGTGCAGGACGTTGGGTCTTGTACTCCGTAGTGGGGAGAGCTCAGTTCTCAGCGGTAGGTCTCGCAGTTTTGCAACGCGGAACGTGCCACATTTCCCAAGTTGTCGCCAGAAAGAAAGCCATTTGTCATGGTGAGCTTGCTCGATATTCGCCCATGCTCTGTTTGGTTGTTCGTTACCGCGTGGCAAATAACTTTTGGTTCGGTAGCTGGCTGACTTGCCATGAGAGGCCCAACAGGGGCCTCGAAACCGTTGTGGCTTCTAGATGGAGGTCAGGACAGGGGGAGAGGCTCAGCCTGCCATGTGTTAGTGCGAGTTGTGCTGAGCGAGGATTACTCGTTTAGGGAACCCGGGTGATGGACAAATTTGCTTGCATACGTATGTACGAAGTATTCTTTGACGAGGCATGAGGTGTGTCTCTTGTTACTTTTCCATGTGCTCATTGAACAGAGTACTTGAACAGATGAGGCCAGACCAAGTTGACGACTCAAAGACAAGTACTTCGGAAGAGGTGATTGGTGAAGCGTGGCAGCACAGGAGCTCGTCCTGAAGGCATCCTATTCCGATGTTAGACTAGCACACCTAGACCAAACCTCCAATTCAGTGTAAAGTATCCGTAACTCCGTATATCAGCGTCTTGGCCACCTAGGAAGAAGTCCAAGCATTGCCATCACTGTAATGTTAGCCAATGCATGCGACGGCCCTGGCAGACGACACCACGTTCAGGGCGTTCCAAGGCAAGGACCAGCATGCCGGTCAAGGAGGCACGCAAGTCTTGGGTTCCCAGCAAAAGTCAGGGGACTGCATCTCTAGCCAGGGCTACTGTCCCCCGCCATTGCAAAAAGCAAAACGTGAAGGGTCAAGCGTCTCAGTTCTTGAGGAGGAGGCGCGCCTCTCGAAAGGTGGTCAAGCTTCCAACGATGTTACCACACGCAACGGGCTGCCTTACGACAGGAGTACGAAGTACTGGGAAAATTATTAGCCCAGGCTGAGCCTTGAGGTTTGCGTGGGGGTTATACCTGGTGTGTGGTGTTGGTGCCATCCATTATCAAGGATTCCACAGCTCCTCATGGCACTGTCACGTACCGGTATCTAACACGTTGCCATTGCCGAATGCAATCGACATTAGATGTCAATCGGATTGGCAAAGGTAGTCGTGATGATCGACCGACCAAGCCTTGTCTCATGGAGGGACTGTGCCCTGACCACCATGAGGCCCGTGAGAGCGCGGCTGGCGGTTGACTGCGGAGGACGCAATGTTGCTTCTTCCCACAAGTACCCGTCTAGCTACGGGGCATGTCCTAGAGTAGGGATCTTGAGAAAAAGCAAGGTTAAACAGGGTAGCTAAGCTTCCTAACCTAGCATGATAGGCATGATTCAAGATTCTGTACGAGGTAGCTTTAGTTCCGTCTTCCGCGCTATTCATAAGCTTCGAGACTTACCATGGATGCTGTAGCTGGCACAAATGCGAAAAAGTCGTTTCCTCGAATGACATGCTTCCTGCAGTCTCACTGACAGAGCCCCAAAAGAGTCGTCGATTGATCCTAGGCCGCCGCTTTCCAGGCCCCAGAGTAATGCAAGCGCTAATAACACGGTGCAGTAGTGTGCTGCAGTAGAACAGGGCACTAGTAATAGGAACTTGGAATTACCAAGTGAGCCTGGGTTCGAGAGCAGAAAAGGGGGGAAGGACAGCTGCGAGATTGGACTTCGCATGGTACGGAGCACATAGATCCGAAGCAGATGCGGAAATGCCTTTCAGAGTGCAGCCTCCGCACCGAGTCAAGATCGTCATGATGCTGTTGGCTGCGGACACCAAGGTGCAGCATAAGTCCAAGGCGATTCGGCAGGTGGGTGGTCTAGATCTGCTCAAAGTCGGGGTCTCCGCTAGTAAATAGTTAGAGCCATATAGAGCAGAAGCAGGTCACATTGACAAGCATCATGCTGGTTGATGATGCTGATGAGATGAATGAGATGGATCAAGATATTTGTGAAAGAAGCCCTTGTTTGCCATGAGCTACATGGGAGTGGAAGCTGATGGGATAGGAAGGTGTACTGTGTCAGATTTCCGATGCACTGTGATCTCCATGGTTCCATCGAGGAAGGCACGGTGGGCGGACACTGTCCTCGAATTAGGTTTGGGCAACCCTGTCCGCCAACCTGGAACAACAAAAAAAACTATCAGCTTAACCAAGACGAATACATACATGCCATCCGAGCCCATCACCTGTCAGGATGCTAATTAACCGTATCCAACCAGCGATCTGATTCCTGACGAAATGCCCCCATCTACAGAGTATCCTATCCGGCTGCAGAAACGCAAGACTGCATCCCCGCCTCCACTCCTCCTCACCGGTGTCCAAACCTGATTCTGAGGCCAGATGCAATATCAACAATACCGAACAGGGCTCGGAAGCGTCATGTCCGCACCCAATGCCTCCTTCACTGTTGTGCACCCTGCAGCCTTTACTCGAGCAACAGGACTGGATAGCCCTGATTGGTGTGATGGGAGCGAGAGCAAGAGATATCACACGGACAGAGGACGATGACAGCAATTTTGAGGCCTACTGGCGGTTTACAAGCCCGGCCCCTCCCGCACGTCAGGGCGTTACCTACATGTATGTATGTATCGCAAGTGTATCTCTGCCGCCGTCACCACTGTTGGCACTCCAACTGAAACCAGCGCCAATAACCATGCCATTGACAACATCATCACCATTCCCAATCACAGCACTTGCTGCAATGATATCATGCTACAGCAGCACTACAACGTTGGAGGCCGCAAGCCCGAGTCTTGCATCCAGTTGGTGGACATTATTGTCGTGCGACTCTTGGAGAGGGATCAACGTATTGTCGAACCACGGCTGGGCAATGTGCTCCACATGCCCCGTACCCAAGCATAGCCAGCCTAGCTTCTGAGAATCTATCGCTTCCAGGACCGCGAAAGAAGAGGTGACTTGCAGCACCATTTTTGCCCAAGGCAGCCCTCTCAGGCTACACAACTGCTCACAGGCAACAGCCTCTTCCCGCATATCTCGGTCACCAGCATCGATAGCGCTGCCGTTCACCGTCCAGCCTAAGACCGCGAGCAGTCGAGACAAGCTGCGTCCCACTTGGTACATGGAGGGTTCCAAGTACCCCGAGGTATCTGGCCGTCTCTCGTCAGGGCCCTGAAAACGCTAAGGTCTTTGGAGGGTGGAGAGGCCAAGGTCCCCCCATCCAGCTGGGTGGAGACGTGTGCTCAGTGGCCTCCACGTCCCATGCACCCATCGTCGAGAGCTAAGGGGACCTAGCCCGCTAGTGGCCCCAGGCAGGGATTGGAGGAGACACTTTGATGGCATCGTTCGGCGGGCCTGGACGATCCTGGACGGGACCAACGGCACATGGTGGTTGAAGCTCCTGGGTCCCTGGAAGGTGGCACTCTTCACCTTGCCCATGAGGCCAACCTCATCGTTGGACCATGATGGCTGTGGGGAGATGGCGTCGACGGGCATCAGAAGTCTCCAGTGCTGGATCTTAGAATCCTTCACCCATTGTCACCCTTTAGCCTGCCTCCCAAATAAGACCTCTCCCCCACATGGCCCCTCCATCCCTCTCATCTTTCCCTCCCTTTCATCTTGCGACGATTGAACTGTCGCCCGTTCTAGGCGACTAAAGGAGCTTCGATCAGCCGCTGGTGCGCTGGTGTCGACGGCTAGTCCAGCCCAACACCCACACCACCACACGCCAGTCTCCACAGCTTCATGCCGAGTCGTCACCCTCTAAGCTTGAGGAATCGTATTTGATCAACCGCCATCTCATCTGGACGGTTATCGAAGCGTCCAACTCTCTCAATTCAACTCTCGAACATCGCTCACTTGCACAGGGGCACACCGACAGTACCGAATGGCCCAGGAAATTCCCTTTGACTTTGCTTCGAGTGAGAGAGACCTGGCTTGGTGCGACAGCCATAGCATGTCTTCCGAGGACCAAGACGCCATGATGCCGCACTCACCTTCGACGATGGAACCCCTGTGGCTGAACTCGACGGCAGCGCAGGTGCAGTCGGGCCAGATATCGCCTCTGAGCGCAGGAATAGACATGTCGTCTGCACCAACAATGATCCATTCCGCAGCCTCATCTGTGGACTCTTGGAGTACTGGTTATGGCGAGCGTGACGATGTGGAGATGGACAACACCTGGGAGCAAGGATCAGACGACATTCTTACGATTCCGAAGCTGGAGCCGGTCGAGGACGATTTGAACATGGACGATCTGAAGGCAGCGCCATTGGCACCAGCTCCCGCAGAACCATCAAGCACCGACCCCAAGCCGAAACGACCTCGAGGAAGACCAAGGAAGCATCCGTTGACGCCAGCAGTGGGTGCCAGCAAGGTGACCAAAGGTCGATCAAAGACTGGGTGCATTACATGCCGTAAGCGCAAGAAGAAGTGCGACGAAGCAAAGCCCCGATGTACGACCCAAGCCAATTCACCCAACTTGCTTGTCCATTGGTTTTAACGAATGTATTAGGCATGAACTGTGAGAAGAACGCCGTGGTCTGTGAGGGCTACCACGAGAAGCAAATCTGGAAGAGTGGCAAGGAGAAAGCTGAAGAGGGTACGTTTACCAGACGACAACGGTTTAGTCTCCCTAACCATAAAACAGAGCGGATGCGGCGAGAAAGCCTCCCCATGATCACCATGCAGCCCATCTTCCATGGTGTCGAGACAGCGGAGGACAAGATTTTCTGGAAGCACTACATCACGCAGCTGAGCAACGTCCTTACAGTAGAAGGCGAGGCCAAGAATGCCTTTAAGGACATTATTCTTCAGCTCGCCAACAAGCACCAAGGTCTCATGCACTCCATCCTGGCCGTCAGTGGCAAACACATTGATTGGGATACTCCCTACGGCGCCAAGTTGCTGGCCGATAACCCCCAGTCAAGCCGTGAGGCATTGCAACAGCGAGCGGACTATCACCACGATGAATCGATGAAACGACTCTACGCGGATATGGGCCGGTCCGAGGACAAGGACGACCCCGAGAACAAGATGATTCTGTCAGCAAGATATGGACAGATGCTGTGCCTGCTGCTTCAAACCCGCGCCGATGGGAACCCCCGGGGCGAACACCGAGTGCACCTCCAGGCGTACCAGACTCTAATTCACAACTCACCCCCTGAGGACCCGGCCTTCCACACCTTCATCACCGAGTTCTTCCAGTACCACATCTACGCTGATGATCTCTTCTGGCATCCTGAGAACAACACGGCGCGCTTGTCCTCTGAGGACTGGACCCCATCCGAACCAATTCATCCACCTCGACTGCTGGGTGTTTCCGACGGCCTCTTCCACTACCTAACTCAGATCACCACCATCCGGAACACCGTTCGTGCCAACATGGCAGCTTCGGTTGACCCTGTTGTTGACTATACTAGTTTATACCGGGCTGCCGAAATCGATGCCGCCATCCGGGAGTGGACACCTCAATGGCCGCCGGGCGACAGCCGTGACCGTGTCGGGCTGCTGTACAAGCAGATGATGTGGGTGTATCTCTTCAGGTCCATCTACCCGCCTTCAGTGCCACCGATGCGTCGTTCGACCTTTAGCACGCTGCCTATCCTACCGCCGCCCCCACCAACCATGCCCTCTGCACCGGCACGACGAGCCTCGATGATGGCCACAGTGTCGATGGGTAAAGGCCCTTCGGATGTCCACATGGCAAGCAGCTGCCCGACTTCAAGGAACCCATCCAGAACAAGCTCGATGCACGAGCAGGACTCGACTTCATCATCTTGTGACAGAGCATCATCGCCACCACCAAGTCGACGGCCGGCTTATCATGACCGCCGCATTACTCTGGCGATTGAGGAGTCACTGGTCATCCTGGAGTCTTTCAAGCCTTCAGACCCCTCGCAGACCCTCCTTCTCATCCCATGTCTTGTCATCGGCACCGCATGCTTCGAACCAACCCAGCGCGAGCGCATCCGGGGTGGAATCAAGGCAGTCCGCGGCTACACTGGTCTTCGAAACTGCGACCGCGTGATGGAGCTTCTCGAAAAGGTCTGGTCCTGCATGGAAGAGGGCGACTGGGTCTCTGTATGGGACTGGCAGGGCGTGGCTCGCCGGATGAGCCTCGACTTCTCCTGCTCATGAATTATCACGACATTATACAACCTAACCTAATACGTTTACACGAAGAACTGCAGACTCACCCACCACATCTGAGCGTTGGAGGCCGTCGAGCCCCTAGTTTGTGTCCAAGTTTCATAATATCTACTAAGCACTGTCAACGGCCGAGACGGTATACCAGTCTGTTGTTGTTATTGTTATCTTGATCCAGCACAATGACAGTTCTACTCATGATGAGCTTTGAGAGATCTGCATACAGCAGGGCTATACACAAGTACAGGATTTGAGAAGAACAACAAATGCCTTGATCATTTCAACACGGAGGCAATCATCTTTGATCACTTTACTACGACGACGTTAATAACAGGGCTATCATGAGGAACGGAGGTTTTGACTACTCTTCTGTAACACGCGGGATTATGAGATCCACGCCTTTTCTTTTATTGTTTTTTTATCTGAACGAACCTCGGACCACGCCACTGAGGCACTTTGGGTGGCACAGCATGACTTTACATACTGGAGGTCCTACCCATGAGGGGTTGGAAGCTCTATTGAGAAGCAAGGCGTTCATGTTTTTGGATCTGGATGGTGTCTCGTCTGATGAGACGACCCAGAGCCTTTGAACGGAAGGGGATACGGCAATATCTTTTTTTTTTATTTGCGACTGGTTTTATTATCACTGCCATCTGTTTCCATTATACGGGATGATGGGATATGAAACACCCGGCGTCAAGAATGTCAGGCTGGGACAACTGAACAATCAGAGTTGAAAACATGTCGAAATGTTATAGGCATGCTATGATGCTGCTGCTGTATTCGCTTTTATTCCGGTAGTTTTACAATGATATAAGACGAACCAGGACAAGAACAAGATGCTGAGCCAGGTGGACTCATTTGATGGTCATTGTCATCTCACTTTATTCTCGATTGCCTCTGAGACTTTGTCAGAATTGCCAGCTCGTTATGACCTAGAGTAACATCCGGGAGCCATCATGAACAGTCACATCATATTCAGAGAAACGAGGTACCGCCGGAAGGACAGAATGCATTTGTGATCCTAAGCACGATTCATAAACACCTTCAGACGCATATAACAACACGAAAGGGCAATTCGTTCTTTCCACCTCTAACAGACTTGGATTCCTTAAAAGAGCATACAGAAACCGTAGCGTCGCCCCAGGTTGAGCATAGGAAATGTCCCCAGATAACATTTTCAGACTTGGATCCCTCGGATAACTAGCCTCTCTTCGTCATGGTCTTTTCATCAATCATCACGCTTCTCGCCTTCAAAGTAGAATTTGCCCAGAGGCTCACCACCTCGACCAGGCCCTACCAGACCCGACGCTGGTGCTCTGGTTTCGCCTCTGTCTAGCCGCTGCTGGACGATCCTCTCGGCTGTTTCGTGACCGGCACTGGGTTGTGACTGCGCCGGCACGGGCCCTCGGAAGGTTGTGTCAACGAAGGAATCGTTCTCAGCACCTTGTCCTGGGTTAGGGTCGGTGGCCACACCATCTACCATCCGGGCATCACGGCGCTCCTGGAGGGCAGACATGCTCACAGGCGTGTCACCACCCATATGAGTATCGCGCTCGCGCTCGCGCCGGGCATCGCTGAGCCCCGAGTTTGTCCTCTCCAGACCCCAGATTTGAGGGGCTGGTCGGCGGTGGTAGATGGGCCCAGACACAGTGCTGCCAGCGCCTTCACCAAAGCCCACCAGAGATGCAGAACCGTCATCACTCATTCGATCATCGTAGCCGCCTACGGATCGAGTTGCGGTACCATAAAAATCCTCATCCATGGCATCAGGGTAACCCCCCATGCTTGTGACTGAATCGGCTTCACGATAATTGGTATCGGTGCTCAGCATATCCTCGTCGCGGTCGCCGCCCGTGGTGCGCGCATCATCGCCCTCGCCAATGTGGCTCTCGGTCGCACTGGCTGTACCAACAGTACTCATCTTGGTGACAGCAACAGGCTGTCCATTGCTATCAAAGTAGGCGGGAGTCAGGCGCTGGGTCGCAGGGTAGTTGGGAGGGAAGCCGGTCGTCGAGGTCGGGGTGGTTTGCGGCGAAGCGGAGGATGCGCCGGGAGGAGGCGCATGGGTCGGAGGTCGGAGGGTAGCAACGCGCTCGAGGCCGGCGAGTCGGGAGATGCGGTCGGCGCGCTCAGCCTCGAGGCTGGTGGTGGAAGGGTTGTGCTGGTGGCCTCTGCCGAGGGGACCCTGGAGGAAGTGGCCGCGATGGCCGTCTTTGATGGCTGTAGTGGACAGGGCGGAGAGGGAGGTTGTGGTGCTCGTAGGAGTACCGCTGATAAGAAGCAAGAAGCGAGGTCAGTTCCATGTCGAGGTTCAAGCAATGCGACGTCATTGCACGACGGGGTTAGTTGGAGCGAGAGGGACCCACGGCATCTCAGAGGGTGTCTCTGGTCTGGAGCCCGGAGGCGGGAGGTTGATAAAGGTTGGGGTTTGCGTCTGCGCCATGGTGTCTGTAGATTGACCAAGAGAAGGAGGTCGAGATGATGGGTGATGGAGGAGTAGCGAACAAAGGCGAGCGTGAATGTGAGGCGACGTCAGGAAACGAGTTGATCCGCCGTCCACAGCGGCTCAGGCAGTTTGGGCGCGCACGTTATGTCAATGGGCAGACAGAAGGCACGATCGGAAGGCGATAGAGCCGCGATTGTCTGTCGGAACGAGAGAGAATAGATGGAATTGTTAGAAGAGAGATGACGAGGGGGAGATGAAGAAAGGAAATGCGTGAGTGTGAGTGTGAGTGTGTCGTCGCAAAAAGATCAGCTGGGCGAGAGAAACTGGAATGATGCCCAGGGCCCATGGAGTGAGATTGGAAGGATGCAAGGCACACATCGCCCCTTCCTCACTGGACCAGAGCCCATCGCCCTGCCGCCGCAGCGCTGCAAGCCTCACTGAAGGAAACGGGCCTGGCCTAGAATGGGGGGACCCGACCCGGGAAGCCACAGCACGCGCTGGAGCGACACACTGGGCCTAAAACCAAGCTTCCCATCACATCGATGAGGGGGCGGGGCAATAGCGAATGATTGGACGGATAGAGGGGGGGATTAAGTATGACGTCGCCAGCCGGTTACTTGATTGGATGATTTCCATGTGGCCTTTTTTTGTGAAGCTGTCGTTTTGTCTCTGAAGGGCCTTGGCTCAAAGATGGATGCTTAGCGAATGAGTTCAAAGTCCTTTATCGAATGGTTGGGCTGATTTTGATCATCAGGTGCTGCCCATTCTTTGGCAATGCCAGTCCGGCTTTCCACCCCCGGACTCCGAAAGTGGGGCCGTGTTGAATCCGCATTCCGTCCACTAGCCCCGAAGCCAACACAACCACATCGGCTGATCACACAAGCTTGACCTCGAACACATGTTTAACCATTCTCAATCGTCAGTATAGTCATCTGTATGGACAATTATTATTCTCGAGACAAATGCCCTTCTATCTCAAGTGCCTGGTCTAGTAGAGCTTTCTTCTCTTTCTCTCATCCAATTTCCCGCCTTTTCCGCCGAAACAAATTGACTTGTCTCAGCGCCACGCCACATACACACGGACGACGCGTCCACTCCGAACTAAACTTGATTAACCCGCCAAAAAAGCCAATCCCAATTCCCACCCGTTGCAGCGCCATAAATGAATAAAAAAGCAAAAACAAAGACAAGAGGTTGGACGCCAACAATGACATGCTTTCAGGTCATTTTCAGACTTGATGGAATATCGACAAGGAAGAGCTTTGAATAGTAAAGTTTCTGTAGGGGCTTCTCATAGGAAAGCTGCGGCGATGGAAACGATGCCCACCATGGCCACAGCCAGGTAACCTGAGGTCTGAATAGAGCGGGAAGAAGCGTTGATGTCGGGAGCCATGGTTGAAGGCTGAGGAGGGTTCCATGAGACAATCGACTGTTCCGTCTCAGTAGCAGAGGTAACCTTGGCCTTGCTGTTCTTCTCAGTCTCGGTCTCCTTGCCCGTTTCGGTGCTGTCCTTGTCCTTGTCCTCGTCGTCTCCGGTAGCCGTGGGCTCAGCCTCCTCCGTCTTGTCAGACCCCTTGGTCTCGTCGGGCTCGTTTGTCGTCTTGGTGGCCTTGTCGTCGGTGGCAGTAGCCTTGGCTTTGGCCACTTCGGTTGTGGACTCGTCACCAGCAGCGATGACGCCGGTGATGACGAGGGCGAGAGGAAGAAGGTGCTTGGCGAAACGCATGATGTCGGTGGTGTAAAAGATGAGGTGATTAAAGTGTTTTATTCGGGTTCGGGGATGTGATTATGATTCTTGTACGATGCAAGATGTTTGTTCGTTGTATGGCTCGATCAAGTGATGGTTGACAGCTCGACTCGAAGAAAAGGGGAGACGAAGCCGAAAGTGATGGAAAATGAAGCAAGAGCCAACTTCCAGGGGAAGGAGTAACGAAAAGTAAGCAAGTCAAGCGAAGGACGAGGCTGGGCAAAAATGTGAAACGAAGGCACCCAGGTTTAAAAAAGGAAGCATGGAAGAAAAAATGGGAATGCAGTGCAGGAAACCAGGGGAACAAGAAGGTCAAATGCTTTAAAAAGACCTTGTTCTCCACTGCCACACAGGTCCCTGCTTGGGCCTGGACAAGTAACCAGGCTCTGGGGTGTTAATTTTGGAACCAATGCTGAGAAAGCCTCCGGCCCACCGCGTTATTCCTGGGGTACGTGTATTGGTTGGTTCCTTTTAAAACAAGACAAGTAATAGGGGGCTTTTCAGTGGCAAAGCTGAGCAAGTGTTCGTGATGAACGGAAAGAGTGAGCCGTCCCCAAGTCTTACTGCGGTTTATTACCAGTCCCGACTGGCCGAGAGTAAAAAGAAGCAAAAAACGTGGTATCCATGGATCGGCAAGTTTATTAAGGGGGACTGAATAGTGGCACGTCCATTTCTACTCAAGCCAAGCTAAACAGTTCAATTACAGAGACAATGAAAACACAGCAAAACAAATAACAAACCAACAGCAATTCTCATTCATCGTCACATTCCACCACACGCACATGTACATATTCCAGCCAGCCCCCAAAAAACTTCGTATATGCACAAGCCCCCTCCTCCCTCCACACAACACAAAGCTGACGCACGCATGTCCAATCCGCGTGCCGCTTCTTCCCCATTTGCCCGGGATCTCGCCATTTTCTTTTCTCCAGCAGGGCTACTGGTTGACCTGCATCATTGACACGACATTGAGCAGCTTTTTGTCAACCTGAACTTGTGCTCTTGTTTTTTTCTGACCAAGCCACAAACATTGGAATGGGCTATGAAAGGCCCGTGCAAGGTCTTGCGCGTCTTTCTTGTGAGGCTCTGCCTCTACGGCTTCTTTCTGCCGAGATGGTCATTGAGCTAACACATAAACTGAGCTACCGCCCATGATGCTGCTTGCCGGATTCCGAGGGGAGACGTCATCCATGTTCTTTACATTTATCTATCCATCTATTCCAAAGCTCGAACTATCCCACCTTTTACCCCTATTCTCACTGTCCATTACCGTCTTGACTTCACGTCTCTCATACACTCCATCATCCACCTCTCTCAAATGGTATACCTGTAGCGTGGACTCTCATCACCAAGCTCTGCCAGCTCATCCTCACGCATGTTTCGATGCTTATCCTTCATAACGCCAGCTTGACGCTGCTCGTTCACCCGCTTGTACCACCACCAAAGAAATCCGTAGATGATGGTTCCGAGAGCCACCATGCTGAGCGTCACGGCGTGACCACGAGTGTAACGGGGCTTGTCCTTGGCAGGGCTTTCGGTCTTGTCAGCAAGAGGCTCTCCTCTCAAGGGGGTATACTCACTAGATAAAAGCAGACATGATGCCCGCCGCGTTTCCCCAGGTCAACTGCATACCCGTCCCAGTCGTACGCTTTCCATACCGTGGCGAGTTTGTCGGCAACTAAGACACAACTTTGTCAATCACGCATCCATCTCATACATCTCATGTCGAACTTACCCAAGCCAGTGGCAGACCAACAACAACATACAGTCCACCCGCAACGAGGAAACATCCAAAGTAATGAACACCCGAGGCAACGTCCGCCAACAACACGGCGTATCCAACAACGCTGATGAGACCAAAGATGACGCAGAACAGCCCACGGCGCTGCATACGGTCCGAGAGATAGGCCGTCGTCATATATGCCGCTGCGCCAAGGAAGTAGCACGGCACAGTAAGGAGCTGAGTCTCAGCAACCGTCCAGTCACCAAGATCCTTGATGATGGTGGGGAGGAAAGTCGAAAAGCCTGCAACAGCCCGTTAGAATCGAACCAGACTCGGAAAGTTCGAAGCCAAATGTTGGAAACTTACCATACAACATGGTGTCAACACCAAACTGGGCAACACAAAACGCCCACACCTTCCAGTCCTTGAAAGCGCAGAGCATATCCGCCTTGCTAAACTCACGGCTAGACTCTGTGTTTCCATACTCACGCGCATGCCTCACTCGCATCAGCTTCCTCTCCTTGTCGTCGAGGAAGTAGGCCGTGTCGGCATCGTTGGGCAGCGCAAAGTACGTCACGATGCCGACCAGGAAACTCGGGATGCCCTCAATGATCATGATCCAGCGCCATCCGCTCATGCCGTGCAGACCGTCCATGTGGCCGATGCCATACGCTAGCAGACCACCGAGTGCACCCGCGACGGCGGCACTGACAAAGAGGTATCCCACGCGCAGGGCGAGTTCTTGCTTGGTGTAAAAGAAGGTCAGGTAAACGGTCAAACCAGGAAACAGACCGGCCTCGACAGCTCCGAGCAAAAGACGGCAAGCGATAAGGGCGCCATATGAGTTGACCAGACCCATGAGTGTGGCGATGAGTCCCCACGCAGCAGCAATGAAAGCGATCCAACGTCGAGGAGTAAAGAGCTTCAAGACAAGGTTGGAAGGAACCTCGAAGAGCAGATACGTGACAAACAGGATGGACACGGCAACCTGAAACTGCTCCGAAGAGAGGTTCAGATCCTCTTCGAGACCGTACAACCTCGCATTACCAATGTTGACTCTACAAGTTCGAATTAGTCACCAAGAACCAGAACAAAATTGTCAAGCAACAACAACAAACCTGTCGAGGAAACTAAAGAGGTAAAGGACCATAACGAGAGGGATGATGTAAAAGTCCAGCTTCATCACGAGCCTCTTTTCATCCTCTGCCGTGTGAGTCTGAACTTGAGCCTCGTCGTCGCCCAAGGTCTGAGGCGTGGTGGTTTCCTCACCAGGCGCAAACTCGGACTTGTTGGCCATTGTTCAAAAGTTGGTTGATTTGCCGAGATCTACACAAGGATCATTACTCAGGCACTTTAACACGAAAGAGAAGAAAAAAGAAAGGGAAAACTCACGATGGGCGAAAACCGCTTCTTCTCCTCTTCCAACGGAGAATTCCTTCTGGAAGAAACCGAAACGAACGATGCAGCTGTCAAGAATGGGGTTGGCGTGAAGAAAAGGCCGCGCCACATGAGCAAAAGGGTAACACCTAAAAAACTACCTAAACTAGTCTTGGCGCCAGACGAGAGATTTTAAAAAATAATAATAATAAAAATCAGATAGGTATCGTTTTATGACAGAGCTCCGCTCTTTGTCAGACCATCTAGTCCTTGCTCATAGGCCGTGCTCTCTTGATCGTGGGGGAAAAGAAAGAGGAGGTAAAAGACATTGAGATTGTGTGGGTTTGGTCTCGCCAAGACACTTGACGGGCAGATGGAACGCTACTATCAAGAGGAAAAGATATGGTGAGTGATCCTTTCCCAAGGGGTGTTTATCGTGGCAATTGAATCAGAGGCGAGTATCAGATGCGTAGCATTTAAGAATCCAAACAAGAGATGGATCTACTGCAGTTCCTCTGGTCGACAATTCTCGTGAACCCACCCTTACTTCCGTGGTAGTTGCGCATTTATCCTTTGCATGCATCCTTTCTTCCCGGCCATGCACGGCATCGCGCCACCGATAACGGCCACCCCTAGGCGGCCGACTTCTCCATCGCCCACTTCATGTAGAGGGTCAGATACTATCTCGTCGTCACCACCAATGCTCATCACTAGCAATATTACTTTCCACAAAGCTCGAATTGCATAGTCGTTCCATTCAAGTCAATAAGATTCGTCAACAATGAGCAAAACCAAGATTAAAATGACTCGACATCATCAAGTGCCACCGTCCGTACCACATCGTCACTCGTCCCACCCACAACCAGTCACAGCACGCGAGCAATGATTTCAAATCACCCGTGATCCATACCCAACCACTCAAAACTCAGACACGCAGAAACATGGCGCAAAATGGGCTACATTGATCATCGCTGTTACTCAATTAACGTGACAGGATCTTTAACTAACCTTTGGGAACCTTGTCCCCCCGTATGTATCATTTCACTCCAATCACACCTTTCAACAACACCCGTAAGAGACATGGAGTATCACGATCCCTACCCACGAGAATGAATGGCAAACAACAAAAGAATATAAAAGGTATGAGGTGCGGAAATCCCTCCTCTTCATCCGCTGTGTACAGGTTCATGCATGATAGACGCAAGGAAAAAATGGGTGTTACAACGTATGTACAAGTATCTGACATTATTATTCCCTCTCCCAATCAGATCTTCGAAAAGGTCAAATCAAGAATCTCGCTTTCCTCCTTTTTCCCTTCCTTTTTGCCATGGCCGTTACACTCGACACATGGCCATACCCCTCATTTACTTGTAAGGTTGCGCCGGCATCTCATACACGTTCGCTGGGGGCGATGATCCGTGAGCACTTGTCACCTGGTTACCGTCGATCTCGGCGGCGTCGTTCTGGTGCCATCGAGCGGCGGCGCTGTCACTGGCAAGCTCAGCTGTGTTGGCAGGGCTGTGCATCTCGACGGCACCAAAGTTGGGAGAGCCCTGCTCGGCTCCAGCGACACGAGAGTAGTTGGTTTCCGGGCTCACGCCTCCCACGTTGTCGCCAGCAGTAGTGCGCGAGTAGTTTGTCTCGGGGCTCGCGGGCTGGTAGGCACGTCCGTAGGGCAGGGGCTTGGCAAATCCGGCACGGCCATCACCAAGAGCGGTGCCACGGTAACCTTCGGGGGTAGAACCCTTGGTAGGGTTGCGGCTGGGAGCCAGAGTCGAGGAAGCAGTGGTAGGTGTGACCTGGGACATGTTGGGAGCAGTACCGCCGCTGACGGGACCGCCAACGGGGACCTCGGACGAGCCAAAGACATCGTCGTACTCGGCCTTGTGCTTGTCGCTGCGGCGCTTCTTGACGCAGAACCAGATCAGGGCACCAAGGATGAGAAGACCGGCAACACCAGCACCAGCACCGATACCAGCCTTGGCGCCAGTGGACAGACCACCATCGCCACCGCTGCTGCTGCTGCTGTTGTTGTTGTTGGACTCAGGAACACCAGTTCCGGCGGAGCCATAATCTCCCGAGGAAGCAACAGTCACGGTTTGAACAACACCCGTGGTAACTCTCGTAGAGGTAATAGTGAGGGTGCCGGTGGTAGTAACTGTGGTCTTGGCGCCGGCCTGCTCGGTCTCGGTGATGGTCTTGGTGACCTCGGTCTCCTTGCTCACGGTAGAAATAACGGTACGGGCAATGGTGTTGACAACGGTCGTATCGCTGTCCTCACCCACAGTAACAGTAACGAGCCTGGTGATAGTGGCACGCTTCTCAAGGCCTCGTCGGAAAGCGCGGAGGCCGTAGTGCTCATTGTTGAAGGACTCGGGGACCGAAGTAATAGTGGGCGCGGGCTGCTCAAAGACAATCTCGTCGTAGCTGCCGACAGTTCGGGGAGCGAGGTTCAGGGCACGCTTCTCGTTGGCCCACACAGTAGTAGTGGCATATACGGTTTTAGTCGCGGTCTCGGCATCGCTGCTAGTAACAGTGGTGGTCTCGAACGCAGTCGAAGTAACCACGACGGTAGAAGTGATGGTTCGCATCACAGTGGTCTGCCGGCTCACCGTCTTGGCATTGGCATCGGTGACGGTGACAGTTCGGGTAATGGTAGTATCCCCAGAGTCTGTCGTCGTAGGGGACGACTCGGTTGTGCTGTCATCGGTGGGCTGCGCTTCGGTGGTCGGCTCGGCGGCGGTGGTATCAGCGGGTTCTTCGGTAGTTTCTTCGGTGGGCGAAGCCTCCGCGGCGGTTGTAGGATCAGCCTGGGTAGGCTCGCTCTCTTCAGCTGTGGTCGCGGGGCTGTTGGAGCCCGACGTGTTCTGGCGGATGGCGAGCTTGGAGGCTTCAGCTCCGAGGAGCAGGCCCAGGAATAAGAGTCGTCGAATCTGCATCTCGGCAAGTCTTGCTGAAGTTGGCGATAGCAAGTGTGACGGAGGGTTCAATCAAGGCCAGTCGAGAAGGCGATGATCGAATGACGACAATAGATGTCAAGGGGGTGTTGGAGATACCCACGAGGGCCAAGTCGATGAAAGACACAGGAAATAAAAAACAGGGCCCGTTTCGGATCGAAGATGTTATTGAGAGGGGGTACGTGGCGTGGGCGACAGATCAAGCAGGCAGTTGGCTGCTCTGGCTTGTGTGAGGTGGGTAAAAAGGGAGAATGGCACGCGCGTCGTCAAGAGGTGAGGTAGTTGAGCAAGCAACGGCGAGTCAGAGGTAGATGAGAGCTAAAAGGAGAAAAACAACGTAAAGAAAAAAAGAAGAGTAAGCAAGCAAAATAGGTCAGTTAACGAGCGGAAGGAACAGCACGAGACACAAAGCAGGACTTGAGAAAAAAGAACTGCCCGTGGTGGTTGGTTTGGTGTGCGCAGAACGAAGGATTGAGAAAGAGGCGTGGCCACCCAGAGGGGGGAGAGGATGGGTTGAGTGAGTCGGGGGGGGCACAGTGAAAGGAATGCCCGGTCGGGATGGGCGGCTTTGAGTGGGCGAGCCTAAAAAAAAGTGCGCCTGCAGTTGCGGACAGGTACGAGGAACGGACGCTAAAAAGGTACCGGATACTTTGTGGCAAAGTACCCCTGCAGGATTTTGGTGTCTGGAGGAATTCTTTTCAACGTTCTACCGTAGAAGGAGAAAAGAATCGAGGTGGAATACAGTTGCGAATAAAAGACGATAATTCAATTGAAACATCAACTTTTTGAAACTCGAATCAAGACTATTCCATTCGAAAATAGACCGCGGTTAAAGACGTGCATCTGCATCTGCAACTGCATGCTCCCATCACCTTTGCAATGTGTCACAGCGCGACGCGCTCTGGCTGCCCGGACCTGCGCACATCCTGTCTGCAACAAGCATGACCCCTTGGAGTTGGATGTCCCCCTTTTCGGCCTAGGACGTTTTTTTCACTGGTCGTCGACTAAATTACACCAAGTGGACTTGAGCTGCATGTCTCTTGGACTTGACGCAATGCCCTTTTTGCCATTGCATGTTGATCGTCGTCTGGATCTTTTTTCTTTGCTCAGAAGAAAAAAAAACGTGACTTGAATGCCAAGATGATGTACGCCGGTGATTTCGGCTGTTGCAAGCCAATTCCATGAATCGAGCAAGACCATTTAGGCATTTTTGTTCAACTGTGGCGTTCGCCGAGAGTCAAGATTAAACCGTCGCCTAGGTAGACTTTCGCGCCCGTCTTTTTTTTTTCCAACGGGGTGGTTACATCTTGATCCTCTATCAGAGCCATCAACTGGTTCTCACTCTCTTGACAGCCAGACAGACACACATGCATCCTCTCATAGGTAGGCCTCCCAACGAATGACATCAATCTCCCTCCCCGTTCGTATTTGACGGGTCACGCTGGTCGGCCAGGGGCGACTTGGTCCATATGTGGTCTAGCCCCATGCCCCAAATAGGAGCACGGTCCGGGATCCGTTTCGATTTCCGTTGGGCCAGGTCGAAATGGCATCACTCGAGGGCCATGCGTCGTTCTTCTCTCTCTTTTCTCTCTCGCTCATGGACCCTTTTTTTCGCTAGTGATAACAAAGCCTCGTTGGATGGTTGCATCCGAGGACCGACCGCAACCTTGACTACTTTGGAAAAAGGTGTCTTCCCACCTTCTCAGCCACGTTGATGATTGACTCGGCGCAACTCGGATAGGCTCGTGACTTGTACATGCCGGTCGCCGTAATCTCTACAGTACACCAAACATGCCACATCTCTCTGATCAATTGACTTTCCCCAGATTCTAGACCCCGTATCTTTCTTCTCTGACATGTCTGCATCTTCACCGAGTTTATCATTCTCCCCGGCTGACCGCCGTAGGCTCAAACTATCCCACGGACATGCCGCGTCCGACGGACCCGGGTGATCAACAGGGACACACCGTCTCTGACAAGACTGCCTTTGATCTCTCCACCAGACGTCGTCATCATTGGCCATGAAACGTTTCAGAACGCCTCAGGACCAATCGAGATAACTCAAACCCGCGAGATCGAGACCCTTCGCCTGCGCCTCAGGTTCGGATTATCTCACGGTGAATATAGACAAGATGCATGAACTTGGCTCTGGAAGACTACTCTCGCTTAGTTCCCCCGTCCCGGTCCCTGAGGAGGCATCCCATGCGTAATAATATGGCTGGTATAGCAACTTTATTGAAAATCTGAAAGCATCGAAATTTTGCCAGTGACGAAGAAATGTTGGCTTGTACGGCATCCGTATTAAAATGTTAACTCCAAGCTCTTCAAGACCGTGGTCTCTTTATCTAATAAACCCCTTAACCAAGATGGCTTCTGATGTTACAAACTCTTTCCAATTCCGTCCTCTTACACAGTAAGACAATGGGTGGGCTTAGAAGTTCTCCTTGCCCCAGACAAAAGAGAATCTGTAATCTCGGTCAGCTGAATGATCTTGACTATCAAGTATTAAAAAAAAACTCACCCAGGCTCGGTGTACTTGTTGCAATACACGTGCAGAGCGCTGCCCAGTCCCTTGGGTCCGCAGAAAAAGACTCCGGCTTCGGCAGGGCTGTGCAGCTTCCTGATACCCCGGAAGATCATGTCCCAGTTGGGTCGGCCAAAGTTGGTCGGGCTGCGCAGGCCCGTGATGGTGTCCTTATCGGCGTTGGCGTCGTTGATCATGATGTTTGTAGCGTCATCGGCCTTGATCTTGGCCGTCAGATAAGTGTGAATCTCGATTCGGTGGTCAAGATCCTGCGCCTCGACAGCCAGCAGCAGGGAGCGGAACCACTCGAAAGATTCAAAGTCACGGCAGATCCAGAAGAAGTAGACCTTGGAGAGTCTCGTCTTCTTCTGGGGGTAGTTCATCCGGTACCAGATGGACTTGAGAATCGAGGCAAAAGGTGTCACGCCGATACCAGCACCGACGAGAACCGAAACCTCATACTTGAAAACGTCCTCTGAAGCAGAGCCAAAGGGACCGTCGACGTAGACTCGAGGGAGAACCCGACGAAGAGCTGGGTCAACCTCTCCGTTGTTACCGTTAACACCAACAACCTGGCTGGCGTCGCCCTTCTTCTTACCCCACTCGCAGCCCAGAGTTGTAGAAACAGCCTTGGTAAAGTCACCAACACAACGCATGTGAATCGAGATGTAGTCCTCCTCAGGGGCGCTGGTCAGGGTGAAGGGGTGGTACTGCCACAGTGACACAGCAGGGCAGCAGAAGAAGATGTACTGGCCAGCCCGGGTCTTTGTGTGCTCCTTCTTCATCTGGATCTCGCAAACGTTGCTGGGGTGCTGGATGACCTTGGTGATATAAGTCCTGTGACGGCCACGGACTTCACGGGCTATTCTCTCAGCCAAGTAGATGAAACCGCTGTACATCCAGTACTGCCAGAAGACACCGACGGCTGAGGCACCCACACTGGTGCAGAAAGGCGCAACATCAGGCTGGATCATGCAGAAAGCGCCATGGATGGACCAGAAGAAGAAGAAAACAATGAACATATGGTGAGTGTACCAGAAACGCTCATAGTTTGCTCTCCTGGGCTTCTCCACCGACGTGATAACCATACCCATGAGGGCAATCAGCATAACATATCCAGTCCATCCAGGTCCCGAGACAAAGTTGGCGAGCAGCCATCCATAGACACCCAGCTTGTTCTTGATAGCGGCCTGCGCAAAGTTGTTCCAATGAGCAATGGTGTGGACCCAGGACCAAAAGACGATGGACCAGGCGGTGACGATGTGGAAGCTGATGTTCTTGTCGAACTGGATGATGCCGTTGAGGGGTGTCTGGCGCAGCAGCGAGATGAGGGTGCGGCACACGGGAAACAGGATGATGGCGACGTCAACGTGCAGAACCAGGGCCGCAGAACGGGCAATGACAAAGGTGAAGCCAAAGTTGTCGCGGGAAGATTGCAGACTCTCCTTCATCGAGTAGTGAACGCAGGCGAAGGAGAAGATGAGGGCGTGTGTGAGCATAAAGACGAAGACGAAACTACATGGTCAGTTTATCGTCCAAAGTGTTAGGGCTGTCGACTTACAATCTTCGGTAACCCTCGTTGATCATCCAGCGATCAAACTTTTCCCTCGTCGACAGCTCCTGCTGCTTCTCCTGCGTCATCTCTCCCGAGAGAAGCATCCGCGTAAGGGGAGACCATCGTGAACGCTCCGAGGGCTTCTCGCTCCAGGTATCGAGTTGGTAGCTCATCTTGTCAAAAAGCTGAGTTGGAATTCGCAGATGCGAGGGCGACTGGCCCTAAATTCTGTCCAAAAACCAAGCAATTTCAGTGATCCTCCTCGTAATTCAGATAATTGTGAGCGCAATGTTGTTGTTGCCAGAGTTGGCTAGCGATTGTAGTGGTTGTCGTCGATATTCAGAGCCAGCTGAACCAGAAGAATTATTTCGAGAAGCGAAAGTGATCGGCAAGACTATACACAAGAAAAATAAAAGAGTGCTGTCTAGAGCGTGAAGATTAAACCAGTCATGTAATTGTCACCGCAAGGCCAAAAGAAGCGACAAGAGCCTCAAAAGACAACGAAGGAGGGGGGAGGGAAAGGGAAGAGGTGTAGTAGGCAAGGTGTGAGAGAAAAGAATCAACCAGGGTTTCTCTCAGCCTAGGGCAGCAACTCCTTTGTCATCGGCGGCTGGTGTCAAGTGTCAAAACTGCTACTCCTCCAGGGGGTGCGGAAAGAGAAGAAACATGAGCTGATGCTGCTTGTTCCTGTCGCTTCTCTTCTCCTGGTGGGTGGTGGAAAAAAAAAAACGGAGTCGTTGGACAACGGAGATGATACCAGGCACAGACGGCGAGTGTCCGGGGTTCGCGCTTGGCATGCGTCTAGAGCCTTGTAGCGAGAGCAGGAGGCGCAAAGACAGGCGAAAAGAAAAAAAAGGGAACCGTAGAGGAGGTGGTGTTCAAAGAACTAGCAAGCCTCCGTCCCAAGACGGGCGAGACGCGGCTCAAACACGCCATCTCAGGAGTTGTCGTGGCCAGTCCAATGCAACACTCCTCAACCACCAGCAAAGAAGATGCTGTAAAAGAGACTCGTCAAGACCATTTACAGCCAATACTCTTCCCCTCAATCCATCCAGCCTCTCCTCATCTTCGACTCCCCAGCGATTAAAATCGTCCCATCAACGATGCTGAGCCGCGGTACCATCTCCAAACCGCAGACCAACGATTGGTCGCTGTTCACGCCTTTTGGTCTGAAACCCCGTTGTTACAGGTTCAACAAGACTTGGCCTGTCCGGGCACGTCGTACCGAAGGCGGGTCCCGCTTCACGACTCGTGGGCAACCACCCCCCTTGTCTCCATGTTGCGTTGCAATGCATGGCACAGCGAATAGCTTCATGTCACCGTTCCAGCAAAAAAAGAGTCCATAAGAGTCCATATCACGGATATACGGCCTTGAATGGTTTCAACATTGTGGCTTTTGGTTTCCATTCCCGCCCACGTGCTGTCATTCAACCATCTGGATCTTCCGCTTACAACATCAACTATCATACCCATCCATCACTTATACAACAGGATCACCACCCGTCACACCTACGTCTTCTCTCCGTTTCAAACAACCTCATCCGACACATGCATCATCTCAGAATCCTTTACCTTCACTCCTGCCATCTATCGGCATTTGTGTCAAGTACCGCCCATCACTCGAAACCACTCCTTGTTTACTGGGCAAATCGCAACAGTCACACACACTCGCTCGACATCTCTTGACATACGACTCTACTACAGTTTGTAATCCATCATACCCAAGCACGACATGCATCTTCTGTGCTGAATCATCCGACATCGACCCCATCCCCACAATCTCACCCGTTGCCATACAGATAGCCAGTTGGGACGTTTCCAGCATTAGCGCGCATCTCGCTGTCCTTCCCGTCACCAACCTCGTCCCTGTCAGCGCCTATCGTAACCAGACATCCAATACTTAGACCACCACATCTCATATCATGACGTAGATCCATCTCAATAATATTGCCCCAGCGCTTCAAATCGCCATTCTTGGCCAGTCGTTTGCCTTGGTCAAGTTGGCACTACACTTCCATCATCACGAGATGCTCGTCGCCGGGTCTCACTCTCATTGGCATGCTCACAAGGCTCCCAGATAAGCACGTCTTCAAGTCAAGAAATAGTTGCAAACATCACACACATCACAGAGAAATCCACATTTAGAGACAAAGTGTACACGCTGCCTATTTCTGGATGTCAAAAACACGTCGTCAATGCAAACCCAAAATCCAGCCGCATGATATCCCTTACTAGCTGATCTGTTTGTCTGGTTTGTCTTTCCTCCCCTCAATCGTCACTAATTCACTCCTCATCGTCGCTCTCTGCCTCGCCAATCGTGACCTAGGCGCTGATTCAGGGCACAGCGCCCGCCAGGATACCACGGACCAAGGACATGTCGCAACCGCATGCGAAGCTTTCATTCGATCGTTGCACATTGCCTTCATGACAGGGAGGGCAATCCATCCCAGGTCTAACCGCCCCGGTTCTCCTTGCTCGCGTTAAATCGCATACTTCCGAGTCCACTCCCGGGCGGTGGCCTCGTATCGGGGCCGGTCGGTCTTGTAGACGTGGGCGATCTCGGGCACCAAAGGATCGTCAGGGTTGGGGTCCGTCAGCATCGAGCAGATAGACAGAAGAACTGTAAAAGTTAGATCATGACAACTGGTCATAGGGGTTCTCAAATATGCATACCTTTGCTAATGGTCAACGCGGGGCTCCACTGGTCGCGCAGAATGTCCAAGCAGATGCTGCCGTTGGAGTTGATGTTGGGGTGGTAGATGCGGGTGGTGAAGTTGACCTTGGGAGGCTTGAAGGGGTAGTCGGTAGGGAAGTGGATGGCGAGGAAGAAGACACCGCCGGAGTATGGGGACTCGCTCTATTCATCATGGTCAGCCAGGCTCTTGCGAATCTCAGGACTAGACGCAGCGAGGCGCGGTTCTGGGCGAGGAAGCGGCTGAGCGCTTCGCCACGATGCCGGCGCATCTTGCCAACATCTCATTTGTGTCTGGAATCTGGGGGGAATACTCACAGGACCCATAATCGTAGCTTGCCAGTGGAACTATTCACATCCGTTAGTCGCGTGCTCAATTTTCACAATCGCTCTCTACGCAGAGGCATGCGTTCCAACACAGTCATGACATGTGTGCCAGCCACGTGCGTCCATCAGAGCGGGGGGGGTGATGCCTACCAGATCCTCACCAACGGGGCCGGCGGAGCAGGAAGAGGGAGGGTCTCTGCAAAAGAAAAGTCAGCATCGTTATTCCAGCAAAAGAGGCGATGCCCTCAAGAAAACTTTTGGAGTCGTGACAGGCACTGGTATCGTCGGTCATCGAAGGACCCCGCTTACCAGCGCCCCACCTGACGTCTTGGGCGTCCAACTTGACCCCTCGGGCTTGGAGTGAGGATGCATCGTTCGTGGTGCGACTTACCGGCCGAGATCAGTGAGCTCCTTGTTGATGCGCTTGAGAGCCATTTTGTGATTTGAGGAGGGGGTATCTAAGAGGTGTGGTGCGAGGAGTTCGCGATCGCTCTATGTTGGAGAAGAAAGTTAGTCGAGGGGTTGTACGAGGAAGACAACGACGAGCGGTCGAGGAGGGGGAAAAGGCTTCGAAAGAACGCACGTCAAGGTTCGGTCCGAGGCGTAGGAGGCCACGGTGATGTGTAGAAGAGTATCGGTAGTGTTGGTGTTGATGGTTGTGTTATGCAGGCAGGCGAGAGGAAGAAATTCAGTCGAGGCTGAAAAGGGAGAAGAGGCGGGATTTGGAGGAGATGGTTCGTTCGGATGGAGTAAAAGAGGTCAGGTCGGTCGGGCCTAGAAGAAAGAGAAGCAGGAAGGAGGGTCAGGTCAACAAAGAGGTGAGGGAAAGCGGAACCTGACTGACCTAAGGCACCTACAAGAGGTACCTTAGTGCCTTCAGTGATTGTGAGTGGCTGAGGTCCACGCTGCGCTGCGCTGGCATGGCAAATCCATCCATTCAGGACCGTCTGGCAGCCCGAAAAGTCAGGTTTTTTTTAGGCCCGGGCCCCTTCCATGGGCGCCCCATGGCTGACTGGGCGGGCACTGGGCACCTCTGCGCCTGCACTGGGGCCACTCACTGCCCGCCCCCAGCAGACACTGTACGCACTGGGCCACAGCTCCATCGCTCGCTGGGCCACAGGAGACACCGCCACAAGCGAATCAGCGGTATCCACGCACTAACAGTCACCACGAGAATCTACATTGGGCATTGCTAAGGGGCGCGTCAATTTCTTGATCAAGGTACAGGACAGTATCCATTTTGCCCATGTCCTTCGCTTGGCTTCGATGGGCTCCCGCGCCATCAGATGCTTATTTTCCTTGACAATACGACAGGCCAGTCTCTGGAACCTTGCCCGTCGGCCAGTGGGTGGGCGGCGGTGAGTAGCACAAACATGGGAATGGATGGCGGTGGCCAGGGCGGATTCTGGGTCTAGATTCTGCTCGTCTCCTTGGCCTTTTGGTTCGGTTCAGTTTCCAGATCGTTCCGCTCTTTGTATTGACCTGCAGCAGCACGATTCATGAACGCTGATTGTGTTTGTTTACTAACGGATAGGTACGTAGAAGCCTGTCTTGCATCATTCCCCGGGAATACCGGCTGCGGTCAAACAAGCAAAGCACCTGCTTGGACGGCCTCGCCGGGCCATTCATGTCAATCGATGAATGCATTGGCCAGCATTGGCAACCTCCAAGGGCCTGTCTCAGTAACGTCACTGGGGCATCCTCAGCCACGATAGGGGGCTGTCCAGTTAATAACAGATTACCTAGCATCGACAAATCTAGAATATGTGATTCTCTTTATTCGTTTTACTTTACTATAGATTTCTGCATTCACTTGAGGGGGCCGTTATATGCCGTGATGTTTGATTTCAAATCATCTATAACCCGGGTATGCACGCAATCGCCATGACTCTTTTTATCAATCGCCTCCTTACCAATCACACAACCAACCCTTTGCTGTTTACACAAACGCCTGGACACCAGTGATGGCTCGTCCCAAGATGAGACCTAGACCATTGTCAGTTTCTACACGTCATAAATCGCAGGAACAAAAAAGAGACTTACTATGAATGTCACTCTGGCCCTCATATGTCTGCGTCACAAAGAGATTCGCCACATGTCGACCGATCATGTACTCATCGCTCACTGCGTTTCCTCCGAAAATCTCCTGAAGGATGCGAGCGTTCCTGAGCGCGGCGTCGCAGTTTTGCCGCTTCACCATGCTGATCATCTCGGGTGTCGCCTTACCCTCGTCCTTTAGTCGGCCGACCTGGATGGCCGCCAGTGTGCCGTATGCCGCGTCGGTTGAAGCATCTGCGAGCTTCTTCTGGATGAGTTGATACTTGGCGAGAGGGTTTCCCTTGAACTGCTTGCGCTCAAGAGAGTAGGTTCGGGCTCGGTCGATGCAGTCCTCCAGAGCACCCATGACGCCCAGAGCAATACCGTATCGGGCATTGTTAAGGCAGCTGAAGGGCCCCTTGAGACCTTCAACGTTGGGGAACATGTTCTCCTCTGGCACAGGGCAGTCGTCGAGCTGGATCATGCCCGTGATAGAGGCTCGGAGACCGTTCTTGTCCTTGATGGCGGGTGTCTCAAGCGTACCAGCCGGGCAATCCTTGCGCTCAACCAGGAAACCCCGGATCTTGCCCGTCTCTTGCAGCTTAGCCCAAACCATCAGAACATCGGCAATAGGGCTGTTGGTGATCCAGGTCTTGGCGCCACTCAGCAAGTAGTAGCCCTTCTTTGTGGGATGCGGCCTCGCTACTGTCTCCATGCTACCGGGGTCGCTGCCGTGGTTGGGCTCTGTAAGACCAAAGGCGCCGAGGAGCTTTCCCTTGGCCATCTCGGGGAGGAACCTCTCCTTCTGCTCGGCGGTGCCATGCTCGTAGATGCCGCCCATGACCAGCGAGGACTGAACCGACATGCCGGATCGGTAACCACTATCGACTCGCTCAACAGCTCGTGTGATCAAACCGCCAGCGACGGATGAGACACCTGCGCAGCCATAACCATCGATCGTAGCGCCCAAGAGACCGAGCTCGCCCATCTCCTCGAGCATTTTGGCATCATAGTTCTCGTCGCGGTAGGCCTCTGTTGATGCACGTTAGCAGCTATTGGAGAAGCTGGGATGGAAATAGCTTGCGTAGTACTCGGGGGAGGAGATGCTCTTGGCAGTATCGTTCCGCAGTCTCGCCAATCGCTCGCTCCTCTTCAGTCAAAAGGTTGTTGGAGTTCAAGGGATCCTCCCAATTGAAGCTCGGCCCTGTCGCAGAAGCGAAGCTACGGGCAGCGAGGGGCCGCAGAGGAGCGGCACTCGCTCTTCGGGCGCATTGTCTGAGGATAGGGCGGAACATTGTGTGAAGCTTCAACTGAGGGAGGACAGGGATGATGCTGAAGCAAGTCTCAAAAAGGTCGAGGGAGATCAACAAGTTAAAAACAGCTGCGAGGTTGTGACAGAGGAAAGGGCGTCGGCAATCAAAGTCCCCCAATGAAGTCATCCGACGTAAACCGGAGCCGTGAATCTCCAATCCCCAGCTTTACCCCGGAACCGAGGCACGCCAACGTATGGTAATTCCGGCCACCAATTCCGAACATGTCGCCCGCGTGACTGTAAAATGAAGCGTATTGCCCAGATTCGCTTGATCAAATTCCTTAAACATCGGCGGCGTCAACTTGTTCCCGATAACTATGCTCGGTGTATTCAAAGGTACGCCGATGGGATCTACCAGCCTATCAATGCTAATGTTAACAACTGCTGCACATCCAATCACCGGCCCAAGTCGCAGACCAGCTGCCTCGGATAGGAAACCATGTTGAACATCCCATTGTCTAGACACTCTGTGTCTTTTCTGCTCGAGACTCTCTTTTCTCTTGACGCCGTCTTGCCATGATACTCAAACGATCTAGGTCCGATGTCGCCAAGATAACCCCCGCCACGGCCAACTGGCGAGTCCCCTCCAGTTCTGTCGGAGCCGAGATCATCGGCACCGGCTCGTCCGAGGACCTTGAGCCCCGTTCCTCCCCCGAGTCGCGCGCTCTTCGTCTCCGTTCCTTGCCGGTCTGGAGCTTGAATTCATCTATCGGCTCCGGTGGTTGAAATGGAGAAATGGACCGGCTTGATCCCACCGGTGACCTCTTCCACGGACGCACCCGTCTAAACCGGCCTCCTAGCCGGCTGCGGAAGGTCTTTGGTGTTACTGGATGAGAGTGAGAGATATGGCTGCGACGGCGGCGGGGGCTGCTTGGCGACCTTGAGGAAGGAGGGGTTGATTTCTGCAAGTGATCAATAAAAGACATTCATTGTTTTCTCTGTAAAGCCAAAGAAGCCCTTACTGAGGAGCCCAAAGCCCTTCGACTGAGTTCTGGACAAGAGCTCATTCCTTGGTGCTCGAATTCTGGCGCGCGCAACAGGGCATCCATTTCAGATCCGTACACCAAGTTCTGCTGCAATAGACTTGATGCATCGCCATCCCTCTTCCCTCGTATCTCAACCGACTCGCGAAGGACATCAGACCGCGCATCAGTACTAACGGGTGTCGAGGATTCGTGAGGTGGCGTTACATGTATCTCAACAGATCGAGGGGAGCTTGTTTCTGAGGACATGGTAAAGCTTGGATGTCGACCTATTGAGGGCAAAAGACTGGCGATGAGAGGAAGGCTAACGATAACTTGTCAAGGCCAATAACGGCCTGTGAAGGGGATTTGCGAAGCGAAAGACATGATCAAGACTCTTTGCGACATCTTGATAAGGCGCATGACACCGAATGCAACTCGCTCCTCCTTCACGGTGTTGAAGCGGGTTACATTCGATGGAAGGAGCAGTTGAGCAAGCACCGTAACTTGCCTTCATCCCCTCGTCTGACATGGTCACAAAATGTTCACAAATTGCTTCTCCCATTTCGCTTGTCACCCCTGCCAAGTTCAGATCATACATCTCACTGTCCCAAAAACTCCCGAAAATATCATCTGAGCTAGAGACGGCCTTCTAGAGTGCTGTGAAAGCATTCGAGACTATGGCTACCAGCGTCAGTCCACGATGAACTTGATCTCCGACTCTCCGAGAAGTCGCCCTACCCTGCATGATGACATACGACCGACGCCACAGCGTGCCATCCACAGACCTTCGAGAACCTCAGATCTCAACATCTGTTGACCACTTCGTCTGCCGTGCCCAACGGCGGCGCCCAAGGGGTCAAGCGACAAGCATAGACGGCAGTGGAACAGCAACACGCGGCTTGGCAAACTGAGTTTATCGTTGAGTCGCGGTATTCGTACCTGGCCATCTGACCATGTTCCTGGCCCAATCGAGTGATTGGGAGGTCGTCACCCCCCGGCAGACAAGGGGGCCTCAGAGGAGCCGCATTCGTTTTAATCCATGACCCTGGATCTGTGAAATCTCGGAACCTTGGATGCCGGAGAGCCTCATGATGTTCGAGCCCATCTGTGCCACCAAGAACCGCCTTGGCAGGCACGATTTCAAGTCATTGGACTGTATCAGTGCTTTTTCCAGCGGATTGCACACCCTGAGGTCAGGCTCGAGCCCCTTGTCTTTGGCCCAAAACCCTGTATTTTTCACCTCTTGTGCCTCCTTCAGCAGGGACTTTAACCTCATTTCTTATCTTTGTTCCTGAGTTGCACTCCTAAACAGGCGGTTAAAGTGGAAATCAAACATGAATTCGGCCTGCCGCCGATCCCGGAGGTGTCCGTATCCACTCCATCCCGGAGCCAAAATCCGACCAAAACAGGGGATCTCGTTTGCCTCCCTGTGATTTTCTTTTGCAATCTCATGC